ATGTCCATACTATTGCTGAGATTTTTAAAAGACGGGATTGACAACCTTGTAAAAAATGAAAAACGTGATGGCGGAAGGCGGGATATGATGATAAAATAAAACTTATTTTTATTTTATGATGTAAGTTACATAGGTAGGTAAGTTATTTTTAGGTTAAGAAACAAACGGTGCTGATTTGATGTAATTAGTAAGTATTAACTTTAATTTAATATTAAGTATTTAAGGACTTTGTTTATCATTGTTTTCTTAGCCTTAACGATATATAATAGGTATCTAATTTCATATTTCAACAATTCCTTTTCTAATATTGAAACAAAAATGTCTGGCCCGGGTATAGTTAAGTATTCTTGTTCAGCTCCTAATTGTTTAAATAAGTATTATTCTAATATTCAGCAAGTTGGTTAATCAAATAAAGCATTTTTTCATTTTCCTTCTGATGTTAAAGTTCGCCAGAACTGGTTTAAGAATTTCAATTTAACTTTAGATGATAATAATATTCGCTATCTTTGTGAAGATCATTTTTTGCCAGTCTTTTAGTAAGGTTTCCTCAAAACGTAAACGACTAGTTGTACATTCTGTACCAATTTCTTTAGATAATTATGCATCCAGTTCAAATATACAACCCGAGAGCCAGATTTCAGAATATATTGAGGCTGAAGCACAAACACATCAGCATAAGATAGATTTGCTAATCAGCAACGAAAATCAAGAAATTAGTTGGAAACGTAAACTAAATATTAGTGATGTACAATTTGAACAACCCTCCAAACGGAGAAAAACTGTTTTGCAACAAATAAATGAAAGTAAAGTCAAAAATTTAAGTCCCAAAGAGAAAAAGCTGTATTTTATTAATAGAGAACAAAACGTTAGAATTTGTAAGCTAAAGAAAGCTCTACTCTACGTGTTTCCAAAAATAAAATCAAGAAAGCCTTTGAATTATCCAAAACTCAGTTATTTTCAGATTTTAATAATAAATTAGATCCGATTGGAATTAAATTCTTTAAAAGTAGTTTAGAAAATTGTAAGAGAAAGAAACCCTCTTGGACCACTCAGAATAAAATTTTTTCTTTAGCATTATATAAAAATGGTCCAAGAGCATATAATTTTTTAAGAAAATGCATTTCGTTGCCTAGTAAATCTACTATCCAACAAATTTTAAGTGATTTACATTTTGAAACGGGGATAAATGATTCAGTGTTTTCCAGATTTAAAGAAATTGTTAGAAAAATGCCAGAAATTGATAGGAATTGTATTTTAATGTTCGACGAAATAGCTCTAACCGAAAAACTCACTTTTGATACAGTTAATGACAAAATTGTTGGATATGTTGACTGCGTCGTTCTCAATCTTCGTCAAATAATTAAAAATAACTTAGTTTTATAAAAATGGTCAACATTTTGATAAGAGAAATTGTTCAATAACATATATGTACACTTTTTGTTTTGTTTTTATAGGAAACACCTGACGCCCATTAAAGTATGGTCCATTTTTACAAGAATGTGGGGAAACTAGTATTCATTTCACTTACAATTGTTCTTTATTAACACATTATGTATGTATTACTGTATAATAAATAATTTAAATATATTTGTCTTATATTTTATTTCAGTGTAAATATTTTTTGTCTACATTTTTGTATACATTTTTTGGGGTTTTATAACTAAAAAAAACTAATATATATGTTAAATACAATATTTTAATATAAATATTAGTTTTTCTTTTTAAAGTAATGAACCCCAAAAAATATAAATAAATAAATAAAGATATTTAAATGAACCGCGGTTACGTTAACACTCTTCTTTTTTTATGCCTCTTACTGACAAATCAATCAGCCAGTGTAGTTCAAAAAAGATCCGTTCCATACTAATTCGCAGCACTACGTTTCCAAAGATTAACACAGAATCCGACCATCTTCTTTATTAGTTTATCTATGAATGGGACAGATGTGTCAGATGTGGATAAAAAAACGCTCGAGATGTAAAAAATGCATCCGATGTGGATTCTCAAACGCGGCATATGTCGCGACCCCCTTAGATATACCAGCCCTGCTTAATTTGGTAATAAACTCAAAATATTTAATTTTCAAAATAAAGTAGCTATCTAATAATAATGTTTATTTGTCAATTATATATAAATATTTAAATAATATAACTATAGGGACTGCTTCATCTCACTGTGTTCTGTATACCTACATCACGAAGATTAAAAACCTTTTTAGAAACATAAAAAAACCATTCATATATGGATCATTAGATTATATTTAATTCATACAAAAAATAAGAAAATACCTACATAAATGTAGAAAAGTAGAGAGTATTTGAAAATAAATACATAATAAATAAATAAGCGATGACAAAATAAAAAACACACAAGAGGACTTAGCTGAAAGTTTTAACTAATTACTGTTAAAATAATTTAGCTCTTTAAAGAGAGTTTATATCATGAGATAATTGATTAATTTAAACTCTGCCTTCCTACTTGTTATAACAAAAATTAATAGAATTCGCAGCTCTTGTATGGTACTGATGTATGTAAGAAATAGGAGTAAGTTGACAATTCAATACATTAATTACTATTTAAAAAATAAAGGTCATTGCTTGCACATAGAAACTGTCCCATATTCAACCAGTTCAACGTAGTCAACATAAGCTGAATGCTATATCTGCTACATCCTAAAATAGCTCTCGTTGCCTTATTCTGAGAAAGTTCTCAAAAGTAGAGTTAGAACATCCTGCGTGTATATTATATTTGGCATAGCTTGTATCCTAAAGATATCACTTGAGCATAGTTTAAACCATAGTGATTTGTAGATACTCAACCAAAAGTTCTTCTTTACTACCATATTTTGATTTTTTTACATTCAATTTCCTTTCCTGAATTTTCACAATTTCTTTGCTTGAACTTCTAGAGGGTATAAATAAAAGTGTCCTTTTTATATAAATTGTTGCAATTTGCCTGCAAGAGTATACTTATTCCTCTTGTAATATCTTTTAGAACTTCTATTTTCTTACATTTCTTTGTTATTACTTTATAGTTTCGTATCATATTTACAGCTGAAAAAATGCAAAATATAGGTAATATTAGATTGTTTAGCCTCAAATATTTTTATTATATTACAAAAATAAAATTGCGAAAAATATCATAATATTAAGGTAAAATCATATGCACAGCTTTAGAAATAATTTAAAACCACTCACCTCCATGGAGGAAGGATAATTACTCACCTCTATTTCAAAATGTACTCGAAATTACAACTTTACTTTAAAGAAGTTTCTTGTATATTATTTAAAATAAATAAACGTTTCTTCTAGTACATTTGTTACCTTCACTTGAAATCTCAAAATATCAAGAGGTAGGCTACCAGTTTAACATTTTGGATAAATATGTGTTGCCTAACATAGTAGTAAAAGAGTCAAAATGGCCGCGCCCTATGTTGGGCGTGTCAGACCTCTTTAAAAGTATGTGGTTTAGTCCAATTAGTGATAGTTTAACACGCTTAAATGTCATTTAAAAGTACCCTAAATAACTCCGCTTTTGTCCCGCTCCTGCCCCTGACTAACCGAACTCGCCTTCTGTGTGTCGGTTTGTTCGTTGGCTTGGTTTTGTAAAACAAAAAAAAACTTCGACACAAGCTGATTGGTCTATTCCCGATGACGTATACATTTCAAATTTTAAATTTCAATTGGGCTTAATTTAAAAACTTTTGGCTTTTTTAACGAACTGATTATTTAGAATAACTTGTATAGCGACTAACTATTACAATATAATTTATAAAACAGCATATCTCACATGTGAACATGGCCAATTACTATGGGATACTACTATACGGGGTGGCTCGTCTGAGATGGAACACCATGTATATGGTGAGAATAGGTAATTGCTTGGTAGCTATTACCACCGGTGTGAAGTTAGCAGTAAGTTTTTAGCAGTAAAAATAACCGAAAACACCCGATCGGGAAAATAGTGGGGTCCGGCATACAACTATTTTAATAATCTTGTCAATATGTATTTTACATTAATATCGAACAAATAATTAATATACATACCGTTGAATATGTCCGATTTTGAGATTATATTTAAATTTCTCAAAAATATATTGGATGGAAGATGGCCATAATTCGTGAAATGCAATACTGGTGCCATCTATCAACAAATAGTCACACTATCGAGTTGCACATATTACTTGTAGAGGCTGAAACTTTTTTTTTTTTTTTTTTTTTTTTTTTTTTTTTTTTTTTTTTTTTTTTTTTTTTTTTTTTTTTGGCATAGGCACATTGCCATTCAGCCAGACACAAAGAGGCTGAAACTTGATTTTAATTAACGCACTTTTCTCTCACGCTCATGGAGAAACGATTATTACTCACGTTCAGGCCTCGCAACGAAATTGAGACAGGTGTAACAAAAAAGCTACAAAAAAGTTACAAAAAATGAGCCTGGTCCGAGCTGGTGCCGCTAAAAATATCCGCTAAGCTAGCGGATCCGCGCTTTTCTCAGGTTCAGTACAAGCTACAAAAGGGAGACTAGCGTAACAAAAAAGCTACAAAAAAGTTACGAAAAACCAGCTTGGTCTGAATCTGTGCCGCTACTATGGAATTTATGGAAATTCAAGCTAGCGGATCCGCTGTTTTTTCGGACCTGGGCAAAGCTACAAATTCGCAAATAGCGTAACAAAAAAGCTACAAAAAAGCTACAAAAAACCCACCAGGTCTTGTATGGTGCCGCCACAGAGTGCCCGCTAGCTTGATATAGCTTGCCCGATCCACACTCCATAACCCATGATCTCCAAACGGTCAAAAGGAACTTTCATTTTCACTCCTTCCACGCCTTAGGTATTTTAGGAGTGAATATAGAGTGAAAAGAGTGCGTAAAATTGATTTTTTGTCATAATGAAATAGAAAAAAAATCTATTTTGATTAATAGTAAATTAATGAGAGTGAAAAGGATAGCTATAATAAGAGTTCGAATGGAACTTAATAAAAAAACGCATCAAATCAGTTGTTTACTGTCACTAGTGTTACTGTCAATGTCTGAATTGTCAAAAAATTTGATTATAGAAAATCTTTCATTCCATTTCCTATTTTTATTTAAAATTTTGGTATTCATCAAAATGAACTCCCATTTAGATAAATTTAAATTATATAAGAATATTTCTAGATGTTTTAAATGATGAATCGTGATCACAACTAGTTTTCAGTTAAAAATAATACTAGAAAAGTAGGCTATTTTTAAACAGAAATTAAGTGACTTCATTAGAACAGTTTTAAAATGAATCCCAAACGTAAATCCATCTTCAGTGATATTTACTCTAGGCAATACAATAACAAGATAAATTTATATGGAACGGCAAAAGGTAAGTTATATGTAAAAAATTGCAGGAAATTCAATGAAATGTTACAGATGATGAAAGCTTTGTCCAAAGACTAGGTCTATTAAAGAAGCTTCAAATTCATCAGGGGTGCGTTAATACTATCTGTTGGAACGATACAGGGGAATACATTCTGTCTGGATCAGATGATCAGCATCTAGTTATAACTAATGGTCACAATTATAAAGTTTTAGAAAATTACAGCACTAGTCATCATGCCAATATCTTTAGTGCTAAGTTCCTTCCTTGTACTAATGATAAGCAAATTGTTTCCTGTTCAGGAGATGGCATAATTATCCACACAGGTAAGTTTTTACTGCAATTTTAATTGTATTAATAATAAGAATATAAGTAACATTTAAATTTGAATATTGTTTCTATAAGATCTGAATCGCACTGAGAAGCCCTATGACAAACTATTTAATTGTCATGCTGGGACAACTACTTACGAAGTTATCACTGTACCCAATGAACCATATTCATTCTTAAGTTGTGGGGAGGATGGTACCGTTCGATGGTTTGATTTGAGGTGTAAAAGCAGGTAAGACCATCAATTTTTTTCATGCTCCATTTTATTCTAACCTAAAGTCTGCTGTGATGTTTTATTTCAGTTGTTACAAGCCTAGATGTAGGGAGGACATCATTGTTTTCTGTCAGAGAGCAGTCACCGCTCTGGCTCTCAGCCCTACAGCTTCTTATCAATTAGCAATCGGTTGTGCAGACTCATCAGTCCGGATTTATGATAGAAGGTGTCTCAGTACACAATCTGGAGGTAAAGTTTTAGGGTTATATTGACATGGTTTAACAGTGCTTTTATTTATAGATCACATTCAGCCATTTTGTACATTTGTGGCCCCACATTTTGGTAATGATCGGCATTACAGGATAACATCTTTAAGTTACAGCAGGGATGGACAAGACATGCTTGTCAGCTACTCTTCAGATTATCTGTATTTATTTAGCGTTTTGGTAAGATATTTTAATTAAAACAATTTTTCTGAACAAACATTAATAGACTTATTTATTGAATATTATATTATTAGTGGGTATTAAATATATTTCATCAGGTAATAATTTATATTTTCATTGGTACTACAATAGGTCATATGTCAAAAAAAAAAAAACAATTTTCAGGAGATATAAAAATATTAATTAACTTATAAGTTTTTAAAATGAGAAAAACCAAACGGTAAATTTTCACAAACACTTTTATTTAAAAAATAAATAACAAAGAAAAGTGAAAATTTACTGTTTGGTTTTTCTCATTTTAATAATATGGACTTTCATTAAGTAAAGGCAGAAACAATCAAGAATTTATAGGTTTTTATAAGATATTAGCTGAGATGCAAAAACCACTTTATGATTGGATAATCGCATATGAACTTTTTCAGTATCTTTAAAAGCAGTTTTCTTTTGCTTTGGAATAAACCTTAATCTGAAAGTGCATTTTTGATATACGACCTATATCAGTAACAGCGACGATATTTGAAATCTAGATACACAGAATGGTATGATTGTATAAGGATTTTGACACAGTTAATCACAAAATTTGAGTACTGGGTTTTGTAAATATTGATTAAAAAAATTCATTTAACTAATTGCATGGAATGAAATCCAAATAAATGGCAAGAAAAATCTTTAATAGAAAACACAGACTTATTGAAAATAATCTATATGAAATAGTAAGTAAATTATACAAAATGTTCCTACCCCTATCATAATTATTTTATAAGAAAAAAACTAACATTATTTTGATAATTAGTTTTTCTAAATGAGTCTCTGCAGCCCTGGATTTTTAGTATTTCAAAGTGAAATATAGAATTTTAATTTATGTTTACCTTTAGTTCTGTTGTTTCAAATTGACATTACTTAGATGATTGTTAGATTTGCAAAATTTTGTTACATCTGGTGTCCCTCAAGAGTCATATTTGGGACCTCTACTTTTTAATATACAGGGTTCCAACTATTTATTAGGGACAGTATTGCTATTTATTAAACGGCAACAGATAGAAAGTTAAATTAGAAATAAAGCACACTTTTGTACTCATTAAAATTGTGCTTTAAAACCTTTGATATCTACAGGAAGATACAAAATATCGGACAAAAAATGAATAAATCCTGTGATAGGAAGCATTGCCCATAACAATCGTTGAAGGCTCAGTTAAATTAATAAGTAATAGATTCGTGAACCATTTTAAAAAAATTGACTTCATCATTTCCCAATGATTATCGGGATTGTTACTATTTGATGAAAACAACAGTTCTGTCCCATCAATAAATCCATTTTCATTACCAGCATGAAGAACAATGAATCTTTTTTCATCAACTCTTGTAGTTTTTATGTTCCTTTTATCTTTATTTTGCCAAGAGTGGTTTACTGTGCCATTTTGAAAAATCAATGTTTCATTCAGATAAACACATTTAAATAGTGACAGATTTTTTTGTACTTGTGTATAACTTTAAAAAACTAGATCTTTTACTGGCAACATGAGGAATTTCCATAAGACCCCGCCAGGATCATATTTCTTCCATTTAAATCCTATATTGGTTTTTCTGCTCCCTCTAGAGTAACTAGAGTAATATTGTAGTTTAGGAGGCCTGTACTGCGCATGTCCACAATACTCCAGTTGAAACGATTGGAATCGTTACATAATTGTCAGATTTTATATCAATATTTTAAATCTCGGAAAAAGCAAATTTGAGTTATCAGAGATGGTGTCAAACAAAAACCAAAATGGCAGTCTAAAAGAAAAGGTTATCCTACAGTTTAGGTCGTCACAGATTGCGCATGCGCAGGCTATTGTGTTCACTCTAATAATGAAGTATACTTTTGAGGTTAAGGAAAATTTTAGAAATGAATAAAAATTATCTTTAATTTTAGATAATTTTGATTAAATTAAAGGATAAATTTAATGAAGAAGTATGCTGATGCATGCGCAACACGTGGCCACTTAAACTGCAGATTTTAGGCGGCCATTTCGTGTTTTGTTCCACAGTATATCTGATAACTCAATTTTATTTTTCCTAGATTTCAAATATTAATATAAATTTATCAACTATGATCAAAGCCAGATTTAAGTCACTTCATAATTTATAATATTTATTTAAATTTTGCTCTAACTTTTTACATTTATTGTATCGATTATACCTATATTTTGACTACGCATTGTATTAATGTGAAATTTAAATGATTGCATTAGTAAAAGGTGTAAACCTGCTTTATATTTAGTGTCAATAAATAAGTAACGAATTTACAGGAAAATAGTGTCACTCAACTAAAAAAACCTTTGAAAAAACCTTCGCCATGGGAAAAAATCAAAGCCGCCACAAACAAACGAGAAAGAATGTCGCCTATACCGGTTAGACGACTAAGGCTACGCGGCGATTGGTCAGACACCGGTCCCGACGCTCGACCAGAGAGAGACAACAACCCTTCTGTCAGTAAGTTTTGCGTTTATAAACTCCTAAGGTTTGTATCTGTTTGATTAGCTAGATTTAGTTCAATAACCGAATTCCGAAATTTCATCGTTTGTAAATCATCTCTTAATAGGTCTCGGCCAGGCCAGACCGCAGCTTCAGGCGACTCTGATGCAGCGCATGACGGACGTACTCTCGCGCATGTTGAACGATCCCATGACCAGAGCAGCTTTAAGCGCTGGCGGCGAAGATTCAGTGGACGCCGACGATAATGCTCAAAGAATTTTAGAAAATAGACCTGCTTCGGAAGAGGGGCCTAGCGCTATGGAAACTGAGCAAAGCCAAAGTGGTCAAGAGCAAAGGTAAGCACAGTAGCTCTAATTACATACTAAGAAAATATTAACGTATGTAGAATACCATTTTGTTGTTACCAAAGTATAATTTAGTTAGTACTTTTTAAAAGAGGTATATGAACATGGAGGTACAAAAATATTGGTATTTTTTACAGTGTACATTATATATTTTTCAGTAAAGGAGTATTTTTTTATTAAAACTAGCAAAGCGCTTTCAGTATTATACCATCTTTAGTGCTTATCTACAATAAGTTATAAGTGTATGTAAAAATAAAATAATTTGAAGGTTACACTTTCTAAAAAAGAATAGAGTAATAAAAATTACAATTATCGCCGGGTAGATTATTTGGTTGAGCATGAGGCACTTAATGTCAAGGTTGTGCATCACGTTGGGCGCCAAATTGTAACGGTTTTATTGATTTTATATGAATTTTACTGATGTTATTTAGGTTATAATGTGATTAAGCTCAAGATATTACCTGGATTTTGACGTTGAATTGAAAAATCTGTATTAACTTTTGATTGTTTCATTTCATTAAAAAAAATAAAAAATTGACAGTACCTACTCTGTTTCTTTCCAGAATAGGTTGAATCTTGGGTTTTTCGTAGATATGTTGATTCGCTGGGTGGTGTGTGGGATTTCCTGGATGTCGCATCTTTGTAATGATTCTCAGTGAAGAAGTTACAGGCGACTTAAATGTTTTTTTTAATGCAGGTCTTAGGCAGCTTAAATAAATAGTGTGTCCGTGTATTCTAGGAGAGTTCTACTTATTGTTTTGAAGATTTTAGTGGCGGTGTAGGTGTTATTGCCATATTTTTTATATGTTAAGGAACGGAAATGTTTGGTTCTGGCTTTTATGTTGTTGTTTTTTTACCTGCGGGTGTGTTCATTGAAGTTCAGCTTATTATAAAAAATAAGGCCTATGTATTTCACAGAGGATATGAGGTGAATTGGTTGGTTATATATGATGAGTGTTGCAGAGTACTTTCAAACCTACTTTTTGATACGCCTATGGCGAGAATACTAGGGAAACTAAACCTAATAAATTAATATTGACAATCCGTTAATCACTCAAAATATAGGAAAATAAGTATTCATACAATCCAGTTCTGTTCTTCATGTTTAACCATTATACCCAGTAAAGAGAAGCGGAATATCATTGCTATAAGGCTTAACATACAGTCCACTACAAAAACGATATACCATATAAAACACCAACTCAAACAATGAATGTAGGGGATGTCGGTCTTAGCTCATTAAAGGGTATCATTAATTGACATTTTTGTGAGTTAACTTGTAACCTCCATTTGTTGAACCATTGAGCAACTTCGTTCTATTGATTTTGTAGTTTTGTAATTGTTTAATTCGCTATATTTCCATTAGATATTAGAGCCGTGCCATCTGCTTATTGGAGGGTATAATTTACTGCGTTGGGGTGTTTCTGACCTGAGGGGATTCGGAATTCGATCGTTCCTAATGCTGTAGTTTTTCTTTAATGAACTTTTCAAATAGTTTTCCCAAAACTGGAAGAAGGATGATTGTTTTGTAATTATCAATTCTTTTATGGTTTTGGGATAACTATGATGCTGCCTTTTTCCATTAATCAGGAAATAACGGGTTTTTTATAGCAGAATACAGTCATGTTTATTATATAATAATAATAATTTTTATTTTCCAGTAAAAAAAATATGTAGTACATTACTACAACAACAATCGGCAAATATTAGGTATGGTGTTAGATCATTAAGACCGATTCTTCCATACCAGCCTTAATTAAATTATTTTAAGCTTGATTAAAAAAAATATGTCTACTTATATACAGGGTGTTTCCGAACTTGGCGTCCAAATTTGTAGGGGTGGTAGTTCGCATAATTTGAGACCGATTCGCAGATTTCATTTTTCTAAAAAAAATATAATAAACAAAATAGAGCCATTATAAAAAAAATCAAAGAGCAGGTCCTTCCCTGAGCGCGTAGCGCAATAGTCCTCAAAAAGAGATGCGATATCGATTCTAAGCGTAGCGCGCGCGAGTCGAGGCGTCCCATTGCTGTGCAGGACCGTACCTGTTTATAATTTTTAATGAATTTTTAATTATTTTTATTTTAAATATGTTGGAAAATTGAAATCTGCGAATCGGTTTCAAATTATGCGAACTACCACCCCTACAAATTTGGACGCCAAGTTCGAAAACGTATGTATAAAACAAAGTTTAAGATTCTCACATATATGATACACTAACAAAATGCAAAGAAAAAATATAAGAACATTAACATACAAATAAATACTCAGTGTAGAATAATAAAAAGAAATACAGATCTGTGTACTAAATTTTAAATTAGTAATAATATCCCCATAGAAGAGCACAAAATAATAATATGTTTATTATTGATTATTAAAAAGCTGTTTCCTGTGTTTGTTTTTAAATGCTTTAAAGGATAAATTAAAGTTAGGTATATTGAGTAGATGACTGACAGAAGCAACTTGGTAAGAGAATTAACTTTTAAACAATTCTTTGTTATGGAATGGTGTAGTAATATAATGGTGCCTTCTTAAATTCAAATTATGTACATCAGTTCTAAATTTAAGTTTTTTAAGAAGATAGGGTGGAGTTTTTGTTTTCTCTATTTTATAATAAAAACTTAAAGCATGGAGTTTCCTCCTATTGAACGTACTTAGCCATTTTACTTGTTTGAGCTTGTGGGATATTCTGTTTCTACGTTTGATACCAAATATTAATCTAAGGCAACTGTTTTGTACCTTTTGTACCCTATTTACATCAATTTTGCGTAGTGTCACAGTGGTTAGATGTATATAGTGTAGTCTAGTTTTTTTTTCTCACATATTTCCATATAATAATTATTTTTTTATTATTATTTAGCCAGTCGTATAAGTTCTTGTGTCTAATGATTGATTCTAGCGGAGACCGTCCGGCCGCACAAGAATCTCCTGGAATCACGGATTCCGCTTCGCGTTCCGGCATCACCAGTCATCTACACAATCACCTGACGGCCTTACGCAATCTCCGCGAGGGTTTCATAGAACAACACGGCGCCGAACCTTCGGTCAGCTTCAGATATTCGCAGCAGAGCACCTCGAATTCCACCATCAGTCTCAGAGTGAGCAACAGAAGAAACTTCGAAGAATCCACCGGCGAGGTGTCTACAGTGCCTTCGACGTCCGAGAGAGAGGAGAGCAACGAGAACGAAACGACAGAGGAAATGGTTGGTGTTCTTTTATATTGACTATCTCCCTTGACCAAATATCAGCGACTATTTCTCTAGAGAAATGATTAATGTTCTGCTATTTCTCGAACATTTTACAATTTGATTCCACATAATTATGGCATTAATAATCAATTGATTAATGCCAAAACCTATGTTTCATCAAATTGATATTAAAATATTCTCGAGATTTAGATTCAACAAATAGCTAACTATTATCAAGACGTTGGTATATTACCCTTGAATATTTGTCAGTTACGTACGATTCTTGACATGTTACGTCAGTTGTCAAACTATTGACAGATGTTACGTCAAGTTGTACCACTACTGAGAGTTAAATATTGGAGGGTTGGACTTGTTGTGTATTGTGATGTTTCTTATTTATTTTCAGTCCACCGATGTAGACTTAGACTACGACGACGATGAAGCTGATACGTCCGGTAACTCGGACGATAAAATAGAAGAAAAGCTGTCTGTATACGAAGCGGAAATGAAAATGAAATACATCGGTCACAGAAATTCGAGGTTGGTTATATTTAAAAAGTACAGTTCATTTTTATGTAATCGATTTATTTAGGACGATGATCAAGGAGGCGACGTTTTGGGGCGACGATTACGTCATGTCGGGTTCGGATTGCGGTCACGTGTTCATCTGGAACCGGCACACGGCCGATTTGAAGATGCTTCTGCAAGCCGATCAGCACGTGGTGAATTGTCTGCAACCGCATCCTACACTGCCAATTTTAGCGACGAGCGGGATCGATCACGACGTTAAACTGTGGGCGCCGACGCAAGAGCAGAGTTCCTTCGATAGCAAAACAGCCACTGACGTAAGTCGTTTTTAATACTATATCCTACATATCACTTATTTTTTTATTATTTAACAAAATACTCTTTGTTCATGACTTCTGGCAAACTTGATAATAATTTTTTTGACAAACTCAATTTCTAGGTAATGATGTGGCAATACGGGGGTTCATCTAGGATGTTTCTTAGTATCTTGATCTGTTGTTGTTAAATTACTTTGATGATGCTTTTGCTGGCACAGTCCCAAAGTTAGATGCCGTATGGCCAGACCGGTTCGACTCCCAGTCTTGCATGCATTTTTCTTTCTTTAATTCTCAGCTTTTTCAATTTTTCTTTGGTTTCCAAAATTTGGTAGGGGAATTAGGGATTTTTCATTTTCTGAATTACCTAGTCTGGTTGTAAATATTATTGGCAAATAATGAATATTTTAATAATTTCTATTGTTTTGTAGGTCAAGTTAATTAAAAGGTGGCATTTCTATCGTTTTTAATCACAATAATAGATATTTAGTCGCTTTTGTTGTATTTTTATTATTTTTTTTATCAATATTGAGCAAATCTGTTGACAGGTCACATTTCAATTCTGATTGACAGATGACATTGCTGAATTTTTTTGTGAAAAGGTTTAAATTAAATTATTAAAAAAGGTTTTCTTTATGTAGGTTGGGCTAGGTATAATATTAAGGAACATTTCAATGTAACTAAATGTTTTAAATGTTGGAAATGTGGACATTATAAAAAAGATTGTCGCGACACATCAGTGATATGTCCGCTCTGTTCTGGTTCCCACGAAAAAATCTTGTCAATCTCAAGATATTTGTTGCACAAATTGCAAAATCATGAATATCAAATATAAAACAAACGTCTTTACTAATCATAATGCAAATAGCCCTCTTTGTAGTTATTATCTTTATGAAATAGATAAATTAAAAATTAGAATTCGCTATGCCTAATAAATTACTAAAATTAGTTCATTTTAACGCGCGTTCTATTTTTCCAAATTTTGATGCATTTGTCGATTTAATTTATGAACAAAACCTTGATGTTATAGGCATTATAGAAACGTGGTTAGATGAACATATATCTGATGAGAGTATATATATTCCTGGATACCAAATACTTCGAAGTAATCGCAAAAATCGAATTGGTTTTTATATTCACAACTGTATACAGCACCATCATGTTTTTCATGATTTTGGTACTATCAAAGGCATTGAGCATATGTGGGTTTCTCTTAAATTAGGTAAAAACTTAATTTTAATAGGGGTTATTTACAGAACAAATACATGTGGTATTCCAAGTTTTGTTGAATTTTTTGATAATATATTATCATTTATTTTACCTCAATTTGACGATATATTAATTACAGGGGATATAAATGTTGAACAACTTTCAAATAATGTGATATATCAATCTGTAGAATCATATGGGTTTTGCCAGTTAATAAAAGAACCTAACCACTATTACTCCTACATCACAAACCTTACTCGACGTTATCTTTACAAATAGAGATGATCTTGTCGCAGGTTCTGGTACGATATTTCTGATCACAGATGAGTGTATTGCAGTCTAACTCTATCAATTGTAATTCAGAGTCCTAAAGTAATAAAACATAGATCTTACAAATATTTTTCACATGATAGTTTAAATAGAGATTTATTAAGTATACCTTTTGAAAATATATTATATGAAAATGATATTGAAAACAAGATAAAATTATTTAATATCTACCTTCTCTTTTTATGCGCCGTACGTTCAATCTAGAATTACAAAATCTTTTGAACCTTGGCTCCTACAATAAGAGATAAAGCACTTTCTAAATATAAAAAGTCTAAAAACATCTCTGACTACATTTACTATAAAGATATTTGAAATACTGTTACTTTGGCTGTTAGAAAAGAAAAATCTAAACATAAAAAGTCTAAAAACATCTCTGACTACATTTGCTATAAAGATATTTGAAATACTGTTACTTCGGCTGTTAGGAAAGAAAAATCTGCGTATCTCGCCCACCATTTTAAATCCGGTAGCTCTAAACAATTTTGGAGAACAATAAATTCTTTAAAGCTATAACTGAAATTTCTGAGTCTTTAAAAAATCCTACTGAGATAAACAAATATTTTTTATCGGTTTTTACCCCTAGAAATGCCTGTCCATTTACCCACTCATTATTATAACTCATTTAAATTTAAACCTGATATACGTTTTTCTTTTCGTCTTGCTACTGTTGACGAAATAAGACAAATTGTTATAAATCTCAAATCAAATGCAGTTGGTAGTGATGGTACATCCGCTAAGATGCTACAACTTTGTCTAAATGTAATCGCACCTTTTCTGACACATATCGTAAATTGCTGTTTAGAACGTGGTTATTTCCATGATATTTGGAAATTTGCTTTAGTGAAACCCTTTCCTAAAATTCAAAATCCTGAAAGTTTTAGCGATCTACGTCCTATAAGTATCTTTCCAAACGAGTATATTTTTACAAATGGTATTATTGATAATACTCAGTCTGGCTTCAGAAAGGGATTTAGTACAACTACCCTTTTATAGGTCATTCACTGAATTTACACCCATATCGGATTGAGAAATAAATGAAAGATTTGACTGGTCAGTTGTATTTTAAACATTTACTCATGGGCGTTATTTTGTATATTGCAAGGGGTTCTTATAGAAACAAAATAAATATAAATTTTAGATATTTAATTTTGCCTCAGAAAGCTTGAAAGAGATAGTTACATGATTTTGTTGTTTAATAATAGTTTATTCAGAACAAAAAAATTTAATTTACATACACAGTTTTACCCTGCGATTAAGGGAAAATGGTATTACCATAAACAATGTCCAAAACAAAATTATAAATATTTTAATTTTTTCGTGTATTACTTTAGTAATTTAATTTTAATAAACATAATTACATAATAAATAAGTATTTAATAATTAAAATATATTTACCCCCTACCCACCGGAGGACTACGCTTATTTTATTCAACTACCTGATGCGAAATTATCCTGTAGACCGGCTCAGTCGTGCATCTGTTTCTTAATCCGATTTGGGTGTAAATTCAGTGAATGACCTATATTAAATGTCAGTGACCACATAATAAAATCCCTTGATGAATCGGGACTGACTACAGCATTAACACAATCAGACTTTTCGAAAGCATTTGATACTCTTGATCACTACTTATTGTGCGCTAAACTAAAGGGTATTCCAATAAGAGTTTCCGGATATTTTTGTTTGCTACTTTTTTTGTGGTATTCTTTTTTGTTGTATTCTGCAAACCAGCAATGGAGCGGTACACAGTAGAACAAAGAGTTTACGTTATTAAAACGTACTTTGAAAATCTGTCTTCTATGATAGCTACATATCGCCGAATTCGTGATTATTTTGGCATATAAAATTGACCCTCAGAAAGAACCATTCGTAATATAGTGTGTAAATTCGAAACTACAGGTTCTGTGCAAGATATTAAAACAAAACGGCGTGAACGTCCAGCTCGCTCAGTTGATAATATTGAAGCTGTTCGTCAAAGTGTGGCTGACAATCCCCAAATGTCTATTGCAAGGCGTTCGCAGCAAGTGGGCATCAGCAAAACCTTAACATGGCGAATTTTGAAAAAGGATTTGGCTCTCCGCCCTTACAAGATTCAGCTAACACAGGAGTTAAAGCCAGCAGACCATGGCCAACGCCGTGATTTTGCTAACTGGATCCTACAGAGAAAGGCAGATGATGATTATTTTTACAACAAAATCATCTTAAGCGACGAGGCCCATTTTCATTTGAGCGGTTACGTAAATAAGCAAAACTGTCGCATCTGGGGCAATGAAAATCCTATACAAATCCATGAAAACCAATGCATGCTCAACGTGTCACGGTTTGGTGTGGTTTTTGGGCTGGAGGTATCATTGGACCTTTCTTTTTTGAAAATGAAAACGAACACGCTATTACGGTAAATGGGGAGCGATATCGAGCGATGATTAACGACTTCTTATGGCATGAGATAAGGGACATGGACTTTAACAATATGTGGTTTCAACAGGATGGTGCGACATGTCATACAGCAAGAGAAACGATGGATTTATTGCGTACAAAATTCGATGGGAAGATTCTCTCGAGAAATAGGGACGTAAATTGGCCACCTAGATCATGCGACTTGACGCCGCTGGATTATTTTTTGTGGGGTTATCTAAAAAGCAAAGCTTACGAAAACAATCCCCAAACAGTTCAACAGTTGAAAGAGGAAATTCGACGCATAATTCGTGAGATACACCACAAATGTGCTCAGATGTTATGGAAAATTTCAACAAAAGAATTGTTTCCTGCCAGAGAAGTGTCGTGGTGGCCATTTGCCAGATAATATATTCCACGTATGTAAAATACTTCATATTGCAATAAAAAATTGTCATTTATGTTGTAAACGTTTTCTTTTATTTATTATCAACATCCGGAAACTCTTGTTGGAACACCTTTTATTATGGTTCCTCGAGATTATTTAAATTTTACTTGAGTAATCGATATCAAAAAGTAGTTCTAGATAATAATTCATCAAATTTTTCATCTGTAACCTCTGGAGTTCCTCAAGGTTCTGTACTGGGTCCCTTACTTTTTCTAATTTACACTGCCGACATAAATTCATTTGTAAATTACGTTAAAATTCAAATTTTTTCCGATGACACTCAACTATACTGCTCATTTGATCTAAAAACTTCAATAATATTTCTGACTACATAAACAGAGACTTAAACGAAGTGGCCAAGTATTCTGAAGCTCACAATCTATCCAAAAACTGCCAATGCAAGTTGTTTAAAAAATATCAAACTGGTCATTAAAAACCAACATTTGAAAGTTGTTAGCAGCGCCAAAAGTCTTGGCATTATCTTTGATTGAAAGTTACCTTTTGAAGAGCATATTTCATTGTTGGTAAAGAAATCTTATTCAGTTCTTCGTCAATTATATAGGAACCGAGGAATTTTCAGTTTTCCCATACGGAAACTTCTTTGTGAGCGTTTAGTTTTATCGATTTTAAATGATGGTTTGGTTTTATTTTATCCTTGTTTAGATCAATTTACGAAATATAGGTTACAAAAAATCTAAAACTCATTTTGCAGATTTATTTTTGGATTAAAAAAGTACGATAGAGTTTCTTCTAAAATAAAACAATTAGAATGGCTCAAAATAGAAAATTTATTTAAATTACAAATGTCTGCTTTAATCCTACGCATTTTGTCGACTTCTCAACCTGCGTATTTAAAGGACAAATTACTATATCGAGGAGATGTACATAATGTAAACTTAAGATATCCAAACACTCTAACACCACCCAGATTCAATCTTACCATATTTCACCGTTGTTTTACTTACAATGCTGAAAACATTTACAATACTGTTCCATTGGAAATATGGACGCATTCTTTGGAACATCTTAAGAAACGCAATATATTTTTTTTATTAAATTGCTATTGTTATATATAAAATCATTTCTGTAAATCATTTTTTAAGTTTTCTAAATATTATTTTGTTTATAAACAAATTACTTACTGTTTAGAGGTTAAGTGGAGTAGCTTAGCTAGACTTTGCCTCTATATATTTTCATGTATTGTATATTACAATGCAAAATAAAGGCATTTTATTATTATTATTATTATTAAAAAAGATGAGATTTATATTCGCTGGTTTGTGATGGTTTGTTTACTTCTAAAATCTAGAGGTTCTCGGTATCTTGAAGAAGGTTTAAAATAATGTGCTTGATCGACACAAGGATCTTTTTGATTTTTTTGTTTGTGTGTTGTACAACATTAAATATCTTTGTCTCAGAAAATATGTATGTGTACATAATTCTACTACGACATTCTTTTGATTCTTGCTGAGGTGAATTGTGATATTTAAATGATTTTTCAAAGCTTCTAGGTGAACTTTAGAGACGCCTTCTGTCTTTGGTTGCACCAATCATTTTATCCAACATAGCTTCATCTTTTGGCGGATTTTATGTGGCGTGTCTTTGAGTGATGTAACTGTCTGAACACCTTTGTGAAAGATGGCGTCATTTTGCTCATTATTGCTGTTTTTGCCAGTTTTGTGTATTTTTCCAGTTTTGTGTATTTTTCCAGATTTATGATAGTAATTATAAAAATTTTGCAGTTAATCAATAGAAACGCAATAATGCTGGAAGAGACTAGGGATACGATAACAGTACCTGCAGCTTTCATGATCAGAATGTTGGCGTGTCTGAATCAGATACGCAGAGGTGCTAGAACTAGAACCAATAGGAATAATAGAAGAGAAGACGACCAAGAAGACTCATAATATTGTTTTAAATTATTCGGAAACAAATAACGGAGAAGTAAGGGTGAAAAGATAAATAGTCAGTGATAGATATCGGTGTATAACCTCTTGTAATTCCCCCTAAGTATCGATTTTATGATTATTTTTTTAAATAGACAGCCGTTATGTAGATAATTTCAGTATTATATGACTTATTACTTTCTAATATCGATATTTTGTACTTTTTTCTTGTAATTAGCTATAAACTGGTTGTAAATATTTACTATTTTACTTTGCTAGTCCATTTTAACGCATTTTCTAGTGCAGGAGGTTATACAGTCACTTGTCTGTTCAAAAAAATATTTTTTTATGCTTTAATTTAGATTCTATTGTAAATAGATTTTTTTTAACGAATATATTACGTGGATTGTTTATCAGAAAAGGGTACTGATGATTTATCAGCTTTATTTCTTTATTAATATTATTTTTTTGTTGAACTACTGCAATTGTGTTATTAGTATTATTGTATTTTTAAGAATCATTATATTAATGTTTATAATTTAAAAAAAAATGATTTTGATTTGTTTATTGATGGTTTTCGTAGTAGAATCGGGTTGTGAAATTAGCGAATTTCGAATTAAATTACCTTTTAAATTTGCCTGGGTTTTATTTAGTGCCTAATGAATTCTAAAAAATACTGAAAAATTAAAATTTCTCTATTACGGACCATTTTTAAGGAATCATGTATAGAGCAAAAATTATAGAGAATGACATCACATCAACTCTTAATTGAAAATTTTCTTTTATAATCATAAATAATAGAAATATCGTCGTCAATATCACGAAGTGACGTAACTCGATTTTCACAACTTTACAAGAGAGCGTTTTAAAGTTTTTTTTAATAAAGTTACGTCTTTTTTTGAAATTATTAGATACACCGGTTAGATACGTGCTATTTTAATAAATCTAAAGAAATGAAATAAGCAATTTCGTAAAATTGTAGAGTATACTTTTTTACATAATATGTGACATCTCAATTTTCAATTTTTTGACTTACGTCACTTCGTAATATTGTCGACGATATATCTTGATGTAAAAAAATGGCCAGATGTTTCGACTATGACCAAAATCTTATCAGCACAACGCTGTAGTTTAAAATTTGGTGTTTTTTTCTTTATCCGCTTTTGAGTTTTGGTGGACACAGTCACGGATAAATATTAGAATAAAACTTTCTGAATAACTTGATGAATTATAATTTCAAAATCTGTAGTTGTTTTATGAGCTAGAGAAACATTTAGATTTAAGTATTGAAAATCAAGATGATACAAGAAGGAAGTAAACAAAACTAGAATGTTGAAATTGAAAAACATCAATGGTCTTTAAGATTTTGTCAGGAGTTCCACAGGGATCTCATTCTGCACCTTTATTATTCAACCTATTTACAAACGATATTGGTTAAGTGCTCCAAACTATGCAGTTATATATCATGTTTGTAGATAATCTTGAATTATTTAAATTTATTAAAACTGAATAAAATCAGGCCCTTGAACAAGAAGATTTATAGTATATTACGTAACAAGTGACCCGTTACGCACGAAGTGAAAAAGTTTACGCACAAAGCCGCACAGCGGCGAGTGCGTAATGGGCTACAACTCGTCTAACGTACTATACTTTTTCTACGCCCACTTATTTTCTTCTATTAAATAAAGAATATCGCGCAATTATTTAAACTTTATTATAATAGTTGTTAATAACAATTGAACAATTATTGTAAGTCGATTCTGCTTTATTACTTAACGGTTATCTATAATTGTAGTACTGCACGGTACATCAGAAGACGAAGATTGATAATTGGTAATCGCCTCCGATATTCGTAATGGGTTGTCATTTTTATTTTTAAGAGAGTGATTCACATAGCTTTCCGCCACTGTAGAAGATTGCCAGCCACCAAGTCACTTTAATGATAGCATATCACCTCTTGCATCAACTAATATAGCGGCTGACGATTTCCTAAAGCAATGGCTAGTATATTGCTTTGGTTCCGGCAGTTGAAGATATTCAGCAATTTTACGTGGTGTACCACCGATTGTGTTTATCCCCACAACCTGTTTCACGCATTTTCCATTTCTGTAATTAACAAATAAAGGAAGTTCCATTTCAGGCGGACGCAAATTCATGTACTTTTGACATGTGATATAAAACGTTTCTGGTACTACAAATGAACGTCTCGTTTTAATTTTAGAATTTAGAATATCAATTATCAAGGATTTTCCCGTGTCCTGAATGTGTTCCATTTTTATATTTCTAAGTTCTTGTTTACGGCAAGCCCCGCTTAAACCAATAATGAGGATAACCTGAAAACAAAAATTCATTTTTATGTGATGATAATTTCACTATATTTTAATTCTTTACCTTTGACAACAAATATTTATCGTCTGGGGCATCTTTCAGAAATTTATTAATTTGTTCTGAAGAAAGGAATTTCGCTTTTTTACTTCTAAATCCATCCGATTTCCGCTTCAGTAGGGCGATTAGTTTTGGATAATCTGCTACGTTAATGTTATTATTAATGTTTAGTGTCGATCTCAGCATCGAATAAATGGCCCATAGAGAAGATGGCTTCATAGTTTTTGATATTTCTTCAAAATACGCAAGTAAAACATTCTCCGAAAAGGATTCAACGTTATGCTCGTGTCGCCAATCCATAAATTTTCGATAGGTAATTTCGTACCTTTCTTTGGATTTCAGCGGTAACGAATTATGTGTGGCAGATTGAGATTTTTCTAAACTCTCCGGTGGAGTGCCCATAATTTCATTACTCTTTTAATCCAAAATGTATCTCGCTAATGCTAAAAGTTCTTGTTTTTTCAATAGAATAAATTTATGTAAATAGACCGAATAAAGTCGTACGTAGATAAAAATTTGATTGCAATGTGATTAAACTAAGAAATGTAAGTTTTCTTATCAAAACGTACGTGTATGTTACAAGATCTCATTACGTGCATGTTATTGTTAAATGTTATTTACAAGGAATGTTGACGGTGCGATTTTTAACGTTTACTGACATGGGCGTAGAAAAAATAGTTTGCTGGGTTGATGTGTCTAATAAGTTGGCACTTAATGTAAAAAAATGTGTTTATTTTAGTTTCGGCTTAGGTAGTGACATGAAATTACTTTTTTTCTCGTTTTTTTTAGTACCTAACCACACATCGAATTTGTGGATTCACACAATTTTATTTCAGTTTTTGATTATACAGGGTATTCTCTATTATACACAAAATCATACTAAATCAAAATCCCAAATTTGTTCCGGACATCTAAAAAATAAAACTGTACATTTTTTTCAATAACTCGAAAACGGCTTGAAATATCAAAGAACTGATTTCACTAGTGCCAAATTTAGGCAGAATCTTGCAGAACACCCAGTGTCTTTGACTACCAGCCGCCACTATTCACAAAACCTATATTTTTTTAATTTATCGTGAAACTACTTTTGATGTCCATATTAAATATTGTTGCGCAGCACTCTGCAGCGTGCTTCGATCTTCATAAGTAAAAGTACGAGTAAAAGAAGATAGAATAGTCCAGAAATGTCTGGAAACGTCATTACTTGTCAAGAAAATTCTAGGCAGTTCGAGAAAGGTCAAGCAAGACCTGACTTCAGTTTTATGATATACGTTAATGTTATCAGCAAAGAATACCTACGGAAAAGCGAAACTGAATGAGTTTTCGTATGTACCAAAGCAAGGGAACTTAATACACTGGGAAACGTATGAAAATTAATTAATTTTTGTCGTTTGGTTCATAAGAATTAAGGACATACTAAAGTAACAATGACAGATAGATAATTCTTACTATGTTCATTATGTCAAATAGAATATTTTAATAAAGAAATAATTCAGTACGTATAATACACACAAATTCAAATAACAGTATGTCCCAACATTACAGGAGCCATGAAAACCACATCAGTTAGAGATGGAAGTCGTTCTTAGTTTCACTCCCCTTGATATTTACATCAAGGAGGTTGTTCCGATGACAATGACACGCCTCTGCACGGTTAGAATAAAACTTGATGTACGAGACGTCGCTTTTGGCAAAAGGTGCTCGATACGCTCCCACTGCTTCAGGCGAACATGAACTTAATCTCCATAAGCGATATGAACAGAACAAATGGAAGATCCGTAAGTGGCAGGTACGATTCATATCTACACCTACGGTTCTAAAACAAAACAATGCTCAGGATGTGGAATATACTCCAATTCCTTAAAACTCAATATAAAATGGGCTGTGAGCAATAGTGCCAATATAGTTCACATGGAGCTCATGGAGGTTCTCATAGCAGCAAAAGAAATCACCAGAAACAATATCACTGGTAGGAACATGCTCATCTATACAGAGAGCAGATAAACACTACTTACCCTGAACTGACTACGAATTTATTCAGGGTTAGTATTAGAATGCCACGAAGCCTTGGCAAGAGTATCCATCCAACAATGTGGTCACCTTAAGATATATCAAAAGTGACGCCACAGCGAAAGGTTATTGCTGATTTACAAGAAGGCGACCAAAGAAATACTTTTTGGACCTGGCCCTTTTATTGGACTGACAACATCGGTAGTGACAGACCTAATTAAAGAATATTTCTTTGTGAAATTGAAGGAAAGATGGGATGAAACAAGAAACTGTTGAGTTACCAGGGAGCTTTAAAGTTATCCTGACAACAATACAACAAACAAATACTTGACTACGACTAGACAGAATCTGCGTCCGATCACAGGCATTCTGACTGGTAGTTGCCAAGTACAGAAGCATCTCCATATCATGGGGCTGTCAGAATCCGCCCCCTGCAGGGGGTGAGAACAAAAAGATGAGAGCATTGAACATATCCTCTACGATTGCCAGTCGCTCTCATTTATTAGAAGATTTGTTTTCGGGAAGTATTGGCTATCACTGGCCGATATAAGAGAAGCATCTCTTGGCGACGTTGTCAACTACATTAAATCTGTAGACTGGCTCACGAGCTAGGAGGTGCCTATTATTTTAGGAGGATACACAATGGGCCTAAGTGCCGTGAGGTAACCCACCCTCTACACGTTACATATCCAGAAGTACTGTAGGTAGCTGTAAATGCATTTCAATTGTATCCTCATAGCAGCGCTAATAATAATATACCAAACGTTGCTCTACATAAATGACAGCTATATTTGACGTTAAACCACCTCTAAAACACAGAAAACTTATTAGCAGTTTTTGTCCACAAATCGCCCATTTAGTTTCGCTTCTTGGGTAGGTATTCTTTGGTTATCAGTTGTATTGTTATTGTAAAAGATGAGTAACATTGGTGACAGCGGTGGGATATAAAATAAAAGTTACCCAAGGAGCCTGCAAAGATTCTATTCATGGTAAATACTAGATCCACTGTGCACGAAACAGATATGGATACTTCAGGCCCACCAGCATTGTTTTTGAAGATGGGGGAGGAAAAGGAAAGGCGCCGTAAGGAGGAAAATGATAAAAAGGAAAGGCGTAGGAAGGAAGAAGAGGAGGAAAAGAAAAGGCGCAGGAAGGAAGAAGAGGAGGAAAAGAAAAGGCGCAGGAAGGAAGAAGAGGAGGAAAAGAAAAGGCGTAGAAAGGAAGAAGAGGAGAACAAGAAACGGCTAGAATAGAGTTAGAAAGGCAAATTAAAACCAAATTAGTTGAATTAGAAAGAATTTGTAGCCTAGCTTTGGCAAGCAACAGAGAAACTGCAAACACTACCTTGTCCTCATCTATAACTGAAGCAAGCTATATCCAAAACCCAGTTTCACAAAGCCACACTAGTAAGACCATTAAGCCACCCATCTTTGACGGTCAGACAACATGGGAAACGTATCGACTCCAATGGCTGGGCTGAAAAAGAGATGGCGGCTGCATTGATAGTGTCACTGCGAGGACACGCAGCAACCGTTTTACAGTTACTCCCTCAAGAAGAAAGCAGTTATTCATCTCTCGTCCAAGCTTTGGAGACGAGATATGGCCAGCAGCATTTGAAACGGGTATTCCAAAGCCCGCTAAAGGTTCGCAGTCAGAAACATAATGAGAGTCTTCAGTCGCACAAAGATTTCCAGGAACAAATCGGCATACAGGCATTTATTGATGGACTACAAGATGTGGAAATGCAGCAAGCCCTTCGTCTACAACATCACAAGACGTTGATTGTAGCCCAGGAATATGAAGCGGTAAAACTCATATCCAGATCTTCACGCGCAAAACTGAGAAAAATTAAATCTCAGGAAATCTCAGGAAATCTCGCAAATCTTAAATATCCTGCAAAATATACAATGAAACAGCCAAAAGGGAAGGGGATGTTTCAATTGTCGAAGAATCGGGCACCTTCAAAGAACCTGTAGAAGCTGGGCTCATTCTATAAATCGAGAATCAGAGAATGAGGCGGGAAAGTCACATAGATGAATCTTCCGAAGCCCGTCACGAAGTCCCAACAAGAAATGGTTAAGCAGCCATGCGTCCCGAAGAAGCCAATCACCCACACCTAGCCAGCTTTCTAGCAATAACCAGGAAGTAGAGCATCGAAGAGGCCGTCTCCATAGCAACGCAAACATTTTTTCTAGGCGACCGTGTTTAGAACGACAATGCCGGTACTGTAAAAGGCTTGAAGAACGAGAAGAGCTGGTTGAAGAAGTTAGAGGATGACGAAGACGGAATCACCCTTGAAAGCCTAAGAAAGACAATGACTTGAAGGTTGTCTGGTAATGGCTCAAAAATGGAGTCAGACCTACATGGCAAGAGATAGCCAAATATAGTGGAACCATTAAAGGGTACTGAACTCAGTGGGATTCCCTGTATCTTCACGATGGCCTATTGCATAGGAAGTGGGAGAGCCCCGATGGAGTATTTATAGTCCGAAATCACAGGTCAGAAGTTTGTTGGAGGAGCTTCATAGTAGCCGTTCAGGGCACTTTGGTACTAAAAGGACACTTCCACGAGTTCGGAAAGATTTTATTGGGTCAATTTCCAGACAGCACACCAAATCCTTTGGATATCTACTGAACATCCAAATATCCACTGAATGTCCAGTCCATGGTGGATATCTGTTTTATATCCATGAGCTGTAATTTATAGACATGCAAATGTCTATAAATAATAGTAATTATATAGCAAATTATTAAAAAATTACGTCATTGTGGCAAATAGTACCGTTCAGATATTTAAAATTAATTTTTTTAAGGTGTGTTCAATATCCCATGGACATCCACTAAATATATCAAAGTCTAGGCGCGAACGCAAACCATCGTGGATATCCACTAGATGTAAAATCAACGACCTGATCTACTGCATTCAGCGGGAAGTAAATCTAAAGGTAGTTCACACTGGAAAGTTAGCGCCATACTTTGGTCCAGATCCCCGTTAGCTCCAACCAGGTCCCAGTAATCAAGTTATTAGGGACTCTTGTTTACTCTTTGCCCATCACAATTGTTGCCATGACAACAGTTCCTGCAAAACTGATTTCAGCTAAATGAAAATTGAGCCACTCTGTTTATTCTCTTCACTATTATCGATCGGTTAATTCAAAATTGTTTAATTAAAATAAAACATCGTTTTTTTTATGTGGATATCTACAAAGTTCTTTGCCTTTCCCCTAATTTGACATCTCTAGTTATACCTATAATTCCGAGATCTGTTTACCAATATACACAGAATTAAATCAACAAATATTTTGATGAAGTGAAATCCGTACCTGGAATGACATTTACAGGCTATGTTAATAAATCAAACTTTAATACATAAAATTTATATACATTTTTCCTCTGTAATAGGGTCTTCTCGTAAAATAAATAAAAGAATCGCCAGAGAACAAACTATTAAATACTAAGAGGACGCCTATGAAGTCTCTTTTAAATTGGAGTGTTGTAGCACTCTCAGATTTATTCGCTCGTTCTTACTGTCCTTTATCTTATATTCTTCTCTTTGCATCAATGATCAAATAAAAGTCATTAGTATGTGTAATTACTTTATTAATTTAATTCATAGAAAAAGAAATAAGATATAAAAAAACCGTTAATAATAACAAAAACAACATAGTACACTTACACTGAGACTCTAGCTGATATTTTATAAATACAAATAAAAATTAAATAAGAAGCTATAAGTAATTATATTCTCTAAAAATTTAATAAAAAAAAAAACACTGACGTACCATATTTACAATCGATACAAAATAAAAATGTAAATGCATTTAAAATAAAATATAACATTAAAAAATAATGTAAATACCCATTTTTTTTCAGTCAACCGAATTCCGGCATCCACACACAAACCAACACATGAGATTCTTCTAAATACAATAGAAAATTATGAACTCTAAACGTGATACGTTGATAATACAGAACTAAAACTCAAAGTAATAAACCAAACTATCATCAAATGTCATTTAAACACATCTGTCAATTGTCTCGGATGCCGTAAATATGTCAAATATTTTATTAGAAAACGCGTTTTAGTCCTGTATATCGATGGTATTGCAAAAATAATAAACTTCGCTTTTATAATAATGATAATAATAACAAATTACTTGTAATTCAACATTTGAAAGAGTTAGGAAAAATTTATTTTAGTAGTCCACCACCATTTTGAATTAAACAAAAAAAGGCCGATTATTTGATAACCTATTTAAAAAATGGAACTTACAACAAGAGAAGTTTATTATCATTATTATTATCATCATTAAAAAAACGTGTGTATATTTACACACAAACGAAATTATTTCATTTTCGAAGAAGTAGTACAAATGATGGCAAGCCCGGCTGACAGTACAGACCAGAACAGTAGGGTAGCTTCTAAATGGTTCACTATGTATCTTATAAAGTCTAAGCTCTGCTTCCATAACGGATTGACCTTTACTTTCGCTGCTACCGGTAGTAAGTTTCTGGCTTTTAGAAAATCGATTAAAAACGGCGAATCTTTCGTGACAGCCGGCAAATATTCAGTTAGTTTTTCTCTAGTCCACCAAGGTCCTTGATTCCTACAAATAAAAATACGTTACACAGCCGTGACGATGTTTAAACAAAAAAATGTCATAATACAAAGATGAAGATGACATTTCTTACCTGTGCTTTATTCCAGTGTACTGATATTTATACAACAAGGCTCTCAAGTATTTTGGAGGCGCTTGGTGATATGGAGAATCTCTAAAATCGATGAGAGACAACACTTCTTGTCTGTGGGTCAAAATCCTATGAACGAATGATAACAACCATGGGTGCTGATCGTAGCTACTGTAAGCTGCTTTGCTCATGTGCCAATCCAGCTGAGGAAAGTGTGGAGCTACAAAAATACGATATTTTTTGTTATATATTAAATATAAGCTGTCGAATGTCGTGATTAAAGACACTTGACAACCAAAAGTCATAAATAATAACTGATAACTGGGAACCAAAAGTTTGAAATAATAGAGGAATTTCTGTAAATTGTCTTAGTTAACCTGGATCTGTTAAATCCTTTCCATAAACACACAAGGTCCTTCTGGTTTCTATTGACACAGCTATTGACTTTAATATGTAATCATTCATGCTCTTTAATCAACTTAACCATCTAAGCAACTTATTATAACTGTCAACCGAATTACAATTATTAATAACAAAACTGGAAACCAAGTCGTAAATAATGGCAATTGACAATCAAAATTAATAATAACAACTAACAACCAAACGTCACAATTAATGATAAACATCAATTTAAGACTGACAGCGAAAAGTTATAATAAGTTATAATTAAGACAATTATTAACACCAACAGTCACAATTAATGATAAATGACACCAAAAGCCAAAATTAAAGACAAAACTGATGACAAATGATGACTAAAACTCATAATTAATGACTACTAAGACACAATTGATCATAAAATCATAACCAAAAATTATAATTAGAGACATTTGACTATATAAAAATTAATAATGATACCCGACTATCAATAGTTACAATTAACGATAATTTGCCATTAAAAGCCACAATTACAATAATTGACAAGCGAAAGTCTTAATTAAATAAGCAAATAAGTCATAATTAAAGACAACTGATTGCCAAAAAAAATATATTCAAAGACAATTGACAATCCAAAAATCCTAATTGAAAACAACTGACATCGAGAAGTCACAATTAATGATAAATGACACCAAAAGTCAAAACTGACAATGTGTCATAAATAATGAGAAGTGATGACTAACTCATAATTAATAAGAACATTGTCACAAATAATCATAAATTCATAACCAAAAATCATAATTGGAGACATTGGAATACCTAAAGTAATAATTAATGACGAATGACCATCAAAAATCACAATTAACAATAATTGACCAACAAACGTCACAATTACGAGAACTAACGACCGACAAAACTAGCAACTAAGTGATAAATAGAGACAACTGATAACCCAAAAATTATATTCAAAGATAAAGGATAATAAAAAAGTCATAATTAAAAACAACTGACATCGAAAAGTTATAATTAAGACAATTTATCACCAAAATAATTAATAATAAATGACAATCAAAATGTCATAATTAATGGAAATAACGACCAAAAATCATAATTAATAACTACTAATGATTAAAAGTTATAATTAAAGACAATTGACTATCAAAAGTCACGATTAACGACAATTGATCACCAAAAGTCTTAATGTCAAAACTGACAAATAAATCATAAATAAAGACAACAGACAACCAAAAAGTCATAATTAAAGACAAACAACTAAAACGTCATATTCAAAGACAAACAGCCAAAGTCATAATTAAAGACCATAAATAACCAAAATATATAAAAGACAATCAATGATAAATGTTAAATAAAATTAATGACAATTGATGATAAAGTCATCATTAATGACAACTGACGAACAAAACTCACAATTAATGAGAAAGCTGGGAATCAAGTCAAAATAAATGATAACTAAAAATCATAATTAAAGACACCTGACAACCAAAAAGTAATAATTAATGACAGCCGACTGTCAAAAATCACAATTAATGACAACTATCAGAAGTCTTTAATTATTAACAAAATTGGCAACTTAGTCATAATAAAAAACAACTGAAAACCAAAAAATCATAATAAAATACAATTGACATCCAAAAAGTCATATAATTAAAGAAAACTGACACCAAAAAAGTTATAATTACGACAAATAATAAAGAGTCACAAAACTACTGATTACTAACAAGCAAATGTCATATTTAAAGACAAACCTGATCACCAAAATGTCAAAATTAATGACAACTTATGACAAAACGGGCACCTAAGCAGTATTTAAATACAATTCATAATCAAAAAATCATAATCAAAGACAAATGACAACAAAAAAGTCATTAAAAACAACTGAAAACCAAAAGTTATTATTAAGACGATTAAAAACCGAAAGTCATAATAATGACAAGCAAAAGTCATAATTAAAGACAAAACTGACAACCTAAGTGTCATAATTAATGACAACTGACTACCAAAAATAATAAATAATTCAACAGATGACAAAAACTTAAAAGTAATGAGAAAGCTGACAATTAGAATTGATAATAAAAGATAATTAAAAATCATAATTAGAGACATCTAACAACCAAAAAGTCATAATCAAATACAATCGGCAATAAAGTCATAATTAAGTAAACTAATAACCAAAAATTACAATTAATGACAACTGATGATCAAAACTTATAATTAAAGAAAAAGATGGCCAGAATTGATGATAAAATAATAATTTAAAAAAATAATTACAGGTACATCTGACAATAAAAAAGTAATAATCAAAGACAACTGACTATTAAAAGTTATAATTAATGACAGAACTTGCAATTAAGTCATAATTAAAGACAACTGACAGTTAAAAAGTCCTAATCAAAGACAATTGACAACCAAAAGTAATAATTAAGACAACTAACGACCAAAACTTATAATTAATAAGAAAGCTGCAGCTAAATCGATATTGATGATAAAATAGTAATTAAAAAATATAATTTGAGATATCTAACTACCAAAAAGTCAATAAATGACAACCGATGAACAAAAATCGCACAAAACTGATACTCACCGACGAACGGCAACGATGAATTGGGATTTCCGGGTTTGTACAAAAAGTTGTACTCTTTCCATGGTCCGTCGACCTTATCGGCCCCCTCGAATATGATTTCGTAGCGACCCTGTACAGCCGGAAAATTATTCACGACGCTCGGGTAATGGTTAACGGCGTGAAGTTTGTGCAATCGATTGTAAATGTTGCGCACCAACGGATCGACGGTCGAATTGGTGGCCGGTTTCAAAGATGCGATTGGAACCTACGATAGAAATTATTTGAATTATTTCCAATAATGTATACAAAATATAAAATACAAGTGCTTGACCTAATCTAAAATGACGAAAAGATATTATAACCTAAAAATTAAAATAAACCCACAGATCTAGGAGTGACAGACAGAGTTGTTTCTAAAATTGTTATAATAATTATTACAAATTTATTTTTATTTTATACAACGTTTATCGTGAAACATGTCATGGTAATTATAAAAATACATAAAATTATATACCTAAAAGAAAATTAGAAGAAAAAAAACATACCTAACAAAAACATGAATTATTATATAAAATATTCTTCTATGGAATAGCAGTTTTTCTCTTAAAGTGAAGAGATTACTGTTGTTCTTTATGCCCTCTGGAAGGATATTATAACATTTACAACCCATATACTCTAGATTATTTTCAAAAAGTGCCGTACGGTGTCTAGGTATTAGTAATTGGCTTTTGTTTCTTGTGTTATACTCATGAGAAGCACGCTCGGCAACATATATTGATCTGTTCTTATGAATGAAAGTACATGCTTCTAATATACAGGGTGACTTGAAAACAAATGAAAATCGGATAAGAACAAGAGTTTTTTTACATTATTTTCACGTGTATAATATACTCCTAGAGTTTGGTGCGCTCCTCCCGACTCATCCTGTATATATACCCCAGCCAGTGTTAGAATTTTAAATTTTTTAAAAAACTCTACATGAATCTCTTTTGCAATAATTCTTATGGCATATTTTTGAAGAACAAAAACTCTTTGCTTGGTTGAACAGGTACCCCAATTAAGTATACTATAATACCATATTTCAAATGAGAGTGAAAATTTGCATGATACACTGTTAAGAGTGTACTTTTACTACAATGATTGGCAATAAATCTAAGACTATAGCAACTTTTTCGTAATTTATTACACAGGTTATCAATATGTGAATTCCAGGTTATGCCATAATCAATAGTGATTCCTAATATTTTAATATTTTCTTCAGATATAATTGGTTTTGTGTAAATTGTCCATTATTATTAAATAACATTATATTAGTTTTAGTTTTATTTAATTTTGTTATTTTTTTTTCGACCATGATAAAACTTGATTATATGTTCTCTCTGTTGCTATTTTAAGTGCATATGCATTATTTTCGAAAAATAAAATATCTGTGTCATCAGCATAAGTTGGGTATATTCCAGGAATAGCATTCAAGGAAGTGATTAGGTCGTTGACAAAAACTAAAAATAAAAATGGACCCAAAATCGATCCTTGTGAAACTTCCAGCTCCAAACTAGTAAACATTATTATTGAACAATTTGTCTTCTATTTGATAAATATGATTCCAATAAGTCAAGTGGTATACGTCTTACCCCATATTTAGACAGCTTAAGCAGTAGAAGTTTATGGTCCACACAGTCAAAAGCTCTAGAAAAATCAATAAATAAACCCATTACATGCTTCTCACTATCAAGAGATCTTACGATTTTAGTATGGAACTCTATCAATGCAGTCTCTGTACTCTTTTTTGAAGTATAACCATATTGTGATGGCGATAACAGCTTAAACTTGGGGAAAAAATTGATTTTTGATATTCAACTCATATACTTTGGAAAAAGTTGACAAGATACTTATTGGTTTATAGTTATTAATATCATTCGGATCTTCCTTTTTGTAAATGTGAACTACTTTAGCTAGTTTTAAAGAATCGGGAAAAATACCTTTCTCAGTTGATAAATTCAACAAAATTCAACAAAAAACTCAATTGTTTAGTCAATAGAGCAACACACTTTATAATTAACTTATTATTTAAGCCATCAGTGCCAACTGAAATAGTGTTTTTTAAAGACTGTATTAATTTTAAAACATCCTCATCTGAAACATGAGCCATATAAAATGTTTTATTATTAGATGTAATATGTGTATTTAAAAATTATAAAAATTCTATGTCACAAACTAAGCTATCTATGGGGGTTTAGTGAAATTAATATTAAATTTATTTGCCAAGTCAGAATCATTTATCTGGTTACCCTGATCATATAATATAAGTTGGTTATTTGATTTGTTGTTCCCTTTTTGCAATTACCCAATCACTTCCCAGGTAGCTTTAGTCTTATTTTCAGAGCTTAAAATGAGATTATCATAGTATTGCTTAGAGGCCTATTCTAACCTAAGCTTATAAGTATTATTTAACATTTTACTAATTTCAATATATCGTCGATCGTGCTTATCATTTATAATGACACATTATTTTTTAATTCCAATAAATCTGCATTCCACCTATAGTTATTATTATTCTTTTTATTTTTAGTTTCGGGTCTTCGTGTAACTAACTTTTTTGGAAAGGCAGTTTCAAAATAGGATAAAACAATTTCCGCAAATTGATCATAAGCTAAATTGGGACAGGTCTGATCCAAAACACTAGTCCAATCTTCAGCCCCTAATAGATTATAAAAATGTTCTTATGTTATTTTCAGAATATGAACGCGAGACATATTTAACGACTGGTTTTTTGTTTTTTGAGATAAATTCTTAGTGTGGACAACAATAAATTGAGAATAGTGATCAGATAGACGAAGGTCTACCACTTTTACACTGTACTGATTAGATGTTCTAACAAATATATTATCAATGCAAGTTGCAGAGTCTTTTGTAACTCTAGTTGGAGTTCTTACACATATTTCAAGATTAAAACTATACAATAAATCTTCTAATGAAGTTGAGTACGGGATTTCATAAAATTTACATTAAAATCTCCTCCAATAATTACATTGTAGTTGTTTTCTGAACATACATAGATTAAAATTTCGTTTAAAACTGACATAAAATCACTAAAATTTCCTCCAGAGGGTCTATAAATCACTAAGCAAATCGTCCTATATAGAGGTAATAAAATGTTTTCTTTAGAAAATTTTTTGATATCATACTCATTCACTGTTCCAGATACATTGTCATTTTTATATATGGCGCATATCTATATATATAAAAAAAATATACTCACAGTACTAGATAGAAACAGGAGAACAGCAATGCCAGAGTACAAAATCGTCGAAATTACGGAAAAAAATTTATTTCCGAATGATTGGTTGTCGAACAAAACGCTGGACAATACGTACAAAATCGTCGTTGCCAAAGACACCAATCCAAAATAAATGATGTATAGCAAAGCTTGGCTAATGTGCTTATCGAATTGGGCTTTGGTGAAAGCTGAAAGATATTTAAATGTTAAATAATGTCGAACAGTCCCACTCTAATCCCGTAAGTCCCTTTCTAACTAATTGGGGCCTATTACGGCCTTCACTTTTCCCGTTAACTAAAATATTCGATTGAAAAAGTCAACCTCTGAAAAACCCTATGACCCGCCCATAGTAACAGCCAGTCAGTCGACGTGAATCATTCATTCTAGATTGTACTGGACCCTTCGGTGAATCATAACAAATCAACTATTTTGGTGAAAGCACCGATCTAGAAGCTACATAATATGTATAAATAATGTTTTGCCGTTGGAAGTCGAAGTTTTAGTAAAGATGTCGTTTTATGTACATAGACGTATTATAAAAGTAAATTAATGTATTAGTAAAAGAAATATAAATTAGTTTTGTATTTGGTACACATAAATTATGTTACAATTAAAAATGAATTTTTGTTCTTACCAAAGTTGGAATCGATCTGTGACCCATTGATTTTCAAAGAAAACACTTGAATCGTTCCGTAAATGATTGCAGCATGTATTGCAACGTTTGCGATAAAGCCCAACACTGAGCCTGACGATTTCTTCTTATAGAAGCATTGGTCGTCTAATAGAGATAGTGACAGAGCTATCACGAGAATATTCCAAACGCCAAAGTTACCAGTGAGTAGACATGCTGATTGAAGAAATACCTACAAAAAAAAAGTGTATTAGTACAACCATTACGAACATCATCAAAACAATGAATACATATTCACCACGTTATACTCACTTGGAAGAAAAATCCAGTAATTTTAACGCTCCTTATAGGAATAAAGTATAAAAATGGCAGTCCCACCTCAACCATGAAGGTAAAAACCATGGCCACTTTCATAAACCATTCTGGAGTGGCATAGATGTACCACGACAACGGCGTAGGCAAAGGAATTACTTCGTAATAACGAATCAATCCTGAAATAAATCGATATAAGTTTATTTTTAAGGTAACAGATCGTTAATTTTAATGTTACCTTTAAGAGTCCACCATATTGGATCTCCGTTTATCAATTTATTGAGACCTCCTATTACAAAGAATCTGAATAGAAGCCATTTTAACATCCACATCGATATGTGGTCGTTAGGGCTGCCTTTGGTGGCCTTTCTGCGACTGGGCCCCAAACGGGCGATAAAAATGGTCAAAAATCCTGTTTCCAGAAGGAATCCATCGCTAGAAAAATGATTCCATTATTATTTATAAAATGTTTCCCATATTTATTAATTCTAAATGCTTTTTATATAACTGTGGCAACATTGTAATTCTATTAATATTTGATAAGAGCAATTCGAGAAATACAGGTTAAAACTAAAATGTATGTAAATAATATTACTATTATCTACTCTTCCAGAATATGCAAAAATATTTTTAAAAAATATTAATAATTGAAATAGTACTTTTTTAATGTATGTTAAATAAGGTATACGCTAATGAAGTTGATGAGCTTTATTATAGAGAGTAAAAAGATTAATATGTAACAGCGTTGCCATATAAAAAAACTTGAATCGGTCATTTGAGAAACACCATAAGTCAGAAAAGTAAAAGTTTAGGAAATTAAAACAACTCTTAAATCGTCTGTGTTTGAGACAAAGCAGCGATTTTTTTTTAAATTGCAAGATTGGTTTACTATTTGATAGTATCAAAACAATTTGTGCTTTTTTTCTAGAGTCCAAAATATTTTTTTGAAAATCGTGACTTATGGGGTTTCTCAAATATACGGATATTATTTTAATTTATTTAGACAACAAAACTACATATTTAATAAAATAATATGTTTATTTAACAATATTTTTATTTAATTTAAAATTTCATCTAAAACCTTATCTCTATCAACAGTTGGCCAGTTATAGTTAGCTCTATAAAGTTCAAGTACTTTTTCTCTTTCCAGAAGTTACTGTTTTAGTTTGACAAGATCATTCATCTGTTAATAGGTATTTTTCCAACACAAGCCTTTTTGACAGAAAGAGTCAAAGGTTGTGTTGATGTATTTCGAAATCTATCACATAGAAGGTTTTGTCACAAGAAATCCTTCATTTTCAAAAAATGTTTTTAAATGCAGACAGACTTATTTTAAGTGATGTCTTTTTATCTTGTGATACTGCTTGTTGAATTGTATTCAACATTGCGCTAAGCTGTCATTCTAAATTCTTTATTATTCCTGGAGTGCGTCTGCGCAAGTCTTTTACTACTGGAGACGTCTCTGCGGCACTGCCTTGGCCGATAAGAACGGTCTTCCGTCTAATAGCTACATCACAGGCGTCATTTACTTTTTGTCCACTCAATGATTAAAAACACTGGTGTTAGGCATTTCCTAATTGGTCAACGTCAAGCGTCACTCTCAATCTAGCTGAACAACTTCTCTCCCGGCAGAGCTTCAGTACCTCTCAAACACAACACATCGTTGTGCGGTGTACAAGATGGCTTGAGTGCTTAAGTAACAAATTTCCGAAGAAAAGTCTGTATATAGTGTATAAAGTATGTATTGTTTCAATAGTGTTTTAAAATAAAGTATGTAATTAGAAAGTGATGTTTTCACCCAAGTACTAATCCTTCTATCCCTACGGATCGCACAGGTATTTCCAACATAATTTCGGTCAATCTGCGACAGCTGATTGTATTAGCTCGTGTGCCGTGTGTATTAGAGAAAGACTATTAGTCAGCAACTTATGGGATTTCTCAAGTAAAGCAGATTTTGACGTTTGAAAATTTAATACAAGGAGTGCTACGACTAATGGGATTTCTCGTTGGAATGTGCACAGAAGTGTTAGCAATATGAATCAGCAATTTTTGGAATGTCAAATTTGTGACTTTCTCAAATGACCGATTCACTTGTCTCATAGGTAAATTGGTGTAATAATTAAATTTGTACCGTATTTCAACATTTTTTAATACAATTATACCCGAGATATAATATAAATAAGGGAAAGTCTTGGATTACTACGGAAATTATAAATGAGGGTTTCCTATTAAGATATCTTTTTTTATCTCTACAAATCTTTTGTGATAAAGGTATTTTGCAAGGATACAATATTATTAAAAGAAATCATCGGCTAAAAATTACGGCAGCGAAGAGAAAACTATTACGATACCCAAATGTTTTATTCAAACAACAAAACAAAAGGTGCCTGGAATATAATAAATAACAATACAAATAGGAAAAAATTAACAAAATCCGAGGTAGAAACAATTATAACAACAATATCTTCAAAAAAAAACTCTTGCGGAATTGATGAAATTCCATATAGTTTATTGTTCCATGCATTGGAATATATCGTGGAACCTTTGGTTATTTTAATTAATTTGTCCTTTCAAAACGGTTCATTTCCTCAGATCCTAAATAATGCAGTTTTTAAAAAATAAGAAAAAACAAAGTTTGCAAATTACCGTGTGATATCATTATTACCAGCATTTTCAAAGATCTACGAAAAAGCATTCCAAGCCAGGCTAGTAAATTATATTAACACGTTCAGCATTTTAAATCCTTATCAATTCGGTTGCAACTCTTACATTGTTCAATCATATCCTAGAAAATTTTGATAAAAATAATAAATGTCTAACTTTGTTTTTTGATCTTTCTCGAGCCTTCGAGACAGTCAATCAAGAATTACTTTTACATAAACTTGAGTTGTATGGTATCAGGGGCAATGCTCTGATGTAGATAACGTCTCTTTTAACTAACAGATCCCAAACAATTCTATTTAATTCAAATTCATTAAAAAATCTATCAACTTCTTGAAAAGTCATAGGTCTTACTCTTTTTCGTCTTTTTATTAACGACTTAGCCAGTTCTAATATTTTCATCACTCAATTTGCTGATGCTACATCATTTAGTGTTGTAAGTAAAGATACTCTTTGGTTACGAGATCATGCTAACATGGCTGTCGAAACTATGAGCCGTTATTGTGACAACAATGGGCTATTTTTAAATTTTAATAAAACAAATATGTTATTATTTTCCCCAAGAGAGTTAAATTTTAGTTTACTGGTCCGCCACAGTGGTACATCTATAACTCAAAGTAGATGTGTCAAATTTTTAGGAGTTCATTTTGATTATAATTTTTATTGGGATTTTCATGTTGAACATATCACATCTAAATTAGCCACTCACTGTTATGTCCTTTGGCAGCTAAGACATTTAATTTCAGTAGATAACCTGAAAATGTATAATTTCGCTCAAATTCACTCGATTTTGAATTACTGCACATTATGTTGGGGAAATTGTAATAGAATAAATGACATACTTGTGTTACAAAAAAGGCTATAAGAACCATTACTTTTAAAAATAGACAATTCTCATGCAGACAACTTTTTAAGGACTTAAGAATTTTAACTGTTATTTCTGTTCATGTTTTAAAATGTGTGTTATATGTAAGGTCCAATCATCAGAATTTTCTTTGTAGAGATGGTATTTCTATTAATAGCGGGTACAATTTAAGAAATGCACAACACCACTTTAGTATTTCCTACCATTACATTCATCTCGATGCTCAACGTCCCGACGCTCAACTCTCAACGTCTAGACGCCCTACTTCCCTACCTATCTACGTCTCGAACGTTATCATATTCCGCACCATCTAAGTATTTCCTACCTTACATTCATTCCGACGCTCTATTTCTCGATGCTTGCCGCCCCTAAATATTCCCTTCATAATATCCTTGTCGTCACCCTTCGTCACGTCCCGCACCACCTTAATATTTCTACCGTATTACTGCCCCAATGCAGTACCGTATTAAATACCTTCCTCTCCACTACGACGCTAGGCGCCTCGACACAAAGCGACGCTCAACAGTGCTACGTACCTAAATCGACGTAGTCACAACGCTAGATGAAATTAGTACATAATCTAATGTCTGTATTGTCAATGGTGAGTCAAAAGATTTATGTAACTTTCTTTGAGATACCACCGGGGTCGTTTAGACAAGGGCCCGACATTTTCTTCAAATATTAACAATGTAACCAATAAACCATATGGCCTTCAGTCGTTCACCCCGAAAGACAGGTTAGTCATCTGTTTTCGGGTGGATTTAAGTTAATTCAATAGAAATTATAAAAATCAATATTAAGAAATATACAGGGTTGTATTAAGTTATTTCAATAGAAATTATAATAATCAATATTAAGAAATATACAGGGTTGTGTTAAGCCATTTCAGTAGAAAGTATAAAAATCAATATTTTATAAATATACAGGGATGTGCTATCTTGGATAAATTGTACAAACAGAGATGGTAAAATTTTACAGTAAGTTAACCAACTGGTGAATACATTGTTCGTTAGATCAAGGGGGGACACCTATATGCTAAGCCAACCATTCTACAGGTTTGAAACAAAGTATATGTGAAATAAACATAGTAAGGTAACCAACTGGCGAATTGGTGCTGTTCGTTACTTCCGTTGGTCATCACCTCTATACTCGTCGAAATATTTACCTAAGAGGGTACAACCTGTGTATATCTAGAATAGAATCAAATCAACATCAACACAGTAGTTAACCAACTGGCGAATTGGCGCTGTTCGTTAACTCCGTTGGTCATCAACCTAAATAACATAAACATCAACACAGTAGTTAACCAACTGGCAAATTCACGCTGTTCGTTAACTCCGTTGGTCATCAACCTAAATAAGGCCAAATACAGTAAGTATAAAATAAAATAAACTTGTAAGGTAACCAACTGGCGAATTGGTGCTGTTCGTTACTTCCGTTGGTCATCACCTCTATACTCGTCGAAATATTTACCTAAGAGGGTACAACCTGTGTATATCTAGAATAGAATCAAATCAACATAGTAGTTAACCAACTGGCGAATTGGCGCTGTTCGTTAACTCCGTTGGTCATCAACCTAAATAATTCCAAATACAGTAAGTATAAACTAAAATAAAATAAACTTGTGAGGTAAATAATAACATCTCAGAGAGTAAGATAACGATCAAAATGGAGTATTGGGGGTGGGCCGTTACAGTTTTCTCCCTTTTTACCTCCTTACGAGTAAATTTAACCCCATAAGCAGAGCTTATTATTATAGTTCTAACAATTTCAGAAAATCAAAACAGACTACCCCCCCCCCCCCATAATAAAACAAAGTTCATTTGGACGATGGCTCTAGTAATAAATGCTCGAAGCAAATTTGACAAAATTTATAAACAGATTAAGAAATTATTACCCAAAAAGCGAAAAAATTGTATTTTGGGCTGATTAAACCTAAAATTACCAGACAACAAAAATATACAAGCAAGAAATGTGAAACATTATATATGGCTTTGGTACATAAATAACCTTTTTCTACTACCATGCATAAAGTTGTACTTTTTTTCACTAGTGCGTAAAGTGAAAAAAGTTATTTTAGTGAAAAAAAAAAAAAAATTAGTGGATAATGTGCATGGTAGCAGAAAAAATATTGTAAGAGTAATTGTACAGACTTGTTGCATAAATAACTATTTTTTTCTCTCTAATATAAATGCCAACTTATGTACATTTTATTACACTGTAGACAAAAATATAAACTGTAAAACGTATGTGACATTTATTGTTACTAAAAACAAAACTAGACAACCAATTCATTAAATGAAATTATTAAAAAATAAATAAAGGAACTTGCAGTCTCAAGGTTAATCAATAAAATAGTTCACAAATTATTTGAAAAACAAATATTGTAGTAGAAAGAATTTCAAGTTTTGAAATGGAAATTAAATAAATATTAAATAACCTGTTTTTTTTTTAAATGTAAATACCAACTTATTTCTATATTATTACACTGCAGACAAAAATTTAAATTGTAAAATGTATAATTAACATTTATCATTACTAAAAACAAAACTAGATAACAAATTCATTAAACGAAACAATTACAAGATAAATAAGTAAAGAAATGTTGCAATCTCAAGGTTATGCAACAAATATAGTTCACAAATTATTTGAAAAACAAATATTGTAGTAATTAGAAAGAATTTAAAGTTTTGAAATGGAAATTAAATATTTTCCCTTTCTATTTTCATCAATTATGAATATATTCTAGAAATTTAACATTTTCAAAAATATTTTTAATTTTTTTCCAATAAAGGTCTAGATTTATTTATTTAATACAGTGAATATATGCTTTTTTTCCATTTTTCCTAACTAATTTTCCAAATATTCCTGATTTTTCTGTTGTTTGTAAAAAAAAAGGAAATTTTACAGAAAGCTAGCTAATTAGTAAAGGCCAACAAGATCTCCAGATTTAAATAATTCACAAATAACATGCACTAGATCAAAAATAAACTTATACACTAAGAAATTATAGTATAAAAATAATAATTTCCATTATCAAATCAATTTTCCAGAAAATGGTCAACCTGCTACAGACAATAAAGGTTCTGGCTATATCTCAAAAATGCAGAAGGAGCATGAAACAGCTTATCTAAAATAAGTTTTATTTTTATTTATGGAAAACTCAAATATTTTGTTGACAGTTGATTTGTATTTTTCCATTACATGATAAATCAGTTATTGTTATTTATTAAACAAATTTCAGCGTATGGAAATGAGTTTTTGAGAAGACATAAAACTCAAACTAGGCAACTGAATAAAATAAACCTTTCTTGAAGATAGATAGCCGGCAAGATCTCCAGATTTGACAGCATTAGATTGTTCCCTTAAAGTTAAATTCTATTTGTGCCTGTTCTCAAATTTTCTGTTTTTCTTCTTTATTTTATTGTAGACATTTAAGGATAATATACCTATATTTTTTTAGATACTTATTTAAAACTGAGACCATTTAAAATATTGATGCAAATTTTTGCCTATCCTTAACTGGTATTTTTATTAAAACAATACTTGGATATTATATATTGAATCAGTGCTTGGAAATTCTATAGAAAAAAAATTGATTAAGTAACTAGGTAAGCTACTGGTAATATGATAATCTGTTTATATTATAATTAAATAATATTAAGTTACATAAAGGATATAAACAAAGTAAAAGTGATTATATATTATTACAATCCAATCTGATATATTTAAAAAAATCATTTCTATTTAAAAAAATACCTATTTGCAAACATTAAATGGTTCTTAAATTAGGAAAAAATAGGTACTCACAAAAAAGATACAAAGGTTTGTCCAACTTGGTACAGTGAAAAGTAGAGAGACCATAATCCAGCAAAAAGCGGTATGGTACAAAACTTTTGAGAAACGATTCTAAAAAAAAATTAAAAATAGAATGTATTTTTAAACATGTATTTAAAAGTTAACTTACCCGGTAAACGCCAAAAAGGCTCCGAAAAGAGCGAGTACGTCTAAAGCGTAACTAGTGTCCAGGCCTAAATAAGGTGCTAGCCAAAGCAGAGTTGGTTGATAGTGGACTTTAGCTGAAAGGGTTTTATGTTTGCTATTTTCCAATACTGATCTAGCCGGTAGAATTCCATTATCCCCGAACAAACCTGAATATGTAACATTTTAAAAAAGGAGTGGTTCCTTCAAATTAACCAAAATGTCATTACCAAAGGTTAATGCACTTTTAGTACAGGAAAAACAGTTATGTGTGCTGAGCCGTATCCGAAATTCGGCGTTTTTATTTTGGTATTAGAAAATTAGAATATTCACTTACCTGGGATTTGAATGTAGAATGACAAAAATGCCGATAAATAAACAATACATAGAGCTCTTAAAAATAAATTTCTTGTATATCTAACGCTAACCATTTTTGTATATCAAATATTTTAATCTGTTGATGATGTTAAAAGCGTCAAATCGACATTCTTCGATGAACATAGAACAACCAACCACAGAACATGAGAACAACGTCCAGGGTTGCCGCACCTACATCTGTCATTGTCGCTATTTTTATTCGCCTACATAATGATTGATTAAACATACACTAACGTATGTGTTGTATTGCATAAAAAACTAAAAATAAACATTTTTTAAAGAATTAAGAAACTAAAAATTTAAATAACATCAATAAAAAAAAATATTCAGCTTGAGTCTGAATCTATAATTTGTGAACAGATTCAGTAGTTCTGTATAAACTGGTTAAATCATTCCTTATTTTGTTTAAATATGTGTGTCGGTAAAATTATAAAATTTATTTGTTGGAAGGCTCAATAATTACAGAATTAGGGTGAGATTACAGAACGTCTGCAACTTTGCAGATCTGCAAATATGGCGGCAACTTTGAAAATCTGCAAATATGACTGACTTACACATGCAAGTATCAAGTTTTCGTATTCCAAATTTGGGTTTAGTGTTGTTGGGGGTAATAAACCACAGTAAATATTGCGAATTTGCAGATATTTTTTGGAATACTTACATTTGTAAGTCCGCCATATTTGCAAAGTTGCAGACGTTCTGTAATCTCACCCTTAGTTTTTTAGCAGAAAACTTATTTATTCCTCAGATAACCATCAGCAGGCCGTTGCAACCACATCATGGCGTCAATTGAAATCATCTATATAACTAATAGTGATTTGTTTATTTTATTACACTGGTACTTAACATATTAAGGACCAAAAAGTCGCTATTTTTGGCTAATTTAGACTAAATCGCCGCTACTCTCACAAACTATTAAAATGTCGCTATTTTCGCGACAAGTCGCTACGAACGGCAACACTGACAACGTCATTCACAAGAATAGACGCTTGTTTCATGGGCGTGTTGCGTACTAAACAAGTAACTGAATTAAAATATCGTAAAGACCACAAATAGAATAGGTCAGTTGAGGACCTGATATGTGCAGTCATGCAGTTAATTGTTTGAAATCAAAGTAAAATATCTCCGTGTATTAGGTCTTTTCCTTTGCATCGAAAGTGTAGCACTGAGCTACACCACTTCTGAAAATATCGTTCCATTTATACAAATTGTATGGATGGAACAATATTTTCAGAAGTGACGTAGCTCCATTGATCTGGCAACCTAGGGATACGACATGCGTAAGCGAAAAGTGGGACCGGTCCGCCATTACTGTGAGTGCAAATTGTCAAATTTTATAGGTTATATTTTTAGTGTCATTGGTGTAATTAAATTTGAATTTAATTTGTGTTTGAGCAAATTTTGAGTGTTACAAACTTATAAAGTATATAATGCCTTGCTGTGTTATACGTTCCTGCTCTAGCGATAGACGCTTTTGTGAAAAATCGACTGGAATAACGTTTCATAGGTTAGTATCAAAATTATAAATATTATACAGGACAGTATTATGACAGGTTTGTATAAAATGTGTAAAAGTATGTTTTTAAAAATGCAAAAAATATCATCTATCAACTGCTGTGCCTACCTATTTTGGAATAATACTTTTTCATACGAAATAATATTTATAGATTTCCAAAAATCCTATAAAACGTAGCGCGTGGATACAGTTTGTCAACAAGTATAATTGGTAACCTAAATTCAGCAGTATATGTTTCAAGCATTTCCTTGAGAAGTACATTAATCGTACGCCATTTCGTTTATCAAATTTAATTTATAGGCATTTTATATTCTTATTTCTATTTAAATATAACCTACATTTGCTGTCCTTCCACCAATTTTATTTATTAGTTCTACAGCTGATTGAAAAGTAGAGCTTCATGTTTTGTGTATGCATGAGTATTGTTTGTTTTATTATACCTTTTTAATTACCTATAATTTATTTCAGATTAGTGTATTTAAAGGAATTGGTGAAAATGAAGTGATTCGCCAACTTTGGCGATGTGTCAGAAAAGTGACATCAAAGTTATTCAACGTTTCCAGAATAAAGCATTAAGGAACATCAATGCACCCTGCCACAATACTGATCTTCATAGGGACCTTAAAGTGGAGATTGTTGAAAATACAATACAAAAATTTGCTAGTAGTCACTAACAACAACTGCTCCAGCACGGAAACCTCGAGATTATCCAGCTCCTCAACAATGCCAAATCTAATAAGAAGGCTCAAGAGACCAAGCCTTTTGAGTTAGTTCAGTGATGTTAAAGCATAGTACAGTGCAGTTAAGTGATTTAGACTCTAAGGTATACTAGAGAGTAGAATATCAGTTTGTGAAGTTTTTCATCCCTTGATAAGTTAGAATAAAATTTCTAATTGATCTTAATGATTAGATTGTAACTTGTAACAATCGTAAATGTTTCTTTACTTGGGGCATTTATTAAAAAAAACTTTGTTTCAGATTAGTGCATTTAAAGGACTTTGTGGAAATGAAGTGATTCCCCTTTATATTTTATGAAATAATGTTTTAAGAATCAATATTTGAGTTTTGTGTATTTTAAATAGACATGTATATTTATAAATGTCTTTTTTTAGTCTAATAGTATTTTAGAGAAAAAAAGCTAAAATACATTTCTGAAATATGACTATTTAATATCTCTAAAAGATATAAATTTTTTATTTCATAAATATTACTGTGAAATATTATTATTATTAGACTAGCAATTAGACTAGCAACAAAACCATAACCGTTTGTCTAGTATTAAAAATAAATATCACTCCTAGATATGGATAAGAAAATATTAAAACTTTATTCCTTGTACACTTTTATTTAATCACAGCACACATTATTTTCATTTACAATATTTGCTTAACGTTCATATGCCCCAGTCTATTTTGTTCACCTTTTCTAGTGGCTTTTTCTGCTAAACTTTAGTCCCCATTCTACCTCCACTTAAGTAATGAATTATTCAACCATTTAGTCAACAACGGGGGTTTTACTTGTTTTACAGTAAGATACTTATCTTTAATGTTTAAGTTTTAGAATTTGAACTTGGATTAGGCCATTTTTATCAATTTTGTTCTTAGAGCTTTTGTAAAAACACTTTGGAAGTACTCTCACAAATTTATTTCTTATTTTGCCTGCCAAGAAATTGTGTATTAGGAAATATTCTGGTTTTTACCTTAGTGGTCAAGAAAAGTGCTTATAGTGGATACTTTTCCTAACTCGATAAACATTTATTACCTAGATGTTGGCCTCCCTTTATCACCAGCCTACAATTTCAACTCTTTTGCTGTTAACTTTAACTTCATCTGTGACTTTAACTATGATTGAGACTTCAACTTTATCTTCACATTCTTTGTCTGACTTTCAATCATATATGCATGATTATTGTGCATAGACCAATTAAATTGGACCGGCACGTTTGTGGTGCATGTTGTGTGTTACTACGGTATGCCTTTATATAAGTAGCCATAATCTCTGCAGATGGTGAAAAGCCCAACTCAAACTAACTACCATAATATCGTCATTGGATCTATAGGTCTCAAGTAAGATCACTTCATATTTTACATTTGTTAGAAGTGCATCTGCACACCACTGGTTGTGGGTTCGCTGATTTACTAAATGTCTTGCATGAAGATATACACCTTTCAGTCTGAATCTACAAAAGTACCAAGACCAAGTAAGATTAATCCACATTTTGATTTCCTGAATAGTGCATCTACCTATACAGAGATTGCTTATTAGCCATTTTCCGCGAGCCTTGCATTAAGTTTCGTATCTGATTATCGAGCTTTTAACACATGAACATTTGTTCTTAATTTCGAGAAAGCTGTTAATTAAAGTAAGGTTAGATTACTTGCGACCTTCTACTTTCCGATTTAAAGACAAAAAGCATTGGGCTCATAGAAAAACGAAAAACTAAAGATTGAGGTATTTATGTGCCCTAGAGCAAACGTGTGACGACTGATCCAATAAATCGAACTCTGTTTACTTTTGTCGCCTATGTGAAACAAAAATGTATTATTTATTTTTTCTGCGAATGATTTCAACGTTTTAGGGTTAATTTTACCATTGTGTTAAAGTTTAAACTATTAATTGAAGATTAAAATTACATTTTATGTAAAAATGTCATTTTAAACTTCGTTAAACCCAAAATGGTGTTATATCATGGTCATTGATTAGTTGCAATTTTGCAAATAATATATTCTCCAGCGCTTAATAGCCACTTGAGTGATAATTAAATCAGTTATATTTTATTTCTTTCATTTACTTTATTCAGCACCTCTCGGCTGAAAACCGGGCATATTTAAGCTTTTAAATCCCCTTCTTTTATAACCTCGGCCTTCCACCACCTTTTAAGTCAATGTCAATAAAAAGGAAAATCATTTTTTTATAATCCAAATAATGATACTTAACCAGAAATAGTAAAATAAAAACTTGTAAATCCGGTTCTGCTCTTCCGCCATTTTAGTGAGTGCAAAAGCCACGCCTACCGGTCCCACTTTTGTATATCAAAAATAATACATATGACGTATCCTTACGTTGCCTTATCAATGCGTAGCTCAGTGCTACACTGTCGATGTAGTGCTACACTGCATCCAAACTTTAAAAATTGTTTATTTTTAAAATAGATTAAATTTTTTGTTTATTTTTTTAATTTAATTTTATATTTCACATAGAATGTATCGATCTTTATTTTTCCTCCCGATTTTTCTTGTATCAATCTTTGGCTCTCCACCATTTGGATCGATACTAAGAATCGAGATCGGAAACCCTGTTTCAAGGTCAGCAGTGCAGTTAGTTTTCCCATTCTACTTTTACCTGTGCTTTCTCTCATTCTCACAAAGTGGTGAATTTATTTTTGTTAAGTTATGTAGACTGTGAACAAATATTTATGTCAATGTCCTGACAACTGTCAGATGTCAGTGGGTATATGTGTCACTGTCAAGAAGAATAGTTTCTTTTTTAGGTGTGATTAACAATTTTTCTTGGAAATTCTAATTGTTGTAGATCAATAATCAATTTACTATCTAAAAATGCATTTAGAACTTTAGGTTTTAAGATACGGCACCATACTTAGATTTAATTTATAATCGCTATTATTTCCAAGGATTACCACAAATAGGGAGTGATCTCAGATTTCTCACAGTACTCTGTAATTAGGTTCAAATGGCTACGGGAACTACTTTACAAAAAGCTATAGAACTAGTAACTAAAGCCACCGAAGAGGATAGGAATAAAAATTATGAAGAAGCTCTTCGTTTGTATGAACATGGTGTAGAATATTTTCTTCATGCCATAAAGTGTAAGTTATAGTTTTGTTAGGTATTACAATCGTATAGTGATCAGAGTATTTTTAATTGTAGATGAAGCTCAGGGAGAAAAGGCTAAGGAAAGTATTAGGGCTAAGTGTGTACAATATCTAGAAAGGGCTGAAAAAATTAAAGAATCTATAAGGAAAACTAAAAAGAAGCCAGTATTAGATGGAGGCTCCTCCAAGTAAGAATTTAGCATATTATGTTTATAACAGTTGTGTTAATAATAATCTTTGCTCGTTTTAGAGAAGACAAAAAGAGTGATAGTGATGAAGATGACGATCCTGATAAAAAGAAGCTACAAAGCAAACTAGAAGGTGCTATAGTTGTTGAAAAACCTCACGTGAAATGGACAGATGTAGCTGGATTGGAAGCTGCTAAAGAAGCCCTTAAGGAAGCTGTAATTTTACCAATCAAGTTTCCACATCTTTTCAGTGGAAAGAGAGTACCTTGGAAAGGTATTTTGTTGTTTGGGGTAAGTACAAAACTATAAATAATAATTGGTTAATTAGATTATATAAATGGTAATTAATTGTTGATTGTTAATTTTGCTTTATATTTAATTTAAATAATACTACTGATAAGTACTCAGAACTGAATGCAATTTGTTTTATTTTTTTTGCTTATAAATAAATCAGTTTTATTTTTTTAGTTTTGCATTGCTTCCAATTTAAACAATTATTTAATTTTTTGAACTAATAATCTTTTAAAATAGCAAAAACATATAAAGTTAACTAGTTTTAAAAGATTACTCAACATTTCATGAGTTTAGTTTTTACATTTTTGAATAAAATGTTTGATGCCCAAAACAATTATATTTTATATTGTTAGGGTCAAAGTCAATTGATAAAAATCTTTATTTGTCCTTTAAGATCATTATAAAATAATTTAGGCTGTCATATAACATAAAACAAATATATAAAAAAAACCAAGGCTGTTCTATGTTTTGGATATCTTTACCACTTCTGGTTGAGTCAAATAAGTATAACATTTGTAATTTCTGTTTATATTGTTTTTTAATGTATAAAATACATTCATATGGAAATTCGCGGAAAAGTTACAATTTTTTTTTCCTTAAAGGCTTGTCTAGAACCTAAGTTGAAAATTAGACAAATAATAGTTTTTTGAACAATTAGGCATTCCAAACAAAATGGTTACCAGTGGGTTTTGATAGGTTATGATCTGGTAAAATTATGGCAATCCTGCAGCCCTGGTGATTTGACAGGGTCAATGAAATAGATAGTTATATAGATTGATCATCCATGTTTTTTTAAAATAAACATAAGCCTATGCCTTGAAGTAAAAGTGTGGTTAATTATTTTTTTACTATATTCAAAGGCTGAAAATTGGTTTGTAAACACATTTTTACTAAACCGATTCTGATTAATGAGCTTGCGAGGCAATATGGCCACCTGCTTTGAGCAATCTTTATAACTATATATGTATCACTGACAACAGGTCCACAGGGTTGCCATATCTAAACTGTCAGTTTCCACTTGTCAGCATTTTGATAGGTCATTGGAATGCCTAATAAATACTCATGATTGAGTGGAACAATTTTCCCCTAATGTATTGATGATGGAGAATAGCGCCTACTATGAAGTACAAATCTTGATGTAAAAAAAATATTTTTAACAAATATATCAACAAATCAAAATATTTCAAAAACCAACATGTAGCACCAATTTTACTAAAAAATATATGGTTATTTCAAATACATTTTTTTTTCTACAAGGCTTATTTTTTTTGCAAACTTAAAATTACTAAAAATCGAAAAAGCTATTGGGATTTGGTTGAAAAAATAACTTTGGAATGTAGCACTAACAATCCAGGTACAGGCAATAGAAGATTAATATGTACTTTTTCGAACATTAATATATTTTTAAAGATTAGTAGATTATTTGAAATGGAGATTATCTGTCATTCTTGTCAGAAAAATGTATTATAGTTGGCATCACTGACATTACTGCCATACATTAAGGGTGCAACGTTGCCAAATTGGGCTAAGAGGTTTTACATTGTATATGATTGTTGCATCAGCTGTTTGTAAAAGAAGATCATTAACATATAGGAGAAAAGTAAAAGGCCCAAGAATAGACCCTTATGGAACAACTCGGCTTTATATTCAGTTTTGTAGTTGAAATCCAAAATAAAAATTATTATATTACTAAAACTTATACAACAGTTAAAGTACTATATTATTGTACAAACCAAATTTAATAGTCCAAGAGCTGATCGCAAAAACTCGTAGGGGCGGATTATTTTAGGATCAATTGAAGAAAAAAATGACAGGTTATTAATTGCTAAACACCAGACCAACCTCAGTTTGCTCTGGTTTTACGCAGAAGTCAAAATAACAAATTCCTCTACTACATTTTTGGAGTTATTATTGACCTATAATTTTTTTAATCCAGCCTAAAATAATGGGCCTTTCGTATTTTGTGGTGCTCTTGTTTATTTACAAGCCAGAGCCCATTAAAACATACAAAAATACAGAATCCATATCACAGCCGTTAAATAATAATAAAATCTTTAATAATAAATTAATTTAACTTCATATCTTCAACTTAAGTATTGCAACAAATGAATTTCCTCACTTATGGAAAACTGCACTAGTTTCTCCTATATTTAAATCTGGAAATAAAATTGAAATCGAAAACTTTAGGCCCATATCACTTTTATCAGTCCCTGTTAAATTATCTGAACATATCGATACTTTTTTGCCAGACTATCGTAAGTGCCATTTAAACAAATGTCGCTTACGTTAGTCTGGCAAAAAGGTATCGATATACTGTATGCAAGATTATATCAACATGTTGAGAGCAGTCTGGTATCCCAGCAGCATGGTTTTGTCTCAAAAAAATGTGTAAGTACAAATTTGCTTAGTTTTGTAACTACAGCTTATGAAGCACTTGAAAACAAAATCCAACTTGATGTAATATTCACAGACTTTAAAAAAGCATTTGATAAGGTAAATCATGATGTCCTGCTTTTAAAACTGAGTAAATTTGGTTTGACAAATAGTACTCTTACACTATTTAAAAGCTACCTAGAAAATAGATATTCAATTGTTAAGCATAATGGGAACACATTGGGAAAATTTATAGCATATAGTGGACTGCCACAGGGCTCCAATTTGGGTCCCCTCCTTTTTTTAATTTTTATGAATGATTTACCATCTATGCTGAGTTTTGCTGATGATCTTAAATTTTTAAAAAAATACAAACTGTTAGGGATTGTGTAAGTTTACAAAAAGATATAAACAACATAAATGAATGGTGTTATAAAAATAAATTAAATTTCAATACAAAAAAAATGTAGTAGTATGACAATAAGTAGATTGAAAAATCCTGTTATTTTCGATTATCTTATAAATGGGGAAGTACTCGAACGACGTACAGAGGTAAAACCTACGATTGTGTTCTATCTTTTACTAATCATGTAAAAAATATAGTTAAGGCTGCAAATAGAATGCTGGGGTTCATAATTAGGCAAACTAGAAGTTTTACTAACAAAGAATCTATAAAAATTCTTTATTCATCCAACTAATCTATATGAGATTGAAACAATACAGAATAAATTTCTTAGATATCTTTATTTCAAAAAACTCCATATATACCCAGACTACAATATTGTTAGAACTGCAAACTTAAGAAAAGAATTTAAAAAACCTTCCCTTCACACCGGAAGGAATATGATAATGTTGACTTTTTTATATAAAATTATTAACTATAAAATTAACTCACCTGAGCTACTATACTTAATACGATTTAATGTACCTCCAAGGAGAATGAGACATCCATGTTTAATATTCCTTTAGTTCTTAGCACTACCAGGTCACCTCTTGTGACCATGCTCCAATTGGCAAATAATATTAGAGAGTTATTGCAAGTTCACTTAAGGTCAGTCACTATTAGTGCCGCTCTTATTTTGACATCTGAGCATGCGCAGATCACTAACTTTAATAAAGATTGTCCTTAATAGAGAGATATTGCAAATTTCTATAAAGTCAGCCACTAACAGTGACATCGTAATTAGAGTCAAATAAATTCCATGCTAAAATCAGACTTATTGCAAACCTGAAATTTTGACATTAGAATCCTTGTCCTTATACTTATTTCTAACCTTATAAAGTTTAAATGACGATTATATTAAATATTTAATAATAACAAACTTGTAACGGATACGAATGTCGCCGAGCGCATCCGAAAGCTATAAAGTCGCTACTACCTGCTGCCCTTAAACATCCACAATTAAGGACAGGCACAATCCTTAATAAAGTCAGTTTTAGAACATAAACATATGCGCATGTTTAGATGTCAAAATAAGAGCAGCACTAATAGTGACTGACCTTAAGTGAACTTGCAATAACTCTCTTATAAGGACAGGCACAATCTGTATTAAAGTTAGTGATATGCGCATGCTCAAATGTCAAAATAAGAGCGGCACTAATAGTGACAGATCTTAACTGAACTTGCAATAACTCTCTATTAACACTTGTATTAGCCTTTTCCCTGGGAAGATTTAAAAAAGATCCGCTAGGGGCAGCACTGGTGGGGGGTACAAATGTTTCGAATTCTCTATTGACAACTACGTTAATCGTACGTTTTATTATTATTAGAATAAATAAATATTGTGATAAAAAAACAAATTGTCATGCCTACAAAACATTGTGCGTTTGCTAATTGTACGTCTGACAGTCGTTGCAATCAAGCACAAGCAAGATTGTGTAAAATTTGTGCCTTTTATAAAACCACACGTTGACAAAAAAAGTGTTTGGAGTGGATGCATTTATCACAAAGGGCAGATTTAACAGTTAAAAAAATAAAAAAACATACTTTTATTTGTACAAGACATTTTATTAATTCAAATGGACCAACAATAGAAAACCTAAATCCATTGCCAGCGACAGATTCAAAGGTTAGTAATTGTTTATTTAAAGAGGTTATATTTTATATCAGTAAATAATAAACTTAAACTTTTTTTTAATTGTGTATACAATACATCAAAGCATAGCAAAAAGAACGAGGGATAGATTGGGATGGAAAATTTGCCCCGTTTGTAGTAGGAAAAGTGCAGGATGTTGAACTTGGTAGAGTTAGATTAAGTAATTTAATGCGTTGTTGTTTATCCGTTAGACGTTTACCACCATCAATTCCAATGAAATTTTTTTTATCATTACCATTTGCAATGCATTCTTCAATTATTACATATATAAAAAAATAACATAGTTCATTTAAAATTATAAAATTTTCAACATTACGTAAAAATTTATAAACCAACTAACCTTTCAACTAGTACATTTTTATTACCTGACACGGTTAAGCCACGATATGCAAGCCATCGTTTTAAGTCCCGGACAAGATGTTCTTGCACTTTTGCAAATTTCAATTTCGCTCCAGGTACATCATCTTCCGTTAATTCCATTATAAATCTATACGTTTGACGTTGTTGTCAATAGAGAATTCAAAACATATGTACCCCCCCACCGGTGCTGCCCCTAGCGGATTTTTTTTAAATCTTCCCAGGAAAAAGGTTAATTGATGTATAGATTGGACACTACCATTTAATATGTTCCGAAAACTTGTATTTAATTATTACATTACTCTTGATTAATTATTACTTTACTGAATAAGTTGTAATATTACTTGTAATTACCTACTGTTTATTATTAATATTATTATTATTTATGTATTATGATACTTTTATCCATGTAATAAGGCCGTTGGCCTGTTTGGATACAAATAAATAAATTAGATATAGATAAAAGGGATTATGTCATTGTTATAATTTCGCTTAGTAAACCTTAGTGAGCGACTCTTTCAATTTGCAATTATTTCAGCCACCTGGTACTGGTAAATCTTATTTAGCCAAAGCTGTTGCGACCGAAGCCAATAATTCCACTTTCTTCTCGGTGTCCTCTTCTGATTTAGTCTCAAAATGGTTGGGTGAATCTGAGAAATTGGTCAAGAACTTGTTCGAGTTGGCCAGAACTCACAAACCCAGCATCATATTCATTGACGAAATCGATTCACTTTGTTCGTCACGTTCTGATAATGAATCTGAATCAGCCAGGAGAATCAAGACGGAATTTTTAGTTCAAATGCAAGGTATGCCAAAAATGGGACTTTCTACGTAAGTAGGTACTAATAAAAATGTAATATTACTTCTAAAATAATTAATTAACGTGACTTTCACACTAGACCAACTGTGGCTTGCTTTGGGTTTAGACTGATGTCAAAATAACAACAAATTTAGGTACTACGTTTTTGGAGTAAGTGTAAACAAAGGTTAACTAAAAGGCTTTCATTTGACACCAATTGCGTCAAAATAGAAAGATCCTTCCTAAAACGAGGAAATAATTTGACGCAATTTGTGTCAAATAAAGCTTCCTTAACAATAACTTGGGTTTTCATTGTTTGCATTCATTCTAAAAATGTAACACCAAAGTTTGTTGTTATTTTAACGTCTGCGTAAAACCAGAGCACATCATGATTGGTCTGGTGGTTATCCCCCTTTGTTTTTTGCAAAAATTGAATAATTTTAGCCATAGAATATATCGATTAAATGAAAATCGTGAACCAAATGACGTTTTTTTTTATAAAAACATTGCTTTGTTATATTACTAATTTATTACGCTTATATACCAAACGGTATTTTTAATATTCGAAACGCGTCGTTTTGTTCATCATTATTGAGAGGTGTTTACATCAACATTTTTTGCAGCTGACTCTCAGACTTTTGTTTGTTTTTTGTTTAGGTGTTGGCCATGATACCGAGGGTATCTTAGTGTTAGGAGCTACTAATATTCCTTGGGTATTAGATTCCGCCATCAGGAGACGTTTCGAAAAAAGGATTTACATACCGCTACCGGAAGAACCGGCGAGAGCTGTCATGTTCAAATTACATTTAGGAAATACCCACACAGAGTTGACAGAAGAAGACATCAAAGAGTTGGCTTCCAAAACTGAAGGGTGAATACAAAAAATCTCGAAGTACAATACATATAAATATATTTGTTTTGTTTTTTTATAGTTACTCTGGTGCTGATATTAGTATCGTGGTACGAGACGCTCTGATGCAGCCAGTGCGTAAAGTTCAAACCGCGACTCACTTTAAGAGGATTAGGGGACCATCACCAGTCGATCCCAATACCATAGTGGATGATTTACTCATACCTTGCTCGCCCGGTGATTCTGGTGCAATAGAAATGTCCTGGATGGATATTCCGAGCGAAAAATTAGCAGAGCCACCGGTTACTTTGGTAAGCACCAGTTTTTTTATATATAAAACACCAAAATAGATATTTTTCAAACGATTGACAAGTGACAAATGATTGAAAGGTGACAAATGGTGCCTGTACTCTATTAGTAACCATTTTTAGTAGAACTATTACTTAATTTTATACTTTTTTTAGAATGACATGTTGAGATCAGTTGGCACCTCGAAGCCCACCGTCAATGATGAGGATCTTACGAAATTGAGGAAGTTTATGGAAGATTTCGGACAAGAAGGATAGAGACGTTGTATAGCTGCTTAATTATTATTGTATTTAAGAGAGATTCGTGTATAAACATATTTTTATTCTTCTAATGCATTAATTACATTAAATTTTCAATATCACAGAATTTGAAGTGTCACAAAAGATGTTAGAAAAAAAAAACCGTTTTGAATGTTATATTATATATTGTTGCTTTACAATTTATGTTTTTTTCTTTTTTAATAAATGATATTCTTTTTTATATTACGGCCTTATTATACATTAAGATAGTATATATTTGTATTCTTAAAAATACAATTAATTAAGTCGTTTGTATAGGGTTATATCTGTTGAAGAGGATTTTCAGCTTTCAGGCGTGTCCATATTATTCTTAATTTAAGAGACATCCACGAAATTTAGGAAGCAATAAACAATTTAATACAATGCGAAAATTGATTTAATTCGCTTAATATTCATTTTAGCCACGAAATCTTTGGATTAAATGAAAATTATGAACCAAACGACCTTTTTAATGTATGAAACGGGTTCTTTGGTTCATAACGTTATTGAAAGTCTGTATCGGCACGACTAATGAAAGATACGAAAATTTTGACAGTTAAACCCGGATGAGGAAACGATTTCAATTATGTAAGCTTTTTAGGTTTTTAAGGATTAACAAGTTTGTACATACATTTTAATTTCAGTAAAGTTATTTTTTTCAAGTTATATGTAGTTTCTATTAAAATTACTAATTGGATAACATGGAAACTACTATAAACAGGATGTGATGGATCCAACAAGAGCCCATATATAGGAACTGATGAATTATATGCTCATTCATATTTACACAAGTCGCATGTTTAATTAGGCATTCCAACGACCTGTCAAAATGCTGACAAGTGAGTACTGACAGTTTAGATATGGCAACCCTGAGGGCCTATTTTCAATGATACACGTATATAGTTATATAGATTGCTCAAAGCGGGTCGTTTGCGAGTGGCCATATTGCCTCGCAAGTGCTCATTAATCAGGAACGGTTTAGCAAAACTGTGTTTACAAACCAATTTTCAGGCTCTGAATATAGTAAAAAAATAATTACCTACATTTTTACTTCAAGGCATAAGCTTATGTCTATTTTGAAGAACATGGATGGTCAATGTATATAACTATTCCATTGACCCTGTCAAATCACCAGGCCTACAGGTTAGCCATATCATAAGCTGTCAAAACCCACTGGTATCCATTTTGTTTGGAATTCCTAATTGGGTAATTGGCTGGTTACTCACATAAGTAGTGATTATAAGATTCTATCTTTGTGACACGCAGTCACCCAACTAATTGACATAAAAATAAGCCTACATACATAAGGCTTGTTCTGGTTTCTTCAAAATGTACTGTAAACCTCTGACATAATTTCTGAGATACAGTGAAACAGTTGAATATTCAATTGTGCGTGGCGTAAAACTTTTTAACTTCCCGCTGGTCTTCTAGTACTCGGACAGTTTTCAACTTATTTCTGAAGAACCAGAACAGACCTATACACATTTTCGGATATATTTACATTTTTGACACACATAATCTAATTTACTCTAAATTGCAACTAACGCCCGATATTGCCATACTAAATCTGCTGTCGTCTGTCGTGCCTTCCCAAATATGTTTCATATAATTACATGTGTTCAGACGTGAAGAGACCATGTTCGGTCTCGTTCCCTGTCGCGTCACATTTTGAAGGCGTCTCAGTCTCTTGCGAAATGGTAGCTTAACTTTCAATCAAACAGCTGATTCGCTTGACCGACCCATAGCGAACTATTTGACAATCCTGGCTCTACATTAGAATTCCAAATCGGATTTAATTTCACATTTTAATAATTCGTGCTGTCGAACACTATTATTTTTCAAATTACATTTTATACACATACAATTTATTTTTTAGTTATTCACATACGTACTTCATTTACTCAATTACATATTCATTTATTTACTAATTTGCTCATTTATTTATTTATTAAATGAACTGTTCTACAGGAAATTCCCAATTAAAGAACTGGAGTGCGTTTAGAAACCACGCACGGCGCGTCTGGATCCTATTCTAATGTATGTAGTCAGACGCGCCGTGCGAGGTTTCTAAACGCACTCCAGGTAAAATATGACAAAATAAATATATCAGAAAAATACAATATAAAAAATTACAAAACAGAATACAGATTTAAGGAAGAAAAAAAAACACGACTATTTAAAACGATAAAATAATCACAAAAGCAAATGTTTTATGTCCAAAATTCTAATGTTAAATATATTTAACTTAGAGTTATTGCTGTTGCAATTACTACACATGACAATATAATGGAGATTTGCTTAAAATGTTGGTGCGAGGAGTGAAGTAAAAAGTATCATTGCACCTAGAAGTTTGGCGGGGAATCCTAAAATTTAACATATGCAGCAGGTTTTTACAATTTATTTTGTTGGTTATGACTTTGTGCAGTGTAACCACTAAAAAGTACATACGCCTTGCTTCAAAACTCGAAAAACTATGTCTTACTAACAGTTCGTTATGTGGGGTGCCAATTGGAGGATACTCTTGGTCTTCTCGAAAACTTAAATATGTGAGAAACCATCTTTGAAGAGCCTCTAACCTGGAAACATGTACCTGGTAACTGGGACTCCATATAACCGAAGCATATTCCAGTTTTGAGCGGATAAACGCATAATAAAGATACTGTACAGTACTTGCATTCTTAATCCGACAGTTCCGAATTATGAATCCGTACATGTGGCTTGCTGCAGTTAATATACCGTCAATGTGGTCATTGAAGGATAGAGCTGAATCAAAAGTAACACACAAATCCACAAAGTTATTTGGTCTGAATAATAGAGTGTTGCCTATGCGATAATTGTAAGCAATTGGATCAGGGCTTGGTGAATAAGACATGGCATTACACTTCGAGGGGTTCAAATTAAGGTTATTTTCCCGACACCATTCGATAACTCTCAGAAGATTTTCAGATAGTCTTTCACAATCCGCGACGTTCTTAATTGTTATGTAAAATTTAAAGTCGTCGGCGTAAATTAAAGAGTCAACATCAACTACATCCACGAAAATATTAAACAGTAACGGGCCTAGATTTGATTCCTTAGGAACACCGGAGGTGGCAGAATACTGATCAGATCTAAACCCATTTAATTAAACGTATTGTGTTCTGTTGGTGAGATGTGATATAAGAAGCTGAATACGATTGTTTGAAAGTCCAAAAGAGGCTAGTTTTTTATTAAAATACCATGGAAAATTCGCCTTACGAAAGTTATAGCAATTTATGAAAGATAACTCTAAATTATTTCTATTATTTAGTTTTCCTACTGATTTTAATGTAATGTCCAAAGCTGGATGCTGACAATCTTCCTTTATCAACGGATTTTTCAACAGAACAGGTATTATTAAAGTAAACTAGGTCTAGTAGTCTATTATTTTCATTAAAAACAAAGTTATTTTGTTTTAAATCAAAAACATCTGCAAAATTGTTTAATGCATCTAATCTTGCATTCGACTGAGAGTTGGTAAGAAACAAAGCATATTCCGATATATTGAAATGACCTAAAAACAAATTTTCCATACAAAAAATCCAAAGACTCTAGCGACTCAAAAAGGCATTCGTATTCCTCAAAAGGTGTTATTGGTAGAATATATAGATTAAAAATATAAATATGCCTAAGATTTAATCTAACTTTTATTAACAAGACGTCAATGATTCTAAATAGCGGCCAAGAGTATTGCTGCAAATCAATACGAGTAAAAATATACTCTTCATGAACCGCGATCAACACCCCACCGCCTCGTTTTATAACTATCTGTAAAATTTCTATCTGTTCTAAAAACATTAAAATGTGTAGTAAACAGTTCCGAATTATTGACCGACGAGTCCAACCAGGTTTCGGTAAAAACAAATATTTTGAAGTCACTTTGTGTGATAGAATTAAACATTTCTGTGGTTTTTGTTTTCAGTCCACGAGTATTTTGATAAAATATTGATATTTCATTCTTACTTTTATTCATAGATTTATATGAAGGTGGGTTTACGGGGGGCAACAGAAAATTTGTCGATGGTTGCTAATTAGAGGATAAGTTTGATCTAAACTTTTTTAATGATTAAATGTATGCCGAACATTTTTCTTTCTCCCACACAGCATGATTAGTAGCTACACTGGGATTATTTAATTTTACACAATTTGTACATTTTTTTCGGTTGATTTGCAGTCGTTCAGATCGTGGCCTCTGCCGCATATTGGACACGAAACGGATTTCGTACATTTTTGCGACGAGTGGTTAAATTCATTATATTTAAAGCGCATCAAATACAGCACAACTATCATAAGCAACAAACATGTTCCCGAATCAGTATGGTTTTCGTGCAGGAAGATCAACAGAGGGGACTGACCTTGATTTTTTACTAAAGTGTACCATCTCTCAGACCTTTGACAGCCTTCAAATTCAATTTATCTTCAATAAGTTATGGTATTTAGAGGTAATATGTTGCATCTGTTGGAATCATATTCTTCAGATAGGAAATGTTATGTACAATTAAATAAAGAAACATCTGAAATCTCTAACACTGATATTGGAGTACCTCAGGGATCGGTGCAGAGACCACTAATATTTATTGTTTGTAAATGACTTACCTCAGTATTTAAATGGTCGATCAGTTTTAATGTTTGCAGATGATTCATCAGTGGTATTCTCAGCGCGGACCACTGAAGAACTTCAACACACTTGATTATATGAAATCTGCTTGAAACATGGTGTCAAAATAATTATCTTAGTCTTAATATTGATAAATCTAATTATTTAAATTTTAGACGCATCAAAAACAGCTTCCTATACTAGTCCCAACAATTATACATAAAAAAAAAACGAAATTATAGGCCAATTTTGACAAATTTTTATCATTGTGTAGAATTTTGCAATACCACTAGAATGAAGAAATTTTCATTCCATCAAATTTCTGTAATTTCATCGAACTCATGTACAAAACGGACATTTTTACTTTCTAAAAGCGTGTTTTGGTTCAAATCACCAGTTCATTAATCTCGATAAGAAAATCGAGCAATAAAACAATAATTAAAACATCAAAATGTATTTATTTCAAAAGACATATAAATTAGATCTCTAGGAACAAAAAAAGACGGAAGATAACATTAAATAAATTGCCAAATTTATTGTCTACTTAAAAAAAAATCACTTTGTCTCTCTATCGCTCACTTGTATAAATCTCACAGACTAGAAAATTTTGTTTAATATATTTCATTTAAAAATTCAATCTATACCCACAACTAAAAACGTCAGTCTAGCTTCCATTAAACTAAGTTAATAATAATAAAAACGTCTCTTCACTGGTATTAGAAGAAAAATTGACTATCATCACAGCAATTAGCTGAAAGAGTAACTCAAAAAATTCGATATATCAGCCGGAGACGACCAGTCCACTTGCCATTGTGTTTCAAAACAAGAATATACCGGGTTTCTTCCGAAGTAAATAACTTCATATTCTCTTTTAATATAAAAATCTTAATTTTGACTAGCATTAACAACGTAACGAGTATTCAACAATACCCGTATCCCACGTGATCTGGCAAAACAAAAAAACTGAATGATAAAAATGGCCGTTCTTAGTGACTTTACGACAACTTAAGTCTCAGTTCTCTCAAAAACTTTTACCCAACTGATAACATCAATTTTGTTACGTGGAATACAGATATTACTGAAGACTGTACAATAAATGGTATATTATTTTTTGAAAAACATTGGCAGACAGATATTGCATCATTAGAAGTACCATATTAGTTATTGTAATCTTTTTAAAGAGTATTTTATGTTACATAAAAAGTTACGTATATAAATTGAGAATAGTGTCCATCACAGACATAACGAATTAAATGCGTTGGAAAGAGAGGGGGTAAGATAATATGAGCCAACAATAAAGAGAGGTAGAGCAATAATATGATTAACACGATTATGAATTATTAACTTCGACTATAATGTATTAAAATCCAAATGATCATCTCAAAAAACCGTAATGACCAGAGCTTCACTCTTCTATTTACTACGCATATATGACCTTGGCAGCTCTCTGTACAGTAATGAGCTCTAAATAATACTGTATGGGCCAAAATAGTGGATACTGAATAAACATTAAGTTTGTTCCCGAAGCGAGTTCTTAACATATTGAGTATGCGCAGTACAAAATAACTGTTCCAGCAGAGCAAAGTTCCAAACAAATTGAACTTGTTTGGTGTTTCCGCAAAATTAAAAACTTGTTCATAACATGTTTATTATTAGTTCTGGTAGTTCCTAAATAAAATACGAACTTTTACTTTCGCGCATGCGTGCTTATTTAGAATCATTTTTCTTCTTTTTTTCCCCTTTGTTTTTAATTGGATTTTTGATTAGTTTTGTGAGTGCCTGATATCTTTAATTTGTAACAGCAAAAAATATAAGGAGGTTAGTTTTTATTTGTGCAATTTTGATTTTATCGTAAAGTATAACCTCAAAATCTTCTTTTTTTTAATAAATATAATCGAATGACCTGTATTTAGTTAAAACACTCAGCAACATTAATTTTATTAACTTTCCAGCACACATTTATTCAGAACCCATTTCGAACATTATTCTGCTCACGTATGCGTATCAGATAATGTTTGTAACAAGTTTGGAACTCGCTTCGGGAACACACCTAGAAGTAATATTTAAAAACATCTGCTGGTTGAAGAGGGAGACAAAGTATTTCGATGTCACTACAAATGAGGCACCACTGTCGATTGCATTTGGAAACATCCCACGACTCACCATCCTCACATGATGAATCAAATCGTTCACATCTTTTCAACTCATAGAATCACTTACGTCTGAGATTTTAATATTTACTGATTACATTATAACTAAAGAATAAATAAACTTACTCGAACGCTATGGCACTGCTAATGACGAAAACCTAACCTAATAAGGAAGATCAAAAACGTAATATTTACAATAAAATATTCACAAATATATATATCATATATAGTAATTCCTAATTTGTTATCTTGAATAAAAAAAGACCTTCGATTTAAACGTCAAATTTACAAATACCTACTTTTAGCAGCTTGTTATTGTCGAACAAATCTACTGATATCGACCATTTAAAAGTTTCATGTCAGTTAGATTGTCAAATGTCACAATTGTCATTTGGTAAGTAGTTTAAATGTTAAACATGGCCGTTTATACTGGGTGAACCAGAACTATGGGATCAAACGTCGAGAGGAGTATTCAAAGCAATAATAAAAGATATTATTTGAAGATAAGAACATATGTCCAAAAATGTCTCCAAGACGCTTTAAGTCAGTGTTAAAGCATTGTTTTCATTTATTTTTATACATAATAACACTATGTAAGAAAAAACATTGCTTTAATACTTGATTAAACACATTTTTTCACATAACTGACTTAAAGGACCGTAGTGCATTAGGGATAAATTTGATTCCATAGTTCTGATTCACCCTGTATCGAGAGGGACAAAAGATCAAAATATGAAAAAATTGAAATTCATTTCTAAATCCCAAGATTTAAAACAAACGGAAGAAGAATTGAAAAACCCACGTGCAGGATTCGAACCCGCAACATCTATAGTTCCGTGTTAGAGCCATAACCTCTCGGCCATGTGATATGACAAATAAAACAAGAGTTATGGAACTAGGAAAAAAAATAAATATATAGAACACCAATATTTTTGTAATGAAAGCTATAAAAGGGGCAGCCATTACTTTTTTGGGATGTATTCTAGTAAGGGTATGGACGGAGCTCAATCTTGAAGCGACATTGTCCAAAAATCACGATCATTCAGTATATTTTTAAGGTAAATGTGGTAAACGACAAATTTTAAAATTCCCTATCTACCTATTACTAATTTTACACCAATAATATGGCTGCCCGTTTTAAGCAGTGAAGATTTTTGACCGTCTCATTCACATATTCATTAGTACCACGTCCATAAACAATTGATAATAAAAATTACGTGAGTATAGTTCAAGAAATCGATGTAGTATGAAGCTTAAGAACTTTAAAGCAATGTCGCCAACCATACACTCATCAGCAGATATCCAAAAATATCAACAAAGAGGTCTGTAGAACACTCCTGTGTCTAGTTAACGTGGTCTGGCACAATTGGAATCCAAATTTTTTGTTCTTACTGGTTATTATTTTAAAACAATGTATCATGATTTGATTGCGCGACGTAAAACCAATTAGAAACACGTTTAGACAACCAATCAGCGCAAAGGGCTTAAGAGTAAGAATGATTAAGCATTATAAAGTGTAGATTGATTAGGAATAAATAACAAAATGCGAAGACCATGAGCAAGTGACGATCCAATTGAAAATGTTGTGCGTGTTAACAACGGTGATTTCTCGCCACATTTGACATTTGAATCAAAGTCCTTCAAGAGGAACTAACCAGTCTCAAAAAAGCAACCCTACGCCGGACAGTGTCGCAAATACTCCGAATCGAAATAGATAATGGTAACCGTGATATCGTCTCTGAACACTCTTACGACGTCCTCGGGCAGCGTGAGCAACTGCGAAATTTTTGAGTGGTCCAAACCGAACTCGGTGCCGCCCAAAGCGTGACGGATGATGTGCGTGGACGCGTTCGAATCCCTCGGTTTCGTTTTGAGCCCTTCTTTGCGTTGGAGGAGCATTTCGTTGATTTCGCTCAACGTCATGTTCTTCTTGGGAAGCGTTAACGGACTAAGGGTCACTTTACCTTTCATGTGCTCACCTAGAAACGTGACTCGATGAGAAAAAGATAGAAAAGACAGAAAAGGAAGAAAAGAAAAATGGAAGAAAAGGAAGAAAGAGAAAGAAAAAGGAGGAAAACAGATGGAAAAAAGAAGGAAAGAGAAGAAAAAAAAAGAAAAAGGAAGTAACAGAACAAAAGGAAGAAATGGGAAGAAAAATAAAAAAGGCAGAAAACTAGAAAAATTAAGAAAAAAATAAGAAAAAGGAAGAAAAGGGAAGAAAAATTAAGAAAAAATAAGAAAAATTAATAAAAAAGAAGAAATAGAAGAAAAGGAAGAAAGAGGAAGAAAAGGAAGAAAGAGGAACAAAATGGAAAATATGAAAGAAACTTGAAGAAAAGGGAAGAAAAATAAAAAAGGAATTAGGAAGCAAAATAGAAAAATGAAGAAAAAGGACGAAAAAGGAAGGAAAAAGAAGAAAAATGAAAATAAAGGAAGCAAAATGAAAAATGAAGAAAAGGGAAGAAAACGAAAGAAATGAGGAGAAAATTGAAAAATAAAGAAAAAAATAAGAGAAGGGAAGAAAAATGAAGATAAAGGAAGAAAAATGAAGAAAAAGAAAAATTAAGAAAATGGAAGTAACAGAAGAAAAGGAAGAAATAGGAAGAAAAATAAAAAAGGCAGAAAACTAGAAAAATTAAGAAAAAAAGAAGAAACGAAAATTAAGAAAAAAAGAAAAATTAATAAAAAAGAAGAAATAGAAGAAAAGGAAGAAAGAGGAAGTAAATGGAAAAAATGAAAGAAAATTGAAGAAAAGGGAAAAAAAATAAAAAAGGAAGTAGGAAGGAAACTAGAAAAATGAAGAAAAAAGACGAAAAAGGAAGGAAAAAGAAGAAAAATGAATATAAAGGAAGTAAAATGAAAAAGGAAGAAAAATGAAGAAAATGGAAGAAAACGAAAGAAATGAGGAGAAAATTGAAAAAGAAAGAAATAAGAAAAGGGAAGAAAAAATGAAGATAAAGGAAGAAAAATGAAGAACAAGGAAAAAAAAGAAAAAGGAAGAAACAGAAGAAAAGGAAGAAAGAGGAAGAAAAATAAAAAAGACAGAAAACTAGAAAAATTAAGAAAAAAGGAAGAAAAAGAAAAAGGAAAAAACAGAAGAAAACGAAGAAAGAGGAAGAAAAATAAAAAAGACAGAAAACTAGAAAAATTAAGAAAAAAGGAAGAAAAAAGAAAAAGGGAAGAAAAAGGAAAAAAGGAAGGAAAAGGAAAAAATGGAAGAAAAATTAATAAAAAGGAAGAAATAGAAGAAAAGGAAGAAAGAGGAAGAAAATGGAAAAAAATTTAAGAAAATTGAAGAGAGGAAGAAAAAATAAAAAAGGAAGAAAACTAGAAAAATGAAGAAAAGAGAAGAAAAAGGAAGGAAAAAGAAGAAAAAATACGAAAAAGGAAGAAACAAAAGAAAAGAAAGAAAAAGGAAAGAAAATGAAGAAAAGGAACAATATTAAGAAAAGGAAGAAAGGAAATGGAAAGGAAGTAAATCTTCTACTTACCCACTAATCTGACCGCTTGTAACGGCGTCATCATGTCCCACAACCCGTCGGTGCCGATAATCAAAAATTTATCCCTAGCCGTCAACCTGTGATGCTTGACCTCCGGTTTGCAAGTCAAATATGGCGGCGTGTGGTAGTTGTGTAGGACGATTTGATCGCCGAAGTGTTTGGCGATCACGTTTTTCATGATGTCGTTGCTCCATTTGAACCTAAAATCGCCCATGGCCCTAAGCGGAGCCAAATGTCCCAACAGCCTGTCCATTCTGATGACCGAAAGCGATTCGTTGTACGGGTGCTCTTTTAATATCCTATCTACTTCGGCTTGGTTGTACGTGTTGTGCTCATTCGTTAGTTTGTTCGCTATCCAAGAGTTCGTCTCTGATAGAGTACCTAAAGAATAGGTTTTTTCTCACATAACAATTGTTATTTATGTTACTAAATGCAATGCACAGCTTTACTGGACGTGCCCTCGTTTATGGCCGAGCATAAAGCGTGAAAGACTAATAAAGAACTAGTTTCAAAATGAACGAATATGATCTTATTGTTAAAAAACTGTCATATGTCATACTTGTATTCAAATCACTGAGATAAAATAAAGAGGAGATGCTATGCCAACCAGCCCCGGAACTAGGTGGGGGGGGGGGGGGGGGGGAAGCCAGACCCCGTGCCCCGGGCGGCAAATAGTAAAATATTTTTTTTTTTTCATAAATAGGGTTTTGAAATCAATTCATAATCGAAATTTATTTGAATTCTATCTGTGTAAAACAGGTCAAGTGTTTATTGGGTCTTATTACCTGCTTAATCCATAATCGGATAAGTTTTCAATTGCCCAAAACGTTGAGTGATTTTAAAACGGTATTAACTTTAAAAATTCCAAAAATTAAATACCTGTTAAGCATATTAGGCACCTTTTGTACTACCTGTCATAATCCAGAAAGCAGTTAACTACCTGCAATTAGGATAATATATAAAGGAATAAAGCTACAATCTAAATTTATTGTGCTTTTCATTTTTGAAAAGTTTATTTTTGAAGTTATTGGTACTTTGTGTTTACTGAAAGTGTTTTTATTACCTATATATTTTTGTGGATGTTATCTGTGTTTACTGTTACTGTTTTTATGATTATATCCCATACATAAATAGTGAGAAATAAAAAAAAGGTAATAAAAAAGAAAAAATGAATTAGACTTATCTGGGTGTATGTGTAGTAATAAAAAAAATTATAAAAGTATAATCTCCTAACAATCAGATTATTTCGATTTTTTCTTTTAAAGTTATTGGTATTTTAAAAAACTATAAAATGACTGACATTTAACACTGTTAAAATGTTACTTTTCAAGACACCCTAAATATCAAATTAAAGAGAAAAAAAATTTCATTTTCGTGTATAGATCAAAATAATAAAAAAATTAAAAATATGAATTTCGTCATGAAAATTGGTATATGAGGTTGGGTTAGGAAAAACAAGTATTGTACACCGAATGCAATTTTGCGGAACGAAACGCGTATCGTTGAGTTTTGCAAAAGATGGGGTTTACAAAGTTATTACAATACATATTTTTCACACTGTGTTCAACATATCAAATTTATGTTTTATAAGTTGAAATTATGAGCGCCCCAAGAAAAAACTATCGGAAGCGGAATATAGAAAAAAGGACAAAGATATAGTCCTTAAGGGAAAACAATATGCGGAAAAGATGAAAAAGTGGCTCAGCGGAGGCGGTCGCCCGTCAGTACCTGCCCCAGCTTGCACTTTGCACGATCCTGATGATCAAAATTTATCATCTGCATCGTCTAGCCAAACTGCGAGAGTGCAAGAACAATTTGAAAGAATTGAGACAGAATACAAAGAATCTGAATTGGATCACTAGGATTCGAATGAATGGAAAACCGAAATTGATTTGACAGACCCGGGCAATTACATTGAAAAAATGACGTACCAGCAACGATCTTTCTTTACTACTTAAGCTGTGTTATTAGCAGAAAGTCATCCAGAAAACATTGAATTTAAATCAACTGAACGCGATGGTAGATATTTAACATCTGCTATGTGGTACAAAACATTGACCAATGACGAAAGGCTTAAAAGATCTTGGCTTGTATATTCTAAAACAAAAAATGCAATTTTTTGTGCATGCTGCAAGATTTTTCAGAAATCTTCCTCTCCCGGTATATCTGCATTGTGTACTACAGGATTTATTAATTGGAAAAAAGCTTATGAGAGATTAACCGAGCACGAGGCATCTCAAATGCACAAAGAGTGTATGATTAAGTGGAAAACTCGAGTTTAACAAATTAAATCATACCAGGGTATTGATCAAGACATTGAGCGAGTAATTCAAACCGAAAAAGAAAAATGGAGACAGATCCTGCATATGGTTATGGATGCTGTATTATATCTAGCAACAAACTGTCTTTCTTTTCGTGGTTCCCACGAAACCCCTAGCGATCTCATCACACAATGTCCTCAGCCTGGTGAAGGAAATTTCTTGAATTTAATTTTGCTTTTCTCCAAACATAATTCAACTCTTAAGTTTCAATTAGAAAACTTAAAAAAGGGACAAGTATCATATTTGTCAAAAACAATACACAATGAAATTATTGACATAATGGCAAATACAGTCAGAAATAGCATTCTATACGACATCAAAGAAGCCAAATACTATACAATAATGTTCGATTGCACTCCAGATGTGTCGCATACAGAACAATTGAGCCAGGTCATTCGCTATGTACAAAAAACTGGCGATGTGTGTGAAATAAAAGAAAGTTTCATTGATTTCATAGAAGTTGCTGGAAAGACAGGAGAGCACATTTGTCAACAGATAATGGAAAAGTTGACAGTTGATGGTTTAGATATCAGACAATGTCGTGGCCAATTTTATGATAATGGATCAAATATGGCTGGCACCTATAACGGAGAGCAAGCCAGGATTACAGAAATGAATGACCTAGCCGAGTTCGTACCGTGTTTGGCTCATTCCTTAAATCTTGTCGGTGTCCATTCTGCCTCATCATGCCCGGAAGCTATAAATCTATTTGGATTAATTCAAAAAATATTTTGCTTTTTTGTCGGCTCGACTACTCGATGGGATACTATGAAGAAATTTGTTAAAACCAATTTAAAAGGAAGCAGTCAGACGAGATGGTCGGCAAAACATGTTGCTGTGAAAGCCCTCTTAAATAATTTGCCGGAAGTGGTGGAATCCTTGGAAGAACTTAAGCAAACTTTTCATGCTCCAGAAGCAAAGTACGAGACAGGTAGTCTCTTAAATGCAATAAAGAATTTTAAATTTATATTGAACTTGACGATTTGGGCAAATATTCTCCGCGAAATCAATCGAGTGAACATTGAAATTGAAAAGCAAGATATAATCCTTGCGCGTTCCGTCTTGTTAATGGATGGCCTGATGAAAACTTTACAAAAAATGAGAGAAAATTCAATTGAATATTGGATAGAAGAGGCTAAAGAAGTTGCTGGAAAAATTGGCGTCGAACCTATTCTGCCAAATAAATGAATTCCAAGGTGCAAAAAACAATTTGACGAGATGTGTGATGACGAATCACGAACACTTCAACCAGTTCAACTTTTTTCTCAAGCAACAATGATGGTATTTGATAGAATCTTATCAGAAATTAAAAAGAGGGTTGATACTGCTACCACGTTGAATTCGAATTTCGCATTTCTAAATGGTACTGAAATTTTGAATATGTCAAATGAAGAACTGCAAAAGCATGGAGCAGATCTGGGACGAAAATACCAGCGAGATTTAAACGCGGTTGAATTCTGCCAGGAAATCTACGTTTTTAAAGAGCAAGGTCCACTGTTATTTGAAGATATAAAAAATACTAGTGCTTTCAATCTCTCGCAACAGATTTATACGCATGATTTGCAGGATGCCTTTCCCAATATTTATATTGCTCTAAGAATTTACTGTACGCTTCCTACTATATCCACAAGCTGCGAGCGAAGTTTCAGCAAACTTAAACTTATCAAAAATTATCTACGATATTCGATGAGCCAGGAACGTTTATCAAGTCTTGCCATATTAAAAATAGAAAATCAAATTGCTCATCAAATTAATTATGATAAGGCCATAGATTTGTTTGCAGAACAAAAGGCTCGAAGAGTAAAATTATAATAATAATAATAATTTTAACCTCATGTTTTATTCATACCCTATCCTGTCCTAACCTAATTAAAATATATGTCCGAGTCCGACACATCCTGGTATTTTTCGAAAAAATATTGGCTTAACAGAGAAAGAGCAGCGGTATACCGGTAGTTGTAGGGTTCTTTGGGGGAGGCCTATGTCCATCAGTGGCGGGTAGGGTCGGCATTCTTCAATTTTTGCCCTGCCTCAAAAAAATTCAAGATCCGGGGCTGATGACAACACTTAAAATGTCCGCACCGTTGCATTACACTTTTAAGTCATGCCAAACTCAAGCTAGTCAGTTTTGGTGAAAATAAATTCAATTTTTTTTAAGATAGCTTCATTTAAATGATATAGAAACATTTTCATTTAGTCAATCTTCAAATATAAAATTACTGACTGATAAATCAAAGTACATCATTTTGATTACACTTTTCCATCACTCGAAGTGCGACCATTTGTCATATTATTGTAAAATAATGTTTATTTCGTATCTACTTTATTCTATCTCGGTGCTTCAAACCAAATGGCTTTGTTGCAAATTAGGCAATCCAATGTCCTGTCAAAATGGCCAAAAATAGCCGATGCTTGGCAAAAACAACAAAGTTTGTTCACCTGACCTTTTCATTAGTAGTTGACTGTAAATTATACAATTAATATTAATATATTCTTAATAAATATTAATTAATGCCATTTTTTAAACTAAACACGCCGAAAAGACTAAAAAAAATAATACACAAACATAGACTAATAACCTCACTAGAAGTGTTTTCTGTCAAGGGAAGCACGTACCTTTGTTGTTTTTGCCAAGTCGCGTGATTTGGATTGCCTAATAAACCGCTAAATAGTTAATTTATTAGAAATTGAATGTAAAAATCGTATAAATTTATGAAAAACAAACGATATACAAGAGTTTCCATAAAAAGACAGATCAAACGTTAAATTAGAATCATATCGCTGGTGTCATTCTAATACCTCGTAAGAAGAAAAATCACATTTTACAGGAGAAACCAAAAACCGCTGTGTGCTTAATACAAAGTTCGTATACGAGGTAATATAAAAGATTAATTTTTGTGGGTTACGAGGTTTTCTCTAACAATTAGTATTTGTAGTTGCGACAATTTCTGTCTGTTCAGATTTGTAAATTTTCCTTTTATAAACCTATATTAAATTAACATCACGCATACAAAATAAATTCTTTTATTTAAATAAAATGTTAATTTCATATGCAGTTACAATAAACTTGCTCCAATGTCACTTCAAGTTCGATGTGGATATTGTAATAAAAAAAATGGTGAACTGTTATTTTAAAATAATTTCAAAACATTGAACTGGAGATCTAAATTGGAATAACATTTTTATAATGTAGGCATTGTTATTTTAAATTGTTTTCTTTTGTAATACAAAATATGCGTGAAAAATCATCTTGTAGTGTTAATTATAAAAATTAAGTCTTAAATCTATTTATGGTCCTTCGAACCGAAAAAGTGAGGGTTACGCCGGATTAGAATAACACCGTCGATATGTCAAAACAAATCGAAGAAAAGAACGTACCTAAAACGGCTGTGCAATCACCTACGCTGGCCACGTGCAAATGAGGACCGTCTATATGCGCCAGGCATACTACCGATCCCGACATGGCAACCGACATCGTTTTTAAGTTAAGATCCTCGCCCTTTTTTGGTACCGCTTCGTTACTGATGTCTCGGTCCAGCCGCAAGAAGGCTTGCTCGATGGCGTTGTGCATTTCGAAAGTTTTAACGGGTCCTTCCTGAAATGCGCAATTCGGATGTAAAGGAGCCGTTAGTGATACGGAGCATTAGTGATGACGTATGCATTGCGCAAGACGGGCCAAACAAAGTTGAATTTAATGCGTTTGTTTATGGACCGTAATAGTTGTGACGTCAAAACAAAGTTAGTAATATTATTAAAGAAAATCTAAAGAATCCACAAAACTTAAAATATTTGAAATATTAAACAAATGATCAAAATCATAGCCCAATATAAACAACACACGCTGGAAATTATTTATCGCATCCTAGTATGTCACAAAATAATCCGAGCAACCGTTTCTCATTGGAAAACAATTACTTCTTTGGCCAATACCGTAACATGCATTACAATGGAAAAACAACAGAAATAGAATATTATTTTCAATACTTTGCTTACTAAGAAGAACGTCATTCTTGGAACAGTTTCGTCCTTATTAGGATTCATCAGCAAGAAAAAGGCATTCTCAATTCTAACTTCTAATGGAATCTGTACATGCATTAAATTAATTTTATTTAAAGTTAAAGTTAAAGCTAAATCTATGATAGTTTTGGACACAGCCGTTGTCATGGTTACTTTGACGTCACACTATTTCGGTTCGTTTTGAACTTTAAGTGGTTTTTAGATCTTTTTAATATAACTTGCAAATAATATACAGGGAGCCAATTTGAAAACTTTCAATGCGAATATCTCGCAAAATAAAGAAGTTGGAGAAACGCCGTTTGGCACAAATGTTATAGAGTTAGAGGGAACTAGAACCACCATATTTCAGTGAAGGGGTGAGTTACCCCTTAGGAGCTGTTCGTCGGGTACTCAAACTACATAAGTTTTACCCGTACAAAATGCAAATTCTTCAGGAGTTGCAGGAGGATGACCCCGATCGAAGAATGCAAATTTGGGAGGACATGACCGAAATGTTACGTGTTACTCCCCAGTTGCTAAAAAATATTTGTTTTAGCGACGAATGCACGTTTCATTTAAACGGTTTAGTGAACAAACACAACTGCAGGTATTGGAGTGACGAAAATTCGCATTTCTTCAGGGAAGGGCACACGCAGTATTCAGAAAAAATAAATGTCTGTGCCGGAATTTTAGGCGACACTGTTTCTGAGCCATTATTTATTAATGGCAATCTTAATGGCGATACTTATTTGGAAATGTTAGACACCACCATTCAACCTCTCATTGTTGAAGAAATTGAAAATCAGCTGGACATTGACGGAAACAGGAATCTGAATGAAAATTTAATACATTTTCAGCAAGACGGAGCACCACCCCACTACGTTCTTCTAGTCTAGCAATTTTTTAATGACGCTTTTCCAGGTCAATGGATTGTACGGAGAGGTCCAATCGAATGGCCGGCGAGATCTCCCGATCTAACACCTCTTGACTTTTTTCTCTGGGGACATTTGAAATCCATCGTATTTAAAACAAAACCGGATTCAATAGAAGATCTTCGGCAACGAATTATTACGGAATGCAGCAATATTCCAAGAGGAGTGTTCCACAATGTTAGAACAGAATTTGAAAATCAATTATACTATTGTTTAGCACAAAATGGAATGCATTTTGAACATCTAATCAAATAAAATATCATTAAATTTTTTTATTCGAATTTTTTGTTTTTGTTACCCCTGTATTGAATGGAAAAAAATTCTTGTACAGGTGAATACTACTAAATGAGACCTTTCATTTGAGGTATCACAAAAGGGGTAGTGCCATTTGACATTTTAAAGTTGGGGTGTGTCGCGTTCTAAGGGGTGACTCACTCGCTCACTTAAAAATGGTGGTTCTAGTTCCCCCTAACTCTATAACATTTCTGCCAAACGGCGTTTTTCCAACTTTCTTATTTTGCGAGATATTCGCACTGAAAGTTTTCAAATTGACACCCTGTATATTGGTGCTTATTTAATGTATTTTTGTGCTAACATGCCTTTGGTGATTTCAGGCATTTTCATTCATAAAAAACGGTACTGTTTGTGGTACGTGGCAAACCATTTTATATAAAGGGGTTGATACTTTTTAATAGGGATAGTATACTGCAATCTGGTAAACCATTAGATATATAGATTGGCAATTCAAGCTATGCTAATTTTTTGTATATTCCAGTGTTGCTGATTTTCAGCCTATGTAGCAGACACTTTTTTGAGTATCGGAATTTGTATTTACTATACAGGGCGTCCATAAATTAACGCATAAATTCATTATTAGCTAAATAAACAAAAATATTAGAAATTCCCGAAACAGGTCGATTTTTGATTTTAGTTTACTATTTTTTTAAATTTTTATCTAAAATACAGGGTGAAACACCTTCGTGTGATGACGTCATCACCATTTTTTTAACGTAACCCCATTTTTTCTCTATTTCCGGATTGCCCTTGCTGAGCTGATTCCAAAAATGTATAATACGTTGCTTCAAATTGGTACAGGGTGGGCAAAAATGCAAAAATTTCAAGTTACTTACAAAATAATAAATGAATAATAAACGTAATAAACACATTAAATGAAATTTCGTATTGTTATACAACTACTTTAATAAGATATTAAAAACACCCTGCATTATTTTTAACATTGTATCTAAAAGCTTTTATTAGTGATCCAAGCCCCTGAAGCATAAAAATATTTTTTTCTACACCCACATGGATATTAGCTTATCTACGCACAGACTACAAAACGAAAAAGTATACTATTGCCATTAACTGAACGAATAAATTTTATATCCATTCTATGTAGTGAGAACACTGCAAAAAAATGAAATCCACCAATCACCGTTTATATTTTGATCAACCGAGTGCTATTATTTTTAAAATTTTAAATAAGTGACAATTCTGTCAAACTAATTATCAGTATATTTGTTAGTTATTGAGATTAAACATACATTAAAATGGGTTATTCTTGTGTAGAATCGATAAATAATAGCATTTCTGTTTTTATTTCGTCAATAATTATAAATAATTTGTTAATTTAAATAAAACTATATAAAATCAATTTAATTACGAGTATTAAAGCAACAAAAATAAAAGAATAGGTGGTCCTGTGGTTAGCGTTATTGACTTCCACACTGAAGACTCGAGTTCGATTCCCTGATGGAGAAAAATGTAATGAACATTTTTTCTTTTTTTTTCCGTTTATTTTATTTAAAATTTTTTTATAAGTCATGTCATAAAGTCCCGCAACGTCGATCCAATTCTTACCCGAGTTGCAGCTCCGCAACGATACCCTATGTGTATGGACACCATACATGTACCCCAATTAACCGAATCCGCAAACACTAATTTTTGCAATCACACATACAGGGTGTTTCCGAACTTGGCGTCCAAATTTGTAGGGGTGGTAGTTCGCATGATTTGAGACCGATTCGCAGATTTCGTTTTTCCAAAATATTAAAAATTTTAAACAATCGGCTACGTCTTTCGATACCGGCCTGGCGGAGGGAGACATTTGCAAATCGCATCTGTTTTTGAGTTGTAAATCCCGATGAGTAACCTATCAGGCGACTATTGCGCTACGCGCTGAGGGTAGGACCCGCTTTTTGATTTTTTTATAATGGCTCTATTTTGTTTATTATAATTTTTTTAGAAAAATGAAATCTGCCAATCGCTCTCAAATTATGAGAACTACCACTCCTACAAATTTGGACGACAAGTTCGGAAACACCCTGTATAGAGTCACTCTTACGTCGACACAAGTACTTGTGGTTTTTCATCCGACATTCGTACTCGAACGTCAGTAAAGTTATTTTAATTTTTAATATTAAAATTTTCACAAAATAATCAGGAAGTAATCCTAAAGTTCGGAGACTAGTTACTCTTTCTCATGGGATCAACTTCGAATATTCATATTTCCGGATTTCATTTATACCCGAATGAAATACCTATATACGCAGAAATATTTCAGACATCACAAAAATCCAAAGTAATTCGCGTGTCCAAACTATGTCTTATTAATATTTCACACCCACATACAACCCTTCTAGCTTTCTAAAAAGTACTTTATCTTCTAATCGAATTTCATTATTATTTATCCTAAAAAAGACGATAACGTTTTATTTTCGGACGAGGTAACGTTTTATTTGAACGGTCATGTTAACCGGCAAAACATCCGTTATTGGTCTGATGAAAATCCACACTGGATACAAGAGTACCATACGCAAAGACCTCACAAAAACCAACGTATGAGCTGGTATTGTGAGAAATACAATTATTGGTCCATATTTTTTTGATGAAAATTTAATAGGAGCATTATATCTGGATTTCCGACAAAATACATTAATTCTTGATCTGATCCAGCTTTTTTCTTATATTCAAATACCCACGAATTTAAACCGCAGTATCTGGTTTCAAAAGAATGGCGCACCGCCACATTTCGCAGTAACTGTGTGCGATTTTTTAAACTGAACTTTTCCACAACGGTGGATAGGAAGAAGAGGACAAGTGGAATGGCCCGCTAGATCACCTGATCTGAGCCCATTAGACTTCTTTTTATGGGATTATTTAAAATCCAAAGTCTACACAAACAGACCTGGAAATATGCGTCAATTACAAGACCGAATTGGACAAGAAATACAGACATAACACCCGCTATAATACATAATGTTAGAGACGAAAGTAAAGCCCGGTTCAGTCATTGCCTAACGATGAATGGAGAACAATTTGATCATTTATTGTAAATTTTCGCTTGTTTGTTTTTTGTAGTGTATCACAGTAATTGCATAACTACGTAATTCTATTTAATTTGTTTATTACATTCAGTAACGTAAAACTTTCCATAAACAATTTTCATGATTTTTTTTTGTATTTTTGCCCACCCTGTACCAAGGGAAATCCAGAAATTGTAAAAAAGGGGCTTCCATTTAAAAAAAAATGGTGATGACGTCATCACACGAAGGTGGTTCACCCTGTATATTAGATTATAATTACAAAAAATAGTAAATTAAAATTAAAAAACGACCTGTTTCGGGAATTTCTAATATTATTGTTTATTTAGCTAATAATGAATTTATGCGTTACTTTATGGACGCACTGTATATGCTCATACTCTAAGTATTCTTATAAAATCGTTTTAATTGTATTGATATTTTTAAATTTCAGTTAATTTATCCACAAAAATCAGTTGTTAACTTAATAGTAGCAGCCGATAGATAATTCATCGTAATTTAAATCATTTTCAATAATTTTTGACATTAATTTTGTTTATTTTTTGTAATTTATGTAAAACGGAATGTCCCAAGTACATAGATGTTGGGATTTTCACAATTAATAAACAGTCAACATTTAATCGAATCTGTATACCTAACCTTTAACGAAATAAAGATAGTATTGCTATTAAAAAGTAGTGTCTTTATTTGAAATAAAATGCACAATCGAAATACTTCATTTAAAAAAATATTTGCTTGACGTTATATTTTGTATTTTTTTTATATTTTAAATAAAAAGCGCATTCAAAAAAATATTTAACAATCGAAAGACTTAATTTAAAAAAATACTTGCTTGAAGTTATATTTTGTAATTTTTTTTTTATATTTTTAGATAATTAAAAACTTAGCTAACCATTTTTAGATAGTTTTTTCCGAACACTGTAAAATCTAAAATAAAAATTTCCAAATTTACATTTAGAAAAAAACCAAACACAATAAATTTATTACTTACCTTTGACAGATCGGCTAAAAATTTTGCAAAACTCTTCTCATACAACTGCCTAATATCGTCTACAAATTGCACTTTATCATTATAAGACGCTATCAGGTCCTTAGGCTGTTGACTAAGAACAGATTTGATATATTCTAGAAGGCTATCGTGCGGTAGCAGACAAGCGGCTATGTAGTAGTACAATCGTTTCGATATCACTTGTGCGCATGCGCTGCCTCCGTGGCCGTCGAAGACGCCGAATAAGAAACCTGAAAAGACATTTCCAAAAATATCCCAAAAATAATTTGGATATATTGGTTTGTTGTAAATACCTGTGGTAAGCAAACATGATGCTTCCGCCCTAGTGTCTTCTATTGGATTGTTGGATGCTAGCTGATTTGATTCATAAGATTTCACTGAGCTACCTTCGCTAAATTCGTGATAGTATTCGTTGGTACGAAGAATGTCGTCAACCTGCAAAAGAAAATCATAGTTAAATTATGAAATTAAATTTAAAATGTCAGTGACGTATCTTTTTTTTTATTACAAAAGGATATATTTGCAGGTGCGCCACTGGCGGAGCAATAAAATATGTGGTTCTATATTATATTAACACATACTAGGACACTTCATTTAATTATTTTGTGCATACGCTACAAGATGCTAAAGAACATTCAATAAAATCAATAGTTTTCAAAGAAAAAATATAAACCAAGACATTCATGGATCACAAGAGGATTAATTAAATTATCTGCCATAAAACAAAATTTTTATAAAAGAAATCATTAGATAGATTTGCAAACGATATAAAAATTATATACAAAAGCTCATCAGTAGCATAAAAAAAGAATACTTTACAAAAGAAATAAAAAATTAAAATGATATCAAATCCATAAGGAAAGTAGTAAATAGCTTTTTAAATAAAAATAAATTTAGTGACGGGTCAATAAAAGAAATTAAAATAAATTCCATGACAAAGATATAGCAAATAGTTTTAATAAACATTACATAGAAATTTGAAAAAATGGAAACAAATATCTAAAGCAATAAACAAAAACTTTTAGTCCAAAAAAGAATTCTATGTTCTCAGAACCAATTCAATAGAAATTATAGACCTCATAAAAGTTCTAGCTATGATGACATTACAACAAAAATGCTTAAATTAATAAAGGATTACATAAAAGAACCTTTGACTGTCATTGTCAATAGCATTTTAGAAAGTGGTCATTTTTCATCATGCTGTAAAATAGGCATTATTAAATATTATACAAAAAAGGAGATAGAAAATAAATGACAAACTATCTCTGTTATAATGCGTAACCTGTTCTTGCTCAACCAGTTACAGGCTTCCGATCTTTTCTGGTTATATCCACCCAGAAGTATTTTAGCCTGTCTTGGCCCCAAGCGACTGTTTCAATTATCGGTTCTTCTACTGCCCAATTCTTTTTTAATCTTTTTCAATCTTCATTAATTCTTTTTATTCTTTTTTAATCTTTTTTATCTTTATTAATACTTTTTAATCTTTTTTAATAATTTTTAATCATTTTTATTAATTTTTAATAATTTTTAATCATTTTAATCATTTTTAATCTTTTGTAATCTTTTTAATCTTTTTTAATCTTTTTTATCTTTTTAATCTTTTTTAATCTTTTTTAATCTTTTTTAATCTTTTTTAATCTTTATCTTTTTTAATCTTTTTTAATCCTTTTTTAATCTTTTTTAATCTTTTTTAATCTTTTTTAATCTTTTTTAATCTTTTTTAATCTTTTTTAATCTTTTTTAATCTTTTTAATCTTTTTTAATCTTTTTTAATCTTTTTTAATCTTTTTTAATCTTTTTTAATCTTTTTTAATCTTTTTTAATCTTTTTTAATCTTTTTTAATCTTTTTTAATCTTTTTTAATCTTTTTTAATCTTTTTTAATCTTTTTTAATCTTTTTTAATCTTTTTTAATCTTTCTAAATCTGTTTTAATATTTTTTAATCTTTTTTTAACTTTTTTAATCTGTTATAATCTTTTTTTAATATTTTTTAATCTTTTTTAATCTTTTTTAATCTTTTTTAATCTTTTTTAATCTTTTTTAATCTTTTTTAATCTTTCTAAATCTGTTTTAATATTTTTTAATCTTTTTTTAACTTTTTTAATCTGTTATAATCTTTTTTTAATATTTTTTAATCTTTTTTAATCTTTTTTAATCTTTTTTAATCTTTTTTAATCTTTTTTAATCTTTATCTTTTTTAATCTTTTTTAATCTTTTTTAATCTTTTTTAATCCTTTTTTAATCTTTTTTAATCTTTTTTAATCTTTTTTAATCTTTTTAATCTTTTTTAATCTTTTTTAATCTTTTTTAATCTTTTTAAATCTTTTTTAATCTTTTTTAATCTTTTTTAATCTTTTTTAATCTTTTTTAATCTTTTTTAATCTTTTTTAATCTTTTTTAATCTTTTTTAATCTTTTTTAATCTTTTTTAATCTTTTTTAATCTTTTTTAATCTTTTTTAATCTTTTTTAATCTTTTTTAATCTTTTTTAATCTTTTTTAATCTTTTTTAATCTTTCTAAATCTGTTTTAATATTTTTTAATCTTTTTTTAACTTTTTTAATCTGTTATAATCTTTTTTTAATATTTTTTAATCTTTTTTAATCTTTTTTAATCTTTTTTAATCTTTTTTAATCTTTTTTAATCTTTTTTAATCTTTTTTAATCTTTTTTAATCTTTTTTAATCGTTTTTAATCTTTTTTAATCTTTTTTTTAATCCTTTTTAATATTTTTTAATCTTTTTACTCGATAGGAACAAAAATCAACTTTAGGTAAAAATCCATATACTATACACTTTTATCAGTGTAGAATGAATATTTAGATATATCACTACCAAAATATTTCTAAATAAACACTGGACCTAGTACAATATGCAGATATTATATAAAACGACCTAGTACGATATGCAGATGTATAGAAAAGGTTCAAATAAGAGGTAAGAAAGTATTAGTAACAATACAAGACATGCAGTTAGTTTAGTTAAACTCTATGAAATACCTATGGGAATTAGAACAAGTGCTTGAGTCCCTTTCTTTGCGAGACTATCTGCAACCTCGTTACCCTTTACCCCGTTATGTAACTGTACTTTCCTCGCCTAGCTCTAGCTTTATTCTTATGAGGACACATTGAGAACCAGCATTGCGAGTTAGTAAATATAAAGAATTTTTATCGTCCATAACAATGACTGTCTCATCTTGGTATCCGTTTTAATTGATTTGGGGTATATTTAGGGCATTCATTTTTGACAATGTCTTGCTAATTCCCATGATACTGTACTCTTTAAAGTACAAAATTCACGTATTAATTTTCTCTGTGTTTTGCTCTTCCTATCAATCTTTCTGCTCTCTCTCGGATAAAATTTCTTGGTTTTCCACTTTTTGTGAAATTCGCCGATTTAGGAGAATACACAATAAGGCTAGTGAGGCTTTAGTGATGTGGGGTTAACCAACCCTCCCCACGTTACAGACGTCAATTAAATTACTAGAAATTTCGTCATCGAAGAAAATCCTTTACAATAAAAACCTTTTACCTCTCTTATCTGTTAAAAAAGAATTATCCAATTAAATAGAGTGCAGCGTATGGACGTTTCCGATAAATTATTATTGTAAAAATGTAATAAAAGTTAATTTAAAATATAAAAACAAAAAATATTTCTTGTTAAGGGCTCACTTAAAAACAGAGTATTTACAGAAAAACATCTAAGTGGTTTGATGTATGAATAATAGAATGTGTTCTAAAATTATTTTTACTTCAGTAATACTGGTAAGTCTTCAATATAAGCTTTAATCCCATTTAAAAATGAATATTTTGTGGTATGGGTTACAATATCTCTCCAATTTTCTTTATCCTGTACTTGTTTTTTTTTTTGTTTAGGTCTAGTTCCATAGTTCTTTGTCCCATAATTTCGTTCAAGATGTTTTCCATGATTAAAATGTATAGGATAAACATGTTAGTACTTTTTTATAACTCTCGCCCCTAGTTGTGACGTCCCAGTCAGGCAGATAAATTTTTGAACTAGTTGTCACATTTAGAAAATTAATTTTAAGAGAAATCCAAAATTTGAAGTATCTATCATTACCGATTTCGAAAATATCGTCGGAAAAACATCTTCAGGCGGTTCTCTTCAAAGGATTGTTGCTCCTTTTTGGATATGATACCGAATCACCCTTTAGATTTTCCATATCAAGTCCCCCAAATTTTGTGTTTACACACTACATTTTTCAAATATAATATAAACACCAAATTTTCAAATATCATGACCAAATTTTCAAACCTTATAATTTAAATTGTTGATTCAACTAATGTGTGTCAAAATTCACTTTTATTCTCCTTTCCTGTCAACCAACAATTTTTTTATTATTTTCTCCCTTTCTTCCCTATCTATTCTAATTTTTTCCTTTCATTATCTTATAACTGTTTAAAATTTATCCTAGTTTTATTTTTATATTTATACAAATATTTTATATTGTTTTTGGATTTCACCTTTCTAATTCTTTATTTTCTTTTCTTATTTATTTTGTTTCTATTTTCCTCTTTTCTTTCTCATTTTCTTCTTAACTTTTTCAAAGATTAAATTTCTTTTTTTTTCTTTCATATTTACTTTTTTCCTACATTTTGAATCTTTCATTCTTCATTAAATTCTTTTTCTTCAATTTAATTTTTTATGTCCTTTACTTCTGCATTTTACTCTTCAATTTCTATGTATTTCAACTTCTTTTGCTTCTATATCTATTTCATTATTTAACTCTAAACAATCTTTTATTTTTCATGTACTTTATATTCTCCTAATTTACATCTTTCTTCTTTCATTTTCGCTGTTTATTTCTACCATTTTGTCTAATTTATTATTTCTTCTTTATCTTCCTTTGTGATCTCATGTATATTACCCATTTTCTTTATAATCCTTCTACTTTTTTGTTCCATTTTCTTCATAATTTTCTTATTTTTACTAATCATTGTTATTTTTTTTTTTTTCATCATATATCATTATATTGTCTTTATCTTTCTTCTTTATTAACTCTTCATAACCCTTTGCTAACCACGTTGTTCCTGTATTATCCGTTTGTTGCTGTTTTTGTTCATGCATCTTTTTTTTGCCACCTTGGCTAGCACTTACTATAGAAACATCCTGTAGATTTTCCATATTAAAATGTTTGTGAAACTGCTTGAATTGCCTCTAATTTTGGAATGCCCAAAAAACTGTATAAGAAAGAAGAACTACAGAAATGTGGTTGATGCGATACATCATTTGAAAGGTTTTTTTCTGGAATTTGGATTTGAACTCTTATATTCAAATTAACAATTTGGAAGTCGGAGATTTAATGTTCCGATAGCCGAAAGGTTAAGTCAGTGTGCGTAAAACACGAATAGGTGAGTTCAAATCCTTATCCGGACAGAATTTATTCAATTTTTTATTAAATTTGTTTTCGCTTCGGAGATTCAAAAAAAAAACACTATTAATTTTGTAATTTATTTGGGGACTTCCAAAGAATTTATATATTTCTATTATTTTTATTTCGTATTATGTAACTAAACACTTGTTTGCCCTGGGTTAGAAAAGTATTTCCTAGGGCCGTAACTGCAACTTTCTTGATATTGACAGACTTCAAAAAAGCGAGTTACAAAGCTATAGTCTATTTTTATGTATGAGAGAGTATTAAAATAATAAAGCGTTCGTAATCCATAGGCGTATCACTTCTTTTAGTAGACAGTTAAAATATTTTTTGAAGCTACTCCTCGAGTATACACTTATATTTTCACCTAATTAACCTGCGTATAACTTCTAAACAGCTGAAGGTAAAAAAGTGCAATTTTTTCTAAAATGTTTTTTTTCCACAAGGTATGTTAAGAACATTGTGTCAAACGGGTTATGTAGGTATAAGGGTTTAAACTTTGACTTTTAAACAACGTTACGTTCATAAATAATAATTTTAATATAAAAACTACTTCTTACCTACAAATCCAAATCAGAATCGAAATCAGAAGATGAACTGTCGCAACCAATATTTACAATGAGTGGCTCGATCATTTCATCAGTAATATTGTCCAACTTCTACATTTTCTCTTCTTCTTTAATCGTATGATTTACTGCCTTTTCCCAGTTTTCAGGCTTCACATTATTTACAGCCTCCAAAAACAACTGTTTAACATTACTCATTTTAAAAGAATTATTTTTTCTTGAAACTTCTCCCTTTATCTGTGCCCATATCAGTTCAATCGGGTTTACTTCGCAATGATATGGTGGTGATCTAACCACCGTCATCCCACGATTTTTTGCAATTTCATCAATTTCATATTTTTTGAATTTCTCTTTATGAAGGGAACACAAATGATACAGTTCTTTTCTCACAGAACTGGGATGGAACTTAATATTCTTTGAATTTAGTCAATTCTGTAAATCTTTTTTTAACCACTTGGTTGTGGGCATTTTTTCTATAAGTCTCGACTTACATTATCCATTACTATTATACAGTTCTGAGGAAGAAGATCTATAATTTGTTCGAACCACTCTTTAAAGACATCAGCATTCATGTCCTCATAGTAGTCACCGGTACGAGTAGATTCAAAAGTCAATAAACCACCTTTAACAAAACCGTTTGAACTACCGATGTGTACTATTATTAGTCTGCGCCCTTTTCCTGATGGTGGATTTAAACCAGTAGATAAATTATTTAAAAAAGCCTGTCTTCGACTTATAACAGTTTCATCTTGCCAAAATTTATTTGGTTTATGTCCCTCGTTGATCCATGTTTCATCTAAATAAAATATATTTCTTCTTTGGTTTCTCATTTCTTTTATAGTCCTTAGGTAATTTTTTCTCCATACTACAATATCGCTTCTTTCTATTAAAATAGACTTTCTGGAATGCTTTTTCCATAGAAAACCTATTTCTTTTAAAAGTTTCCATAGTGTGACTCATTTCAGGGTAATCCTTATCATCTCAAAGCGTGGCAAGAACTTTGTCTACTGTCGGAAATTCTTTTCTAAAGAAGAACGCATGCACTTTCCTTCGAAGTCTTTCTTTCAAAAGATTTTCTAATTGAAATTTTGGTTTTCCGCCACATTTCTCTTCTTTAACAACTCTGTAAATCGTAGATTTCCCAACACCAAGCGTACTACTAACTAATTCCACTGTGTCATCAACACTTTTACATAAATGTTTGTCTGTAAATGATTTAAAACAATTAAATATTAATGTTTTTTCATTAACTGTTAAAGGACCGATTTTTTGTCGTTTATGCGGCCCTTCCAAATTTTGGCCTGTCCAAACCTTTTTCTATTGTTCTGTACAGCTTATGTTTATAAAGGACCAATAAAAGACCCAAAACTTGTAATAGCTCAGGTACATTTATTACAATTTTAGGAAATATTTAGATTATTCTGTAAAAATATTTAAAATGACCGTACTAAGTTTTGCATTAGAAATGCTGTTTTATTACTCTCTCACACATAAAAATAGACAGTAGTAGGAAAAGTGTTTTACGTTTTGAAAATGTCATCTTTTGCAACTTCCGTTATTTTAAGTGTGTGTTAACTGAACGTTGATCTTTACTAATGCTGTAAAAAATTACTAATTGTACGAATTTTCAGGTATGTCTTATTATATCAGAGATCTGCTCAGCCGCAAATCGCCAAATTGTTCTAAACTCTGTAATAACGGACTATTTACAAGTAGAACCAAGAGACAAAGGCTATCTGCATGTAGAACCAAGAGATAAAGGATATTTACAAGTAGAACCACGAGACAAAGGCTATTTACATGTAGAACCAAGAGATAAAGGTTATTTACAAGTAGAAGGAAGCGACAAAGGCTATTTACAAGTAGAACCAAGAGATAAAGGCTATTTACAAGTAGAACCACGAGACAAAGGCTATTTACATGTAGAATCAAGAGATAAAGGATATTTACAAGTAGAACCAAGAGACAAAGGCTATTTACATGTAGAACCAAGAGATAAAGGATATTTACAAGTAGAACCACGAGACAAAGGCTATTTACATGTAGAACCAAGAGATAAAGGCTATTTACATGTAGAACAAAGAGATAAAGGATATTTTCAAGTAGAACCACGAGACAAAAGCTATTTACATATAGAATCAAGAGACAAAGGCTATTTACATGTAAAACCCAGAGATAAAGGATATTTACAAGTAGAACCACGAGACAAAGGCTATTTACATGTAGAACCAAGAGACAAAGGCTATTTACATGTAGAACCAAGAGATAAAGATTATTTTCAAGTAGAACAACGAGACAAAGGCTATTTACATGTAAAATCCAGAGATAAAGGATCTTTACAAGTAGAACCAAGAGACAAAGGCTATTTGCAAGTAGAACCAATAGACAAAGGCTATTTACAAGTAGAACCACGAGACAAAGGCTATTTACAAGTAGAAACACGAGACAAAGGCTATTTACACGTACAACCAAGAGACAAAGGCTATTTACATGCAGAACTCAGAGATAAAGGATATTTACAATTAGAACCAAGAGTTAAAAACTATTTACAAGTAGAACCAAGATTATTTAAGAATGAAATAGCCAACGTCCAAGGATTGTTAACCAACCTTTTCTCGAATCTTTGCAAATTTATCAGTAAAATCACAGATCCAATATCTGCAGTACAAAAACAAATTGTTAACGCAATGAAGTCTACTTTGACGAATTTGGGAAACGTTGTTCCATTGAAATTATTCTCGTCAATTATGTCTTTCTCGATCGATACAATAACAGATGTTGATCTTATTGTTACCAAATTTATAAGTAATTTTCCCAAGTATGGTTGTTTACTAAGTGAGAATATTAGTAAATTAGTCAATGGTATTTTAGATCATGTCATAGAAATATAATTAATGATTTTATGTGCATAATTATATACAAATAAATTTTATGAATAAAATTAAATAATTATAAACTAATCTTTCTTGTAGTTTTATTTAAAACAACTTTTGTCAGTAAACGAACTTTTTTTAAATTTATACTTCTAATAGCCGTTTGCACCGACAATTTTAAGGGAAACTTAAGGTTAAGTAATACTTAAGTATACGAAAATCGTTGCACCGATCATTAAGTACCACTTATTCCAACCTTAAGGGTTTCCTACTAAAGCGGCCAAATGTGCAGGCTTTATACCTTCTTTAGTAAGTATTTGGCATAAAGTACTTGTTTCCTTGAGATTTTGGAGGTGGAACCCGCCCATTGACATTGACAGTATTGAATCAACCTGATACTGTAATTTATATTTATTATTTCTTTAGAAAATAGTGTTTGTTTGCAAAATTGATATGAATCCAGCCGATTTACAATTGTTTAACGACGATCAAGATATTCTAGATTTAATAAATTTCGGATTTCCTAGGCGCATTTATGAGAGATCAAATTATTTTGAAGAAATGGATAACCTCACATTTTTCAAACGGTTTAGACTCTATAAAGAAACTGTTTTACATCTGTTGGAACAAATAGAAGTAGATCTGGAATACCCTAATGATAGGTAGGTACCTAAGTTTATGTTTTGCAACCAGTCGATATGAAGTTATTTTTTTTATTTTAGAAACAATTGTGTTTCGCCAATTAACCAACTTCTTTGTTGCCTTCGTTTCTATGCAAGTTCTGGACATTTAAGTAGTGTGGCCGATTTTATGGGTTTAGAAGTTTCAACGGCATCAAGAATCGTTGCTCGTGTATCCAGGGCAATAGCACAACTTTTACCAAATTATATAGGTATGCCAGTTGAACAAGACTGGGTGAAGGAACAGGCGAAATTTTTTGAAATTGCAAGATTTCCCAGAATAATAGGATTGGTTGATGGAACCCATATTAAAATCCAATCTCCTGGTAAGCCTTTGTAGTGAGAAATATTGTTGATATTAATAAATCATATTTTAGGAGGCAACGATGCCGAGATTTTTAGAAATAGAAAATCTTACTTTTCTTTAAATGTGCAAGTAGTAGGTAGTGCAGATTTGAAGTTTTTGGATGTTGTAGCTCGTTGGCCAGGGTCTGTTCATGATGCCACTATATTTGCAAATAGTAACATTAGAGCCCGTTTTGAAGGAAATCATTTTCCAAACTGTTTGTTGGTTGGTAAGAATATTTGCTAATTTTTACTTTCCTATCTGTATACAGATATAAGGAAAGTATAGGAATCATGATTTTTTTCGACCTCGAGTTTTCGACGGATTTTTACGTTTTGAGGTCCCCTGAATCCGTTTTGACTATTTTCGCGATGGTGTCTGTGTGTGTGTGTGTGTGTGTGTGTGTGTGTCTGTGTGTGTGTGTGTGTGTGTCTGTGTGTGTGTGTGTGTGTGTGTGTGTCTGTGTGTGTGTGTGTCTGTATAACGCATAACTCATGAACCGATACACGGAAAAACACCAAATTGCAAACTTAAGCTTTATTCCAACGTCTAATGAGCTGATTAGATTTTGGGCAGAGTCGGAACATCTGGGGGGTACTTTATAGGTGGTCTTTTTTATATTTTATGGAATATATCTGTTATTTACGTTTGGAGAAGAAAATTGTTCAAATAAAAGTTACTTCTAATATTATTATCTTTAATTTTTGCTTTATGTAAAAATTTCCTGAAATGGTCCGTATTCGAGAAATTTGACAAAATGTGCAAAATTCTGATTTTTATGAAAATTGTTAAAATAAAAGTTGTTTGCGATATCGATCTCTATAATATTTGTTCATACATGATTTTTTTTAAATGGACCGTAATGGAAAAATTGTAGGAAAAGTGCTAAATTTAAATTTTTCAGTATTTTCATTTTCAATGAATATCTATAGAAAAATGTTTCGCGGTAGATGCATGTGGACAATGTATATATTTAGTTTATCCTCTAAACATTTATAGAGATGCTGCAATAGGTTGTACACAATAAACGGAAAAAGCCTGTAATAACTAGATAGGAAAGTCATGTGTTGGACACATCAGATTTTTAATTTAAGAATATTAATTATATAAATTAATTTCAGGTGATAGTGGGTACCCTTTACGGCAATATTTTATGACACCTCTTGGAGATCCGCAAATTAGAGCAGAGCAGCTGTATAATGAATCCCTGATCAGGACAAGAAATGCTGTAGAAAGGTTGATAGGGTTGTGGAAAAGGCGGTTTCCTGTAATTGCATATGGCATTCGCCTAAAAATGGACACCGTGATACCTGTTATTATAGCAACAGCTGTATTACATAATATCGCTCGTAATATGAATGAGCCAGAGCCACCCGCAGCTGAAGAAATGAATATGGATGAATTAAATTATTTAATTGAAATAGGAAATCTACAGGATGTACCAAACATGCCAAATGCTGACAGAAATGTTAATATTAATTTTGTTGTTGTTTTGAAGAAAATTAAACTATATAAAAGAAAAATTATATTTATTTAATAATACTCTATAGGTATACCATAATTTTTTTATTTAGAAACAAAAAAGAAAAGTAAAATAAAAACAAAAAATACAAGCTTTACAACATATCTTGAAAATATATACAATTTACAAATAAAGAACTAAAAACTAAACACTAAAAAAATTAAATATTAACTGTACAATAATTTTAAGATTATCTTAAATTAATAAAAAAAAAACCACTACATTACTACAAATCATTAGATTTTTGGAGTGATTTCAGTTTTTCTTTTTCTAATCTCGATATCTAATTTTAAATTTTCTAATTTGAGGCTATTAAAAGTCTCATAATTTTTCATTTTTGTTAATTCCATTTGAGCAATGGACAGGCTCATATCAACCAGGCGTTCGTATTTTTCAGCAAGTGTAGATGATGTAAGAGCTCTCACTACCGTTGCTGGACGTCTTCTTGATGTGTTCTGTTTGTTAGGGGTTTTTAAACAGCTCGTAATGGGTGTAGCAAGATCTGAGGCTTTATATTTCTTCCAAGGAATAGATTCACTAATTTCATTATTTGGATCCTACAAATAAAAACATTGGGTAAATTTGAGATTTGATAATATTGATTTGACTGATAAATTTGTATTTAATTGAAATATTTTTACCTCATGGGTTTTGATCACAATATCTTCATGGTCTTGCACCTTGGGAGTATCATTTTCTTCATTGTCCACAGTATTCTAAAAATGTAATTATTAATGTCTAAAGTTGTCGCTTTTTAGTTTAATTTTTTATATATGTAAACTAAAGGGTTATATGTACTTGTCCCTGCTACTGGTATCAGATAGGCATCACTACCAAATGGAGTGTTTATTCCAAAAACTGTATCAGGATTCATTATGCCTAACAATTTTTCCTGGTCTGAATCTTTAGATATTTGTGGCAAAGAACCTCCACCAGTAAGAAGGACTTCCTTCCTCTCTTCTGCAACTTGTTTCCTTACTTCCTTTTTTTTGTTTTCATAAAATTTTTTTAAAGATAATATGGGTCTAGAAACAAAGTTTGGGCTAACTGAATTAAACTCTAAGGAATTTCTTGCCCATGCCTTCAGTTTATCACTTGTTGATGAGGCGTCTGTTTTTTTGTTTTCGATAATATCCTTATATTTGGATATTATATCAAAAAGCACATGTTTTTCACGGGTTGAAAAATTCGGTGCTCTTGTGGTCTTGTTTTTTACATTATCCATCTTAACAGTTCTAAAAATAAATATACATACTTCGTTAGTTGGCGTTGTAATAATGAAAATCAAAACTAACCTTTTTAAAATTATTTCAAAAAATAAAGAATATCGAACAAAACTAAACAGTATACAAAAATATTTAGAAAATCAACAAAACAGCCTGGCGCTCTATCTAGCACTAAATGACACGCTTTTAGAATCAAAAAAATTATAGGTTAAAATCGTCAAGTTACAAGGATAATCAACAAAAATCCCTAGAAATCACCAGAAAATCTAGCCTCTACGCGGGGTTTGTTGGATTAGTAAAGTTAGGGAATCATTCGTTCGGTGCAACGCCTCCGCATTTAAGGGTCACTTATGATTTAAGGGTTACTTAACTATACCTCTCTTAAGAAATTGTCGGCGCAAACGGCCATTAAGAAATTGTCGGTGCAAACGGCCATGAATTAGTTAAATCGAGCAAAAATTTTTTTCATGTGTCTTTAAACCATCGTTTCAAATAGATAGGTTTTTCAAAAAATGTTATTGTAATCTATTGTTTGGATGGTCCCTTAACCCGAGCCGATTTCTGGGAAAGCAAAACATCATAAACCCGGCGGTCGACAGAAAAGGGTGGTTGAATCAGTGGGACAACTTTTGGATGGGTAGAAAATCGAACACCGTTGAGGAATGCAGTCGATTTCTTTTGTTAAGACTGTGTTATTACATTTGTTTTAATAATTATTAGTTTTGTAACATTATTTTAATATTAATAAACTTCATACGTAAAATAAACATTTAATTATTTGTGTAGTTTACATTATTAAAAGTTTACTGCTTTTACATGATATTTAGTAAGTGTTAAAACAACAGTTTTAGTCTCCATCCACCTACAAAAATCAAATTATTTCACGTTTATTTATTATCAAAAAAAATCTGATGTGTCCAACACATGACTTTCCTATCTAGTTATTACAGGCTTTTTCTGGTTATTTTGTACAACCTATTGCAGCACCTCTATAAATGTTTAGAGGAGGATAAACTAAATATATACATTTTCCACATACATCTACCTCGAAACATTTTTCTATAGATATTCATTGAAAACGAAAATACTGAAAAATTTTAATTTAGCACTTTTCCTACAATTTTTCCATTACGGTCCAATTTATAAAAATCATGTATAACAAAAATTATAGAAATCGATATCGCAAACAACTTTTATGTCAACAATTTTCATAAAAATCAGAATTTTGCACATTTTGTCAAATTTCTCGAATACGGACCATTTCAGGAAATTTTGACATAAAGCAAAAATTATAGATAATAATATTAATATACTTTTATTTGAACAATTTTTTTCTCCAAACATAAATAACAGATATATTCCATAAAATATAAAAACGGTCCCCCATAAAGTACCCCCCAGATGTTCGGACTTTGTCCAAAATCTAATCATTTCACGTCAGGCCGAAATAAAACTTAAGTTTAAAATGTAATGTTTTTTCTTTATCCGTTTTTGAGTTTTCTTCAAATTTCGAAATTTACACATTTTCTCAAATATCTCGAATACGGTCCATTTTAGAGAAATTATGTATAGAATAAAAATTATAGAAAATTATATTACAAACAACTTTTGTTTGAACATTTTTTATAAAAAAATATTTTTTTACATTTTGTCAAATTTCTCGAATACGGACCATTTTAGGAAAATTATGTATAGAACAAAAATTATAGATAATAATATAAGAAGTAACTTTTATTTGAAGAATTTTTTCCCCAAACGTAAATAACAGATTTATTCCATAAAATGTAAAAATGACCACCTATAAAGTACCCCCCCCCCCCCAGATGTTCCGACTCTGCCCAAAATCTAATCAGCTCATTGGACGCTGGACCAAAGCTTAAGTTTAAAATTTGGTGTTTTTCTGTGTATCGGTTCATGAGTTATGCGACACACAGACACACACACACACACACACACACACACGCACGCACGCACGCACGCACGCACGCACGCACGCACGCACGCACGCACGCACGCACCCACGCGCACACACACACACACACGCACGCACGCACTCACGCACACACACACACACACACACACACACACACACACACACACACACACACACACACACACACACACACACACACACACACACACACACACACACACACACACACACACACACACACACACACACACACACACACACACACACACACACACACACACACACACACACACACACACACACACACACACACACACACACACACACACACACACACACACACACACACACACACACACACACACACACACACACACACACACACACACACACACACACACACACACACACACACACACACACACACACACACACACACACACACACACACACACACACACACACACACACACACACACACACACACACACACACACACACACACACACACACACACACACACACACACACACACACACACACACACACACACACACACACACACACACACACACACACACACACACACACACACACACACACACACACACACACACACACACACACACACACACACACACACACACACTCACACACACACACACACACACACACACACACACACACACACACACACAGACACACACATCATCGCGAAAATAGTCAAAACGGATTCACGGGACCTCAAAACGTAAAAATCCGTCGAAAACTCGAGGTCGAAAAAAATCATGATTCCTATACTTTCCTTATATCTGTATACAGATAGGAAAGTAAAAACATAAAAAACAATCAATGAATAATAATCAATTTAAAAGTTAATAATGTTTAAATTTAAAGTCGTAATTGAACAAGTGTGGTAAGGATGGTAAATCTCATACTGCAACAGCTTCTTGATTAAAGCACTAGGTAATTATTAAATAAGCTCCAGATTTGGGAGCAGATAATCAGACAATGTACTATTAGATTTTTCTCTTCGTCGAAGACCGCCACTCTCCATGTCTGCCAACACGATTGCAGGTTATTCAATATTTATTAATAATAAGATAAGCAGCTAAAGAAAGAAATGTCATCACCAATGAAAATCATCTACAAACACAAATCGTTTACCTTTCTTATCTGTTAAAAAAGAATTACCCAATTAAATAAAGTGCAACGTATGGATGTTTTTGAAAAATCATTATTGTAATATATGTAATAAAAGTTAATTCCACCTATAAAATGCCGAAAATATTGCCTACTACATTTTTTTATTAATACGTGCTCACTTAAAATCCGAATATACAAAGAAAAACATCTAAGTGCTCTGATTTATCAATAAAATGGGTTCTAAAATTATTTTTACTTTAGTAATACTGGTAAGTTTTCGATATAATTAAGTTATTTATATGGTATTGGCCAAATTATTTGGCCCTTTTTCCCTTAAAAAATGTAACTACTTACCTAAAGTTAAACATTATGCAACTGGTTACGAAAAGTTCATTATGTCATCAGTTACGAAAAAAAAAATTAACCTTTTTTGGTTTAAAAATCAATATATTGCTGTGGAATTTATAGTCGAGTCTTGAGGAGTCCCTTATGGCCTCATTATTAGCAAAATGTATTTTAGAGTCGTCGAACCAACCCTCAAAGCATCCTTCGTCGATTTTAAGGTTAAAATTTAAAATTTGTGTTAGTTTTGAAAATGGTTAGTGGTGTGATTTGGTTGAATTTTAATACAAGGTGAAGATTTTGAAGAGTTCGTAAATTATGTAGAATTATTGGAGAATGAAATGGTTCCTCATATCAAGATACCTAAGCGATACAAACGTTAGTAGACTTAGTTTTTTGTAGCCCAGCAATATTTTATTAATTACTACTGGTAATTTACCATCTCAAATTATATATGGCAGGGCTAAGCAAATAAAATAAAATCAAATACACCTACACATTGGGTTTTTTCCAGAGTATGATAAAAGTTGAATTTTATTAAGATTAGCACTAAGCAGCAAGCATATCTGGGTAAAACTTTCGAAAAAAGTGCTTCGAGCACAATTACCAATTACCGAGAAAAGTAATTGCATAATTCAATTACCAAGCACTAATTACTCAAAAAGTGCATAAAATTATTATTGATTACTTACAGATGTCTGCAAACATTTTTTTTCTCAAATAAATTACCAAGCACTTATTACTTTTACAATCGCTTGCAATTATGCAACATATTTATTTTAAAAATGAACAAAAATAAAAACTGATGTGTTTAGATGATAGTAATGATAATCAAACCAAATTTGTTTGTTCTTAATTTATTAGTCTACACTACATGACACAAAATACAATAAAAATGAAGAAATCACTAGAAGAAAAAGCATAAATTAGCTGCAATTAGCTGAAGGTACTAGAAAGGCAGTACCTAGGTACTAACAGTTAAACAATTCTAAGAACCTTGAGTTGTAATAGATTAATAAAATTGATAAGTTGTTGTAGTGTTGCTTGTTGGCATTGCCAGTGAGCCGCAAGCCCAGCATTTAATAAATTAGTATTTATGATCAAGTAAATAAAAATATAGAAACATTTTTTTTAAGTAGCCATTGCTCTGTGATATAAATAAAACAGCCCAATATATTATATAACATTTTAACAAATAAGTGCTTATGTACTATTTATCAGAGCTGGGCAGTAATTGCCTCGAAAGTGCTTTTTAAACTACAGTACTCGGTAATTGGTAATTGAAGACCTTTGTAAAAAGTGCTTAGTAATAATTGGTAATTTTATTTCGCATTTAAAGCCATTTAAATTGCTTGCAAGCACAATTAGATTTTAAGTGCTTGCTTCTGAATTATTACTATTTTTTGTATCTAGTTGGTTCTTCTTTATTGATATCCAATTTTTTGGAGTCCGAGTTACCACTGTGAAATTTGTAAACAAAATATTAATAAAAAAAATGTCTTTTTGAACATTGTACTCTTATTGATTGGTCACTGCTGTAACTGGTTGCCATGTCATTTTACTCCAAAGTTCGAAAAACCATGCAAAAATAGCGTATATAAATTTTTTTTTTTCGTATCTGTTGACATGGGTGTACTGAAATTCGGTTCCAATAATTTTTGGGATGATTCTACATGAGAAAACATGCAAATTTCTTTATATGGATATACATTCGAAAATTCATAGCTTTCAAGATACAGAGTAATTTCATTAATATCCTTTACTCGATTTTGTTATTATTTATACGTTGTTTGGGACGCTACTGAACTTAATCATTTACATCCAAATGAAATTTCCTATATTCCCCCATTTTTGCTTTTTGAACTTTTGACTAAAATTGCTATTTAGGCAACCATTTACAACAGCGAAAACAATCAATAAGAGTACAGTGGTCAAAAAGACATTTTGTCATTAACAATTTATTCACAAAATTTTGCATTTAAGGTCGTTTTGAGTAATTAGAAATTGGTAATTGAATTGTGTAATTACTTTTCTCAGTAATTGGTAATTGTAAGCACATAGAATTGCTTGGTGCTTGATGCTGACAATTACTTTTCCAAAGGGCTTGGTGCTTGAAGCATTTTTTTCGAGTGCTTTTTTATACCTGAAACATGAAACTAAAGTAACTTTATCTTTGATAATACTACGATTTTTAGAATGATTAGCCAGCATATTGCACTGTTTCAGCCTAAGAAATGATTGTTAGTTGTTACGAGTGTCCACCCTAAGTTTCGGTATCGATTACTTTTTCGGCCTAAAATAGGAGTTTCGACTATAGTTTTGGTTTCGGTGGGTCTGGCCGAAACTGCAGCCGAAACAGAAACTACCTTCGCGATCTTGCCGCGTGTCATTCTTGCACAGTGCACGTACATACAAACTTCTTTGTTGTGTGCCACAGTATTCCAAGTGAACGTCTCTTCGTGTTGCTGGCCAAATTTATTCGGATCAGAGGAGCAATTTATTGGATAAAAAAATAAAAATATTATTATTTCTAGGGTACAACATTGAACTATTTAATTACGAATATTAATTTAATTAAGTAGGTAACAAACATATTTCCTTTTCATAAAAATTTTGATAGTTTATATATGCTCCACAACTTGGTAATGACAATGACAATACTATACCAATTAAAACACTATTCTTAGTTACAAAATATCCACTACCCACGTAGCAACGGTTGCTACTTTGTAATTCACTTGTTTAATTTCAAAAACCAATAAAAATAAAACTATGGACTCTTTTTAATCACATAAATAGCACATAAATAGCACATAAATAGTAATAAGTATAGCTAAAATAAAAAAAAAATGTTTAAAACTAGGAATACAATAAGATATTGCAATTTCAATAGCATATTGCTTTAAAAAAAGTTTCTGAAAAAGTGTCTGTTTCGGCCAAAACTAAGACATGAGCCGAAATTCGGTTTCGGTTTCTGTTTCGGTTGTAAAATTGTTTCGGTCGGACACTAGTTGTGACTAAGGACTTTTCCCCCTAGAATGCTTGCAAGTACTTAAATCTAATTGTGCTTGCAAGCCTTTCAAGTGCTTGCAAGCCTTTTAAGTGCTTGCAAGCTCTTTTGAGTGTTTGCAAGCACTTTAAATGGCTTCAAATGTGAAATTTGCCAATTAACAAGCACATTTTATAAAATGCTTCAATTACCAATTACAGAGCACTGTATTTTAAAAGTGCTTGAAGCACTATTGAACTTGAAGCACTTTTGCTGTCCAGTTTTGGCAGCAAGACATATGTCACATTTTATCTTTTTTCAATTTATTGAAAAAACATGCACTATCAATACTGCCGTGAAAGAGTAAAAAGCAGTATGTGCTGAAACAAATAAATGAAATTAGGGAGGTTTACAAAAATTCATTGATACTTTATTCCAATTTTAATTATTTGATGAGCAGTAAACGATAATAAACATATTAACCATTTATATACTGCTATTTGCCTAATAATCGTAATAATTTTACATCAGCTGCTGTCATTGCAGAAAGCAGTATTATATTACCTTCTCACTTACTGTCTTTTTGTCAAAATATTGTATCTATTTTTTATTAATTGGCAATTTATTAAAGTGTAGTATCTTAAATAAAAGTTAGATACTGCATAATGGCTCGCCATGATAGGCAATTTTATCACTTACTGCTACTTTCCTTGAGTATTTTCTGTCATTTTAAGACAGGCTAGTTTAACTAAACACAGTACAAAAATAAAGAGCTTACTGCTAATAGTGTTTTACAAAAACCTATGTTTTTCAAAAAGTGTGACTTACTGCCCTTTACCTTCTCACGGCAGAATATCAATTCAATCCCCAAAGTTTGATCGTCAATTTCATTTTCTACTTTATACGTAGAAAAAGAGAGGTGATCACAAATTCTATAATAATAATCACATATTTATTAAATATAACTAAGATAATATAAGTAAAACATATATAAAACGTTAACTTTCCTATCCTGACTCCAAAAGAACGGTATAAAAACACAATGCTATTGAATAGACAGAATTAGAATAATACGTTGCCGACAGCGGACCGCAATATCCCATGCTTGTTATCGAAAGGACGTAGTTAAACCAATTACTCTCTTTATCACTCTCACGTCCAAATATAATTGAATGTCTCATTTTTATTTTGCTTGATGCGTCGGTTAACGTACTGTATATCCCAAATAATATCGGCGTTTTGCGTTGGTTCACTCGTATAAGCACATATATAAGTTCAGACTTGCAAAAAGTACTCGTATAATAAACGTGGGTACCGAGTACTTTTACTCGGTATGGGGTACCGATTACTTTATTGAAAAAGTATTCGGGTACCGGGTACTAAGTACCCGAAATATACTAAGAGTACCTGCATCAAAACCAGAGCCGGCGGAAGGGCCAGACTATAAAATTATTTATTAAAAAATAAATTGACCGATACGTGACAAAAAAGATTTAAGGAGCGAAAAAGGTCAAAAAAGTTAAAAAAAAGTCCAAAAAATAAAAAAAGCCCAAAAAAAGTTAAAACCAGTATAAGGAAAGTCCAAAAAAAGTTCAAAAAAGGGCCTCTGTGCGTTCAGCATTGGGCCAACAAAAATTATTTCGGTTAAGGGACTAAAAAAAAATCCTGTCGTGTTGGGTCAGAAGATATATGGTCACCCTAAATTATAGGGGCGGCGGCACTGCTTTTAACTTAATAGTTTAGGAAATAAAATATTTTTTATTTACAACCATATATGTAATGTTGTCATTACTAACGTCATTGAAGGTTGGGAAGTGTCACATTACACACCTCTACTTCCCGCCCTCACTTCCCGCCCTCATTTCATCTATTCTAGATGAATATTTTTTATATTTAAAAAAATAATACATTTTTTTTTTGACAAATTTTATAATACCAATTTAATGGCAAACAATAAAAAACAACAATGAACTAAAATACAACAAACTACTTATTGATATTTATTATTCGCGAATTTAATATCCGGCTTTATCTGACATTTATTTATATTGGTGACAGTTGTTTACCCCGTAATCACAGTAACAATATATTTACTTGATTATTCTGAGAAAACCACGCGCTTGGTAATTTGTCGTTAAATGTAATATTTTAGGTATGTTCAGAACGAAACAGAGATTTATTAACTTTGATCGAAATATGATGGTTGTAAATAAAATAGTATACAAACCTCGGTAGGAAGTTTCATTCCTGTCTCGAGATCATAGCTAACCTCGACGCTTCGCGTCTCGGTGATCTAACTAATCTTACGACAGGAATGAAACTTTTTCCACCTCGGTGTGTAATATACTATTTAACAATAGTTGAAGGAACTAAAATATTGAAAGAGAACATTTGAGGCATATTGTGAAATCGTATATTTTGGTATTATCGTACATGTTAATAATTATCGTAAATCTTCTGCCAATACTGCTTGGTGTATTTTCCATCGCTCATCGGGAAAGATATCTTTGGTATGTACAACAATAAATCTATCATCGGCCTACTGTATCGTTCATCGCTTATTGATCATAGATCATTGCTTATCGGCCATCGATCATTGTACATGGATCATCGTACATCGAACATCGTACATCGAACATCGTACATCGATCATCGTACATCGATCATCGTACATCGATCATGGTACATCGATCATCGTACATCGATCATCATACATCGATCATCGTACATCGATCATCGTACTTCGATCATTGTTCATCGATCATCGTACTTCGATCATCGTACTTCGATCATTGTTCATCGATCATCGTACATCGATCATCGTACATCGATCATCGTACATCGATCATCGTACATCGATCATCGTACATCGATCATCGTTCATCGAGGCACTTTCAGCATGTACGTACCCAAAATGAAACTTTCTTAACATTGATAGACATCCACAAATAGTTACAACGCTAGTACTATGCAGTGTTTTACGTTTTTAAAATGTCATCTTCTGTAACTTCGTTATTATCAGAATTGAACTTCGACCTTTATTAACGATGTGAAAAATTGCTAATTATTCGAAATTTTCAGGTATGTCTGACTGTACGAGACGTCTGCTCAACCACAAACCACCAAATTGGTCTAAACTCTGTAATACCGAGAGACATCAATTTACGAGTAGAACCAAGATTTCTCAACAACCAAATAGCCAACATCCAGGAATTGATCACCAAATTGTTTGCGTCTATTTGCAACGCTATCGCTAAAATCATAGAGCCCATATCGGCAATACAAAAACTAATTGTTGACGGATTGAAGTCTGCTTTGTCGCAATTAGAAAAAGTAATTGGATCGAAATTATTCTCGTCAATTATTTCTTTCGCGATCGATAAAATAGCAGCTGTTGATCAAATGATTACCAATTTCACAAATTATTTGGTAAAGTCTGGTTGTTCATTAACTGGGGGTATTGGTCATTTAACCAATGGTATTTTAGATCGTCTCATAGCTATGTAATAATTTTATGTGAATGATTATTTATAAATTTTATAAATAAAATTGAATATTTATAAACTAAACTGTTTCTTGTAGTTTTATTTAAATCAACTTTTGTTTGTATCAGTTTATAACATTTTACTACTTACACAATTTACTATTATTAGCAATTTTGTATAAGTTTCAAATAATAATAATATTGATATCAATTTCTATTATAATTTGATCAAACTGTTTAAGAAAGATTGCTGTGAGACCGTTGCTAGGCAACGGCTAAAAAGTTGGTTGAATCTGACAGTTCGATAATACGCTAGTTCAGTGTGATGTCATTTTGGGTTCCACTGACATTTAATTCTAACCAAACTTTTAACAAAAACATCAATAAATTTGATATATACGTTTTTACTGTTTTTGGTTTATTTCTAAATATTGTTTACAGGTCATAAAAAATAGTTTAAAAGTACGTAATTGGTAACTAAACGATTGTATATTTGAAGCATGTTATCTGCTTACTTTAGAAATATATTTATAAAAGTGAAAAAACGATATAATTTAGGTAAACAAAACGAACAAAAGGTACTCAAAAAATCTACTGTCACTTTAATTGTCAGTCTAACCATAATTACATCATCACTGAACTAGCGTATTATTTTTCCTATGACCACCTATGAAAACTACACGTAGCACACTGTTTTGATTAATAGAAAGTATCTGATATCACTCACGTGATGATAAAAACATCACCCTTGTGATGATAAAAATATCACACCTCTTGCATAAATGATTTGACATGAAGGAACTATTAACAATAAATAATGTAAAGTAGGCTTGTGTCAAAACTGTAAAGAAATTCTAACACTAAACAGAAATAAGAGTTTTGTGAATTCTAAATAAAATAATTATTATATAAAAGTGTACAATGAATTGAATTTTATCAGAGATACTAAAAATTTAAATTTTATTTTGTTTTATAACATAAAAATGGAAGTAGATACTGATAGTAGCGAATGCACACCACCAGAAATTATAAAAGTCGTTAATTCGTTACTTTTGTCTTTTTTTTTAAATTTACTTAGTATTTTACCTGTATCTCGCTATTTTCTTTTGTAATTCCTTCAATTATTTTCCTTTTCTTAATTTTTTTTATTTATTTTTCGAAAGATGGTACAACATTGTGATACATGATTTTATTTCTGTCATATGCGAATACTGTAATATACAAAACACCTAGAACATTCTTTAAGTAGTTGTGGTCGTAGGAAAAATTGTGTACACAACTCGTTGGAAAGCGTAATTTGAATGCATTCCAGTAGAACTACGAGAAGCTGCAAAAAGCTACCTACTGCATGATTCTGGAAAAAGCAGGGAGAGAAACAAAAGCCATATATAGTAAGTGATATTTGCTAGCCGGGAAAGTGACCCATGCTAGCTGGGAAAGTTACTTTCTCGGCTAGCAATAAGTGAACTTTTTCGGCTAGCAATAAGCAAGTAAGCAACAAGTCTCTTCCCGACTGTTTGGAAGAGTTTAAATCCACAGTTTACTAACCGATTGTAAGTAAACGTAATTATTTGACAATTATTCCAATTATAGGTAAAAAACACCGTTTTCTAACACAAAAATCATAGTTTGCTTTCGGAAGAAACAAAAAATGAACGTAAGTGGATCAGTGGCTTAACCAGGACTTGGCTTGGGGGGGGATGGATCACATCGAATAGCACACCAACAGAGTTAAAAGAGCATGCATTGCTTATGAACAACGCTGCCGAACCGTGGGGCGCACCTGGAGTTCCCCCCCAGAGTCGTCGCATGGACTTACACGACTATCATAAGACCTATGCTAACATACGGTGCAGTTGTCTGGGTACCGAAAACCCAAAAATTAACAGCTATCCGTAAACTAGAACAGCATGTCTCAACATAACAGAAGTCATGAAAACAACACCGACCAGAGCCATGGAAGTCATTCTTAGTCTCACTCCCCTTGATATTTACATCAAGAAGGTTGCTCTGACGACAATGAAACGCCTTCGTACGGTTGGAATAGAACCTGATGTAGGATCTGGTGAGGCGAGACGTCGCTTTTGGCAGAAGGCGCTCGATACGCTCCCACTGCTTTAAGTGAACATGGACTCCATATCACCGAAATATATTTTCCATAGGCAATATAAAGTTATAATAGAACAAGTAGAAGAGCTAGAAGTGGCAGGTACGATTCATATCTACACCAACGGTTCTAAAACAAAACAAGGCTGAGGATGTGGAATATACTCCAGATTATTAAACCTAAACATAAAATGGGCTGTGAGCAATAATGACAGTGTAGTTCAAACAGAGCTAACGGGAACTCTCATAGCAGCAAAAGAAATAACCAGAAACGACATCACTGGAAGGAACATGCTCATCTATACAGATAGCAGACAAGCACTACTCACCCTGAACAGACCACGAATTTTCTCAGGGTTAGTACTAGAATGTCACGAAGCTTTGGCCGAAGTATTCATCAACAATGTGGTCACCTTAAGATGGATCAAAGGTCACGTCACATCGAAAGGTAACCGTCTTGCTGATTCACTAGCCAAGAAAGCAGTCAATCAAATACTTTTTGGATCTGGCTCTTCTATTGGCCTGACAAAATCGGTAGGTGACAGACCTAATTAAAGAACATTTTTTTGTGAAAGATGGGATGAAACAAGAAACTGCAGAGTTGCCAGGGAGCTCTTAAGTTATCCTGACAACACTGCAGCAAACAAATATTTAACTATGACTAGAAAGAATCTGCGTCTAGTCACAGGCATTCTGACTGGTCATTACCATATCATGGGGCTGTTAGAATCCGCACTTTGCAGATGGTGCGAACAAGAAGATGAGAACATCGAGCATATCCTTTACAATAGCTCGACGCTCTCATTTATTAGAAGATTTGTGTTCGGCGATAAATCTGTAGGCTGGCTCACGAGCTAGGAGGTGCCTATCATCTTAGGAGGATACACAATGGGTCTAAAGAGACCCTCCCCACAAGTTACAGATACAGAGAGGGGGGAAACTTGCTGGGTTCATAGCGTGGGTTGATTTTTTTGTATTAGATTTCAACTCTCAAAGGTATCAACTACTAACTACAGTTATTAGCCTCAAGGTGGGGGCAATTTCCCCGTTGCACAACATCGGGTAATAATAAATTTATAACACTAATGTATTTTAGAAAAACATGGCTACATTTAATATTTGTTATAGAAAGTTACAAGTCTTTTAGATCGGCCAAATTAAAACTAAAACATTTAATTACTGTCTTTCCATCAAGTAAGATTGTTTTGATACGAATATTTATTTTTTATTTTTTGGGTTCATCCCCCCATAGTTACGTCCCTAAAGTGGATTAAAAAAAACGGATAAATTACGTTACACGCAGTGAAATCACAATAAGTTTTTTCTACACCCGTATTATAATAATGCACTTATATGCCCATAATCCGTTTCATAATGATACCCATTATGATACAGATTTTTCATTACGATACAGATTTTTAATCAATAGAAACCTACAATTTTTCAATCAAGCATGCTGTTTGACGTTTGTCCTAGGTTCCTATGTAATTATTTTAGTTGTCAAAACGTATTAAATTTTCGTAGGTAGCTAAACTTCGATAATTATAATATTAAAATGTCTGATATTAGCGATATAGAAGACTCCTCCACACATATCGGAGAAAGCAGAAAATACAGTACAAAATATTTTACCGCAAAAATCTAGGGAAATACCAATACCTGAAGTAATACCATTAATTACAATTTTGTAGAATTTTTTATAGAAATACGAGTAATTACTGTTATTGTGTTCAATACCAATATAAATATAATATTTATAGGTCTTGATTATTTATCGGGTGTAGAAAAAATAGCGTATGCAATTCTCATGTAATGGTTATTAAAACACTCGCATAAACCATACGAAACTCGCCTTTGGCTCGTTTCGTATCCCGGTTAATGCTCGTGTATTAATAACCATCATTACATGATCGTTGCATAATATACTATTATGTGTATTAAAGTGATTTAACATAAACATACAAAGATGTTACTTTATATTATATTACCGATTTTAATTTTGTGCAGTACTATTAACAATAATTTTGAAATTTGGGTATTAATATAGATTTGAAGTACTTTATACTTTAATAAAAGTTGCTAGATTGTGTTTATAGTTGTCAATTAAAAAGGTAAACACTGTTTCATCAAAAAACAAAAAGGAAGAAACTGTTTAATCGGTATAAATCTCAACAAAATCAGAAAATTTCAATATTTTGACAGATGAAAAAAATAATCTAATAAAATAACATTCGTAAATTATAAGTTTGTCTTTTATTTCTAAATTCAACTGAGTTGCTTAAAGCATTTCCATCAATTTGAAGAATATTACCCATGTTGATGGTAAATATTATTTTTGTAGTTCTCAATCTTGCTAGAAGAATAACTAACATTTTTTTTTGGAGTTTAATCTATTACTTGCATCACTTTGCTAGACATTTCAATTTATGTAATAGAATGCAATAGTTTATAATAATGCTGAGAGTGTTAACATTTTTAAAAAGGAACTATAGATAAGTTTTTACAGGGTGTCATAGGGTCCTGTAACGTCGATCCAATTCTTACCCAAGTTGCAGCTCCGCAACGATACCCTATGTGTATGGACACCATACATGTACCCCAATTTACCGAATCCGCAAACACTAATTTTTGCAATCTCACAGTCACTCTTACGTCGACACAAGTACTTGTGGTTTTATATCTGGCATTCGTACTCGAACGTCAGTTATTTTAATTTTTAATATTAAATTGTCACAAAATAATTAGGAAGTAATCCTAAAGTTCGAAGACTAGTTACTCTTTCTCATGGGAACAACTTCGAACATTCATATATCCGCAATTCATTTATACCCGAATGAAATACCTACATACACAAAAATATTTCAAACATCACAAATTAATTCGCCTGTCCAAACTATGTCTTATTAATATTTCACACGAACGTACAACCCTTCTACCTTTCTAAAAGGTACTTTATCTTCTAATCGAATTTCATTATTATTTATCCTAAAAAGACAGTTTAAATTTCAAATACACAGCCGTTGCAAATTTCGAACGATTCCAAAGAGCTTTAGCCAATTACGTAATTGTTTTACCTATGGGCGGAGCCAGGAATTAGAGATATACATATAAGCGATTCCCGCAAAAATAGACAGTAGATCTTTAACTTTTTTCGTGGATAGTGCTCTCGCCGCGAATATAGTGCAAATTCGATTTGTGTCGGTGGAGTGTATCATTAGCAAAAGGATTACTTCAAGTTTTAAAATCATCACACCACGACTGTCTGAGTCGATCAACATAAGGGTTTACTAAGGAAAGAGGATACTAGCAAAGTGGTTGAGAATTAGCGCATTCTCCTCTACTTCCTTGCGATCCTCCTGCTTAACGCCCCTCCGTGGGTTAATTACACTGGGTGAGTCCGTTCTGATTACGTGGGAGACGAAAGGTACATCATTTAAAAGTGATAGGGCTCTCCATTTAATTTCCCTCCATTTTCCTCTTCCCGCTTTTCGGCATTTTTAGGCGCGGTACCTGTAACGGATTTTCTTCTCTTTACAGGTCGGACTGACAGGTGTCAAGGGTCCCAGCCATATTTTTTTAGTGTCATTGTCAATAATATTGTTGGTTGGTAAGGACCTCCGGCTTTGTTTGTTTACATTTTGAGCTTTTAACTTTTTCTGGCGAAGGACCTTGACCTTGTTTGTTTGTTTTATTTTACAGTCATTCGGAGACGTCTTGTTTATAGTAACAGGGCTCATTTTTTTTATTTAATTAATTTTATAAATATCCTATCCTATAATATCAGTTTAGAACATTTAACGTCACTTAGTCTAACTAACTTTTAATTTATTACAAAAATGCACCACAAAATTCAGATAATTTCACTGCTGACCTCAGACGGGCATTCCCTTCAGGGCACGGTACACGGGGAGAGTTCTATGGCTTTTCCCGGTTACTCCCGCCCCAGAGCAAAATGCCACCTTGTGGAGACATAAATTTAAATGTTCATGATTTTCATAACTTTCAAATTAATGACACTACCCGACGGTTTGCCAAATCCCCGCCGTCTGGGCCCGAGCCTGCCCTGAGAGTACCCAATTATTCGTTTGAATTGGGACTCAAATCACTATCTACCCCCATCGAGCGTCGGCCTACATACGGCAAATGTAGGTCAGGGGGAAGTTTCCCTGGTGAAGTGCTTCACAGTGTTGGTGATTTCAAGGAATTCTCTACGTTCTACGAACTGTCCATCAGTACGGCCATATCTCCCTCACGACCCCTTCTTAGCGAAGGAGCGGGGTCAGGGCAAAACGACTTTCACTCGAGCGAGACCCGACGACAATGGTTAAGTATAAGTTGTTTATATTTTTATTACATTCTTATTTGTAGGTATTACGATATTTTTTTATAATTATCTTATATATTATAATTGGTATCTAGACCTAAATCATTATTGTATTTATAATAATAACAATAAAGTTTTTCGTATAGTGCAGACTTTTTTTGCCAACACTGTATAAACACCTTGTCTACATATTTATTATATAAAAAAATTAATTTGAATGATGAACAAAATATTTTATTTGTAGAATGTTTGCTGCCAGACCTAGTAGATCTTTTTTTGTCCTCTAAAAGCTGGAATTAAACCATTGTTTAATTTCTGATAAGCGTTATAACGTTTAATAATTGCAATACGGTGTCAAAAATGGTTTCAAAAGAGATTTTAGCTTTTATGTTCGTAAGTATACATACATTCTATAATTCAATAAGAAAAGTAGCAAAATATACTTAGCAAAAACAATTTTTTTTTATGTAATCGATTTGTAAAAGCTGCCACTTTACAATAATTTTTTAACGTAAAGTGTATTCTGTGTTAAGATTAGTCAATAAATATTCTTTTGGTACAATAAACTCAATAAAAGATAATTATTTTAGAGACCTAAATCGTACCCAACAATGCAAAATACCCTCATTTATTTTGACACCATCAAATTTTCAATATGGCCTCGCTGTGACACTTTTGCGCAAATTGTTTTGACTCAGCTGTACTCTTCACTATTTAAACATGATCTACATATATCTACCGATGTATTAGCCTAATTTGAATTTTATTTTTTAGATATTCTTTATCAATACAACAATAGCTGACCAGCAAACTCTTCCAAACAGTATTACAACGAAGAACACCAATATACAATCGAGAGCATTCAACAACGTCCTATTTAGAGTCCAGTCAATCGTAACCTCAATTTCTGCGACTGTCTGTAGCGCCATCTCTCCTGTAGTAACAGTAGCATCGGCCATTCAAGCTGTCATCGTTAATGGCTTAACGGTTTTCTTGAGGGGATTGTCAGCCATTATGGTCTCTCCTTATTCCGGACAAGTACAAATTCTTGTTAATCAACTCGGTGTGATCGATCAAACGTTTACGAATATCACGGGGTCGATTCAGACGTACAGTTGTGTTGTGACTAGAAGCATTGGTTCGCTCATTAATACTATCATTGGTGTTGTTATCGCAATATAAAATGAGTAATGCAATTATGGAATGTTAAAAGAAAATATGTATATAAATAATAAAAAATATCGAAAATATATTATTTCCTTTATTTTGCTAGTTTGCTAATATCACAATATACAACGTTGTTAAAAAATATAGATAATACATATAAAATTAACTAATCATATAGATTGTTACTATTTCTGGAAAAATATTCAGAAATTCTAAAATTTGTGACTTGGATTTTAAGTTAGATTTCATTTTCTTTAAAAGTGCGTTAAAATGATCTAAACATATATATTAGTCCACTATAACTAGTCAAACCGAACTTCTAAATAGAAAACTTAAATGCAATAGTTTTGATAACTATCATCTGTTCATCAATCATTGCCCCTAAATTTGAATTTTGTTAGTAAATGTATAGAATTTCCCCCAATTGTAATTATATATATTTTATCGACAAACTGCATAATATTGATGATATTATCAGCATACATTTTGTTTTATTTGTGTTGATTTTTTACAAATTCTTGTAGCGCCACTTATAAATATTTTGCAGTATTTTATTAACAAACTCGTACCAAGTTATCTGAATTCTTACAAAAAAATATATAAGAGCAACATCAGCAAACATGTGAATGTTACAGTGACCCTTGACATCAACAGTATCGTTGATGTAAACTAAAAATAACAGGGGACCTAATATAGTTCCCTGTGGAACACTTCTAATATAATTTCTTCTGTAAGGTGTTATTCCTTACTTAGATCATTTACACACCACTCCAATGCTTGCTCTACTATCTCATACTTTTTATTTTTTGTATCAAACGGTTTTGATCAAAAGTCTCTTTAAGAAATCTATGAAAACTGCCAATGTTAGATAATTTTTAAAAATTTATATTTTCAGACATATAAAATACACTGAATAGCTGATTCACAGTTGTAATGATTGTATTTCAATTTAATTATATTATTTTATATTAATGTCTGGACTATAAATGTATACCTAATATATTAGCAATAGTTCTCGGACTATAATATTTCTTGTAAATCGTTTACGACAAATAAAGATTCAGTTTCCAAATAGTTATTTCAATGATAACATGGCGCAGTGAAAAAAAAAGAGGATAAAAAAAAGAATAATTGAAGTAAACTAAATATTCTTTAGAAAAACCTACGTAAAATTAAATAGTGAAGTCAATTATTAAAATAAAAATATAAAGTGTTCATACAATATGACCCCTCCGCAAACAATAATTCAGCCACAAACTTTGTCAGAAAAAATAGTGCATCATTTTATTCCTATAATTCAACCAGAACCGATGTCTTGGGAAAGTTCTCTTGGGGATAATTGGAAATTCTTCAAACAAAAATTTATGCTGTATATGAAAGCAACTAAATCTGAGAAAGAAGATACGGAATTCTAGCTAGTGTTGGTGACAGAGCCCTTTTTTTACACCCTTCAGACCTCCCGTGCTACACCCGTCTGTAGTCTGGCAGCACTGAAGCCTGCGGCTTATTGTACCACCATTTGAAGGTCCTACTACTTTCCCATTCACACCCTCACACCCTGACAGAGCCCTTAAAGTGCACAATAATTTTCAATACGCAGAAGATGAAACGAACAGATATTTAAGTACTTCTTGTGAATTTGGTGATCTGACAATCAGCTATTAACTGATCAATAACTCGTGACATACCAGGCCAATATACCAAATAGTTAAAAATTTGTTCATAAACGAACTTCTTAAAATTTGACAAAAAAAAAACATCCGAAAAATATTTGTCAAAAATAGTTACTAGGTTTAATGTACAAACCATCAAATAAGTCATTATCTTGCAGCACAATTATAGAATTTTTCTAATTTTTGGTGGAGGATTAATGGCGATTCACCAATTTTATTAAAATACTCAAAATCATAGTATTTTCAATAGATCATAAACCTCATAAAATGTTTACGCTGGACTGCAAGGAAACCTTATAAATAATCTAAAAGGAATGAAGAGAGAGATACACTCTCTACTGCCTTTTTTAATAGTGACGTTTATGATCATATGGCCTCCTAAACCACCGGATTTAACACCAAAAAAAAATGTCTTTTTGTATGTATATTTCAAAGTAACCATTACTTTTACGAGTGAACTTTTGTAATCAGAGCTTATCAAATATATTTACGATGTGTGACGTTTTTGACTATATGGCCTCCTAGATCACCGGATTTTACTCCAAACGATTTATTTTGGTAGGTATTTCTCAAAGTAACCATCACTTTTACGGGTGAATCTCTGTAAGCAGAGCTTTTGGAATGAATTATGTCGATTAACTAATTACAAAAAACAGGTGTTACGTTCTTCATAGAACAAAAACTATCATCGAATATCAATAAGAATGGCACAACTGAAGATTCTCTAATTAAAAATAAGACAATTAAATGAAACATGCTTAGATAAAATATTAAAGGGTTCCGAATACAGGGTGTTAAAATTGAAAATTCAAAAATGATTAATGGATAATTTTTTATTTCTTCGTATAATTTTACTAAATTGGTAAACATTTTTGGTATCATAAGATACACCTCTCAGCAAAACAATCAGTTAAATAAACTTTGTCAGTGGCGTACAGCATGGATAAGTAACACTTTCTTCCCCTCTAAATTTTACGCCAATGTCCAAAAATTAATTTGGACTAAATTTTTACATTTTTTGATGTTTTATAAATAAATCATGTGATCTTTCTGGGAATTTATAATAAAATACAAAATAACAAAATTAAAAATATTAAAATGAAGAAAATCTACCTATGAGTGTAAATATCTCAAAAACCAATCACTTTATGAGTGCCCAAAAAGAGTACATGATTTATTTAAAAAACATCAAAAAATGTAAAAATCTAGTCCAAATAAGTTTTTGGACAATGGAGTAAAATTTAGTTTTGCTGATAGGTGTATCTAATGACACCAAAGCCGTTTACCCAATTTAGTAAAATTATTCTGAGAAATAAAAAAATTACAGCCATTAATAATTTTCGAATTTTCAATTTTAACACCCTGTATTTCAGAAACCAGTATTATTTTGTCTATGCATGTTTTAATTAATCATCTTATTTTTATTAGAAAATCTCCACTTGTTATGTGTCCCATTCTAAAAGTCAACAGAATATTCATTTACTTATCTTTATTATATTAAAAAATTACTTATCTGACTCACATTTTTTTGTTTTCAGTCTTCAATTTTAGTTATAGCCTCTATAAATTTAATATTGATATAGTGACTATGACTATTACTTTACAAAAAGTACATACAATCTTAAATTATATTAGTGGATTGTTTTTGTAATATTTTATTTGTAAAGTAATCATAAATAACGCACAAGCATCAATCAGTGATGCGTCAGTGATATTTTAAAATTTCAGTTTCTATAGAAATCTAGAATTATAATTTATATTTTTTTTATGGAAATAAACATTATTATTGTTATTCAATAAACGCTTTTTCTATTAATAATTTTCATGCAAAAATTGGTAGAAGGTAAATTGTTCGAAAGCAATTGTTCGAAGTCAATTATTCGAAAGTCAATTATTCGAAAGATCAATTATTCGAAAAGCAGTTATTCGAAAGTCAATTGTTCGAAATCTGTTATTCGAATTGAAACATGAAAACTAAAAGCAAACAGGATTTAAATCTTTATTTACCTAGTATTTTAATTACGCTTTACATTATTTAAAAACTTTCTTCCCAAAAGAAGTGATAACAGTTAGTTAGTAAGATCATTGTTGTACATGACGAAATAAATATGGCAGCAAAAATTATCCTATTTTTTTTAACCGTAAGTAAGTTTTATACTATTATTTGTAAAATTTAAAATAACAAATATACTTTCCTTATATCTGTATACAGATAGAAACGTAAAAATGGATTCTGTTTGGGCATTTACGAATACTAAAAAAAAAAAAACAAATTTTGCTTCTAAAAATGATCATGATTATAAACCAAGACAAAAATAACTCGAACATATACAATATACAATTACCGACAACTTTTATGAAAATATGTAATACATACATTAGTAGTATTATTAAAAAATTTACCAAAATGGTGAAAGATATTGCTATACGTTTTAATCGACTTCAAAAAAAGAAGGAGATTCTCGATTCGTCGGAATATTTTTTCAGCGATAATTCTTTACCACGTTGTCCGATTTCTATAATTCTTTTCTTGTCAGAAAGAGAGTATCTTAGGGGTGGTCCCATATAAATTTAATCAAGGTCTAATACTTGGGCCTATAAGAAAATCATCAAAATCTTCATTTTTTTTATGTATGTTCAGCGATAATTCTTTACAACGTTGTCTGAATTCTATGATTCTTTTTTAATTGAAAGGAAGTACCTTAGAGGTGATCCCATATACCTTTGGTCATGATTTGATAATGGGATCTATAAGAAAATCAGCAAACTCAATTTGTTATGCATCTGTACGATTTTGGAGTCGGTTTTTTAAAATTACTTTTATATTTATTAAAAAATATCAAATCCAGAAAAATGTTCTGGACATAGTTTTCGCAGATTTTCTGCAATTCTACTTGTTGATGCAGGCGGTGACATAACGATTTTGAACCTCTTTATGTCGGATGGAAATCATCAGCAGCGGCTAAGGTCTACATAGACAACTTCATAAGAAACAAAAGAAATACAGCTTAAAAGATATCAAGTTCCATAGAAGAAGAAAATCTGATTTTTATGCTTCAATCAAAGCATTTCTACAAATAATTAGAATATGCCTGCAATTAACCTAAAACCTAACAAATTGTTAAAATGAAATTATTAACAAAAACAATTCATTAATGTTGAGAGGGTGGGTGGCTCAGTGGTTAGAGTCTGGACTTTCGGATCCAAGGGTCCAGGGTTCGAATCCTTAGGTGACGCGATTTTTATTTAATTTAATTAATTAAAAAACTAAAATTAATGTTGAATTGTAATTAGTTATAAATTAATGTCTATATAATTGTTTTTCATGTTGAAAATAATAAAAATAATGTTATAAAAATATTCTTTTATCCTGACTTTTC